CTCTTTCATGGGCATGGTCAGGGAATGGTGAGATAACTTCAGAATGGCCTGGTCTAGCAACTGGGTCTCTCAAATACACAGCATGACAAGTGCTAAACGATATTTCAATATGGGAAGGCAAAATAGCAAAACAACCAATAAAAGGTCTTGGGGTCCAAGGAGTGAAATATGGCTTGGATGGATCTTGACGGCCAAATAAGCCTTTTTGCCATGGCAAGTTAACGATTGCCTTAGACTCATCCTCGATAATTGCATCTTTATCTAATTTTTTATTAATCTTTAAGTTTTTAGAGAAATCAGAAGAATATGGAATCGTTTTTGTTGATTCGGATAATTTCTTTCCTTGAGAAGAAACACGGATGTATTCCTGTTGAGTCTTAACTAATTCTGATAAAGTTTGCTTCACCACGGTCGCAAGTTTGGCCTCTTCCTTAGTTGCAAATTCGGTGGATTTGGTGGAAATGAATTTTTTAGCATCTTCAACGGAAAATTGGTTAAGTAAACTGTGCTTAGTGTCAGCTAATTTTTGGTAGATTTCATTACATTTGAAAGTATTACCTTTTCCTAATTCATTAAAAGTCTCGGCCGTAACTGGGGTATCTTCAGCTTGCTTACTGGCGAGACTTAAAATCCTAGACAAAATTGATTCTCTGGTGGTGTTCTTTTGTTGCTTGATCATTTCTTTGTCAATAGCTTGATTGAACTTTCTAATCATTTCTTTATTAGAGGCAGAATTTTGTTCACTCTGGTTCAATGACTTTGGTTTATTTTGTTTCACTTCCCATACTTCTCTTGGATTAGCATGAGCTGTCTTTACGTACTTGTTCCATACAGAAATTTGCTTGTTATCAACATTGATAGCCTGTTCTAAACCTGGCTTCACTCTACCCATAGCCAATAAAACCTTTTCCGGTTTAACATTGAATACATCACCACTCTGCAATGGAAAAGAAGGGTGCTTAACTACTACTCCATTAACTTTGACATGACCCCCGAGAATAAATTGTCTTGCTTGTCTCACTGATGAAGCGAACATTGCTCTGAAAAGAGCAAATTCTAATCTCTTCTCTAATGCTGCGTATGTTTGTAATGGCATAGGTGTTGGTGCAACTTCCACACCCTTCAATGAAGCATCCAACTGAGCAACCGATTCAAGATTTGGCTTGAAGATTTGCTTCCACCGACTTTCAGTCAAATGCTCCCCGTGATATGCTCTTGTTTCCGCTTTAGCTGTCCATTTTTGTTGGAAAATGGTCTTTCCGTGGTAGCTGATCGTAGGCTTTTTGTATAAATTGAATAAATTAAATTTATTCATAGAGGCACGTACACGGCCTCTACTCATAGAGTTCATCTGTTGTGTCCTTCTAGGCATCTTGGATAATACAAACGAACTGTGACGCACTAAGACTAATTCACTATGCTAGGTTCCATATTAATTAGGTCCAGTTTTGATGAAATTTTTCACATATTTAGAGGTCGTGCGAAATTTCCAATTCTTGATTTTCAACCCCACGTGAATGAGCACATGATGTCGTTATGAAAAGCATTAAAGACCAAGTATTGGTATACTATAGTGTATTGAATTCAATTCAGTTAACCATGGATGAAGAAAGTGATATGAGGGAATGGAGCTTAGATGAAGAAATCCTTTTGTTTGATCTTATGTGTGATTTCAAACCCGCGGGACATAATAAAGATAAACAAATGAATACAATTGTCGAAAAGATGAACAAAAGTATATCAGAAGGTACGAGGGCATTTTCTGCCGAAGATATATGGACAAAACTTGGAGGAATGTACGATTTGGAACGAGTAGATGAATTGGAGGACTATATAGATGAAGATGAAGATACAGGCGAGGAAAATGATATACAAAGTGATAAGGAAGAAGATAACAAAGAAGATATCAACGCAACAAACAAAGACTCAGATTCTTCGGGATTAAGTGACGTTGAGACAGATTTGCCGAGTGATAAGGAGGAATTGGAGGTACCGAAAAGTGGAAGCAGAGGTAATAATAAGAATAAGAAGGAAAGAGGTCGTAAGGTGGACTTGAAGGAAGAAAGTACAGATGTGGAAACGAAAGATTCAGAAGTTAAGAATGAAGATGCAAATGACGGTGGTGAAAATAATGAAGATGGTGATGAGGAAAACGATGATAATGATGAAGATGATGAAGATGAGGATGAACAGGATGATGAAAATGATGAAAATGAAGGTGGTGAAGGTTCATTACCAAAAAGAGTGACACGGGGTGCAAGAAAACACCAACACGAACTTACCGAGCAAACAGGAACACCCAAGTCAAAGAAGAGAACCAGGTCTAGTGCAAAATTGGATGCGGTAGAGACTCCACCTCCAAGTAAACGTGGTCAAAAAGCATCGACACCTCCAGCACAACAAACACCAACAGCTTCGGCTAAGAGAAGAAAGAAATCCGAAGTCCAAGAATCGGAAACAGACAAGAGCAACACTAGAAGGAGTACAAGATCTTCGGTTCCAGCGACGACACCTCTGAAACCACAAGCGCCACCAATAAGACGAAGTTCAAGAAAAAAATGATATATTGGTATCATAATCACTGTACCATAGAAACCGTAAAAGTTAATCATCTACGAACGATAAATGTTTAATGCATGAATTAATTAATCAATTAAGATATAATGCTATATAGTAGAAATAAAATCACAATATTACAAATAAACCCAACCCCGAGTAGACTCTTCATGAGACGAAAGTCCAGAACTTCTCCCACAAGTTCTTTGGTTCATCATCTTCCCAAACCAAATCGTCAATCTCCCTAACACCGCTGTCAATATCACATTCCTCAAGAGGTAATAATAAGGTACCTGCTGAAAATGAGTTCTTACCGTTGAAATAGAAGTGGAATCCAATCCATAAGGCAACGAAAAAAATGTTTGAAATGTATGCAGTGAAAAATTTAGCAGCATCTATAGAAAAGAAAGCTTGGAATCCTTGGATGAAAACTAAGATAAGAATTGTAATCGAAGCATAATAAGCATTGAAAGGCATAAACATAGCCTTGAATGGCAATGAATCTCTTGAAATATTTCTAGATTTTAAAATATTCATGAATCTAATATGAGTGAAGGAGATCCAACCCCATGCAATCAAACCAGCGACAGCTGTAATATTCAATAACCAATCAAAAACAGTTTGACCCCCAGAGCTTAAAACTAAGAATCCAAGACAACCGAATGCTGCAGTAATCAATACAGCCACATAAGGAACACCGTGTTTAGTAGTCCAACCTAAAAACTTTGGTCCGACTTTAGCTTGTGCCAAAGAATATAAGACACGGGAACCACAGTAGACATTTGAATTGGCTGCAGAAATAATGGTGACCAAAATAACAGCATTAAAGATATCAGGTAAAACTTTAGTACCTGAGAGCCTAATGGCAACAATAAATGGAGAACTGCTGACATATGAACTTCCGATTGGTTCATAGTCATAAGGTACCAATAATCCAATGAACAAAATTGCAAGAACATAGAAAATAAGAATTCTGTACAAGACTTTTCTAATGGCAGCTGGGACAGTCTTTCTTGGATTCTTGGATTCACCACATGATAAACCTACCAACTCACAACCTTGGAAAGTGAAGGCGGCACTGATTAAAGAAGATAACCAACCCAAGAACCTTCCTGTGTTCTTATTGTCAACCAAAATCCCAGGACCCCAAGGACCAGGATTACGCCAGTATCTGAACCCAATAGGACCTCTCAGACCAGCCCCGCAAACCATAATGAAGGCATAGAGTAACCATCCAACAACGGCAATGATCTTCAACGATGCGACCCAGAATTCAATTTCCCCGTAGTATTTAACTGGAAATAAGTTTGTGACGGTGATAAGAAGCAAAAAAATTGCAATCCATACGGCAAGAGGAACCGCATCAGTCCAGTACTGAATAATTTGTCCCACAACAGATATTTCTAATGCAAAAGTAATGGCCCACGAGAACCAGTACGAATAACCATTCGCAGCCCCTAAAGCTGGAGAACACCATCTAGTAACAAATTGGTTAAATGACCCCGAAAGTGGTATATATGTAGCCATTTCCCCCAACGATTGAGTCACCGAAAATGCCAACGACGTCATGAACAAAAACGAAATCAACGAATTCACAGGACCAGCATCCTGTAAGATCCCCCCTGTACTGATAAAAAGCCCAGTACCAATCGTACCACCCAATGCAATCATTGAAATATGTCTAGCCTTCAACTCACGCTTCACCTCGAATTGCTCCAGCTCAAAAAACTCATTGTTGTCGGACTCCGTCACATATTGGACGTCCTTTTCCTTGGTAGGAGCAGAGGTACCTGTGACTCCCCTGTACGAGTTACTACTCGATTCTGCGTATTTTTCTAAGTCACTCATACTTTAGTATTCACAAAGCGTACCAAATTTATCTGATACCCTTCCTAGATATCCTTGCCTTAAATATAAGATCTCAAGATAAAAGAAATCGATTCCAGAGATAGCGAAATGCTTAATCAAATTTTTCTCAAGTGCATGTCATTGCGAAATTCCAAGGCATATATTTCTTTTTGCCGTACTAAAATTCCGTTTTCGTATTATACAGTCTTGCCTTTATCTTTATCTTCGTCTACACTTTCTATAAATTTGAAATTCGTCAACTGTTCCTCGTTTCATCTCCTGTTATCTAGGGTACATCGAGGTGGGTTATCTGTGGACATTATGATATGCGGAGTATGTCTCTAGCTACTTCTTATCACAAGAAGCTCACCTATTTTGTATTGCGATTCCTAGGCCTCGCTAACGTACACTGTACTTGAAGTATTTTTTTTAGATCTGTATATAGCGTGATGCCCTGAATGGTTGAACGGCATTTGTAGCCCACCTCTGATTGAACGATAACGAGCAACGAAGAAAATTGATATCACGTGATATAAGTAATATCCTTTTCTTTTGAAGGCGGGAGCGATATAGGCCCATTTGTGGGATAGGCATAGTGGGGCCAGTTTGTGGTTAGAGGGGTCGTAGTAGTAGTTACGACGCTCAAGCAGCTAGAAACGAAGTATATTGTAATAGAGCAATACAACAGGTGTAGAGACGAATTAGATTCAATTAATTCTGAAAAAAATGGTACTATAAGAGTAGAACTAAACATAAATTAATTGTATAAGACGAACTATGCCTTATCATTGGTTACACCATCGGTGCACTCGGTGGTGAATGCCAGTGACGATCAGGACCTTGAAATTAAAAGAATCCTTGTAGTTTGGGAAATCAAGGGTAAGTAGACCGTTTTGGCAACCGGTACCGAAATCCCATGAAGTAATTGATAACACAGGCCATTTTTTCATCCAAGCAAGCAGAGTCGTATGGTCCTTGTTTGATCTGTACGACTTAACTTCATGACGTAGGCTTGAAGTTTGATTCTAAGTTCATACTTAGAGAAATTTGTGCGAGTGAGTAAACGATAAGATATTTTGATTGGCCATCTCCAAGTAATAATGGCAGCAATTCTAGTAAGCTATTATTCTTGCAAAGAACTTGGTTGTCGATAATTTCATATAGCAGGAACTCCTGGCAGTTGATTATTAGGATAGATTAAAACTGAAAAGTTTAATCTCTTATACCTTTAAGATATCATACGTTGATCATTTCGATTGTAAGCTGTTATAGACTGCGTTGCAGTAATACTGCTATATAAATTAACCTTGAAATTAGGATTAAGACATCTATGTTACGCATTCCGTTGTTTTCTTTCAATATCCAATAATTTAGGATATCACTAGCAATTAGGAGTTTTCTTAACCATACAATAAAGCTCAGTCTAGTTAAAATAATTTCGAGTATAGGTATCCAATTATAGAACAGGATATAATATAACGATAGATTAATCAGTTATCTCTTCAAGATTTTTAAAATCAAAATCTACATATTTCTCCAAATGGAGTTCCCTAATGCTCCATTATCTTTAGCAATGTTTTTGCATACCTTCGTTTGGCTACTGCATATTCTTCTTTTGCATAATTACTAAAATTATCATAGTCCACTCAATATCACAAAAACGACGAGAATTACTGACTAGGAACACTAGGTGCTCACAATTCCGCAAACAATACTAGAGATAACATAACATTACCCCATGCTTCAATATTGTAGTAAGTTATTGGGAACTTTATGCTAATTGCGAAAGATTCACAATATGTTGATACATCTAAGCATATTAGACATTAGTAAGCCCCATGCTAGATCAGGAACTTGAATATTTATGATTTGAGTAAACGACATCAATTTTTCCGGCAAAGTATATCTATGCATGCTGGTAGATGGATTATATGCACAACAGTACTTTTTTGCAACACATAAAATAGAATGAAAACTGCAAATATAGCCATAGTGTTTATATCCCTTTGATTGAGGTAAACTGGATATAATTCACTGGCAAAGTTTCAGCTTCGGAATAATACTTCATGATTTCTTTTTACAATGAAAATATTATAATATCATATAATAATCCTACAAATCCTTAATTTTTTCTTTATTACCAAATCCCTAATTTTTTTCAAAGAACCAAGTAAACGTTTGACTAAAGCAATGCCCATTTCCTTATCTCCGTTGAAAATAAAAACATACAAACAAAATATCAAGCTAAAGCTTTATCGAAAAGTTTACCGCAGAACACTATCCATAAAACGATAACATATATTTGCTGCTTTGTATAGGTCTACGCCTCTTGATACACTGTAATTTCACAAATTTGGTAAACTAGTGAAAAAAAAGAGAAGGTGGGTATTGTAGGCCCTCTATGCTATATTTGTGTTGCTGAGTTTAATGTCGCATATTTTTAAACTGAGTAAATGTCTTGAAAAGTGAAAGCCGACGACAAAGTGCGCCGTGTTTGGATTTACAATATATCCCTGCGTCTCGTACTAAAAGTGGAATCGCATGAATTCGGGTACGAATTAGAGTAGTGGAGAGAGGGACTCTATTTTAATTCACAAAGTTTGAATCATAAATGCATTTACCAAGGACTTTGAATATAGAATCTACTTCAATTATGAGTTAAGTTTTCCCAAATGCAACCTGTTATTCTGTTACCTCGGATTATTTTACTTATTCTAAGCCTACCTTGAAAAATCAAATTAGTTTGAGGATTATACCCCCACTCTTGTATTTCCTCGTATAGACTTCTCTATCTATTAATACTTTAACCTATTGTTGGACTATTAAGTGCTCACATCATAACCACAACTTTTATTCATATCTCCGCAATAATGAGATTATTAGCGAAAAATCTGGCGATAATAAAAGCGAGTTCAAGCAGTCTATTTGAGATCCTACTATCCATGAGCTATATATAAAGCCTCCAATTCAGTGCTCTAATTCAAATATTCTACTGTTTAGGAATACAAAAATGACTTTAGATACGGTTGAAATTAAACAAGCTTGGTGGAAAGAAGCTTCCGTCTATCAAATATATCCTGCTTCATTCCAGGATTCAAATGGAGACGGAGTTGGTGATATTAAGGGTATCATTTCACGTTTAGACTATATCAAGTCTTTGGGTGTTGATATAGTTTGGCTTAATCCATTTTTCGACTCTCCACAAGTCGATATGGGGTATGATGTCGCTGATTACAAGAAAATTTATTCTCCTTATGGAACAATGGAGGATGTTGAACAGTTAATTTCTGGATTGCACAGTCGTGGTATGAAAATGCTAGTTGACCTTGTAGTAAATCATACTTCAGATAAACATGAATGGTTCCAGAATTCGCGTTCTAGTATTGATAATCCATTCCGTGAGTGGTACATTTGGCGCAAACCAAAGATTGACAGTAATGGGAAGAAACATCCACCAAATAACTGGCTCTCTTATTTTGGTGGAAGTGCATGGGAGTATGATGAAGAAAGTGGAGAATATTACCTTCATCTTTTTGCAAAAGAACAGCCAGATTTGAATTGGGAAAATGAAAGCGTCCGCAAAGCAGTACACGATATTATTAGGTTTTGGTTAGATAAAGGAGCCGATGGCTTTAGGATGGATGTTATTAACTTCATTTCTAAAGATCAAAGATTTCCAGATGCTGAAATAGTTCATCATGATCGGGATTATCAGTGGGGACATAAATACTATGCGTGCGGACCAAGGTTGCACGAATATTTAAAGGATATTGGTGCTATATTGAAAGAATATAATGCCTTTAGTGTTGGTGAAATGCCAGCATGTGGGGATACTAACGAAATTATAAAAGCTGTTGGCGATGAACGTGGTGAATTAAATATGATTTTTCATTTCGAATTAGTCGATATTGATCACGGTGAGGATGGAAAATTTTACTCAACCAGGAAGTGGCCTCTCTCTGATTTACATCACATCACTGATAAATGGCAACGTTTTATGCAAACTAATAATGGATGGAATGCCATTTACTTGGAGAATCATGATCAACCACGTTCAGTATCTCGCTACGCTTCTGATGCTCCTCAATTTAGGACCGTTGCTGCGAAAATGATCGCTACGTTCCTCTCATTCCAGCAAGGTACTTTGTTTATTTATCAGGGCCAAGAGTTAGGACTCAGAAATGTTCCAAAGTCCTGGGATATTTCTCGTTATAAAGATATTGAAAGCATAAATCATTATAATCTGGTTATCAACAAGAAAAGTAGTCCTCAAGAAATTGCCTATGTGATGGATAATATTCAGAATATTTCTAGAGATAACGCCAGAGTACCATTCCAATGGGATAACTCCCCAAATGCGGGGTTTACTTCTGGCACTCCCTGGATTGAAGTGAACGATGACTATAAGACTGTCAATGCTTCCAGTGAAGAAAAAGATGATGGTTCTGTACTTAATTACTGGCGAAATATCCTTGAATTAAGAAAAACGCTTAAAGAAGTATTTGTGTATGGTGTGTTTGAAATGATTTCTAAAGCCTCCGAGGAAAATATTCTTGCATTCAAGAGAGTGACTGCTGGCAAAGAGGCATTAGTTATTTGCAATTTCTCATCAAAAGAAATTGAATGGACCATCCCCACTGAGTTTGTAGGTTCCAAAGTTTTATTATCTAATTATAGTGGCTCTAAATTTTTAAATGATAAGCTGTTTACCTTGGGGCCATTCCAGTCTATTGTTAGTCTTTCTGATGAACAATAGTCGATATTATGTTACAATTACTGAACTACCAATTCTTTATAAGGTTGTAGTGCAAAACAATCAAATAGTATAATTCAATAGATATATGGTTGTGAACTTATATTAATAACTTTAGTAGTAACAATTATTGAACGTATGTCTTCCTGGCTTATCACTTATAGAAGTGATATAATATCTTAGCGCAGATTTACCTGATACAAGTACCCAGGGCCTACGAATAGATTAAAAGTTAATATTTACAAGGTATCATATGAATATGTTTCTATCTTATCTTGAGTTTATAAATATACATACATATTATTGCCTAGTGAATTTATCACGACGTAACGAGTTATTATTATAGAACATATGTCAAAATCATGCGATTTCAATTCGTTCATTTTTGTCCACGAATTCCTTAATTCCATCTTCACCCATTCTCTCCATAAGTTTCCCGGCATTGAAAACTTCGACCTCAGTTGATTCAAATCGCCTTGATGGAGTCTTCTTCTCAAATAAAGCATCTAACTCAGCAAAGGTTCTTCCTTTGGTTTCTGGTAATTCAAAAAAGGCCCATGCTGCACCAATTATGGAAAATCCAGCCCAAAAGAAACCAGCTTTAGCTTTCCAGTTCCAAGCAGTAGGGTTGAGCATATAAGGAGTAATTACCGTAACCGCTATACCTGCTATATTATAGAAGTTCCTAGCAAGAATTATTGACTTTGTGCGTAGACGGATAGAGGGTAATTCTGTTACAATACAGTAAACTATGGGACCAACAGATATATTATACGCAAACGCAAAAGCTATCAAAAGTGCTCCAATCCCCCAAGAAGCAGCGTTTTGTTGAGAACAGCCAAGGGCTCCAATGATCAAAAGAAGAATACTCATGCAACAAAGACCATAAAAATAAATCAAAAAGCGGCCATACCGGCGGGAAATAAGCCAAGATCCAAGCGTCCCTATGATACCAATAACATACATAATTATGGTGAAAGTGAATGACATGTCTTCGGACATGCCAGCTTGTATGAAAAAATACGATGCATATCCCATAAGCGTAGAGCCGCAGACGTTTTGAATAACCCAAACAAGGCAAGCGATTCTTGTACGACGTAAATCCTTACCTTTAAAACAATCCATATATGAAGGAAGATCACTTGAGTCATTTACTTTCTGTTCATCATCAATAGTCATTTGGATCTTATGGAGCATTGCTTTAGAAAGTTGATCCTTGTATAGAGCATTGTTTTCAGTGATCAATCTTTTCAAACAAATATCAGCCTGTTCTAATTTTTGCTTCTTAACCAACCACCAAGGAGATTCAGGTGCTAAAAATATTCCTATCATGATTGGTATTGGCCATGCCCATTGAATAGCAAAAGGAACACGGTATGCGAGGGCTGAATCATTGGACACGAACCCTCGAAGAACACCTGCGGCAATCAATTGACCAATACTCCAGCACATATTCACGTAAGTGGTTAAGTATGGACGTAGAACTAGTGGACAAACCTCTGAAGCGTAGGAAATAGAAAGAGTTTGAAAGGCGCCCCAAGGAACACCTAGTAAAACTTCCCCTGCAAGAATCATCTCAATATTTTTAGCAAAAAAAGGAATGAATATAAATCCTGTTACTAATATCAATGAAAATATTAGGGTCTTTCTATAGCCTATCCTATCTGCAATAATACCAGCTATAAAAAGGCCAATGATCTCACCAATATTAACTGACATTTGAATAGCTGTCTGCCAGCGTGCAGGAATCTCGTATGTTCCATCGGAATATTCTCCGTACTTTTCTTTAAAAGCCGGAAATCCAAAAAATGATGCTATCAAGGTTGTATCGTACCCCTCCATAATAATAGCAGAGGAGAGGACGATAGACCAAGCAGCAGCTTTAGGAAACTTTTTTAACCCTTCAAGCAATGTCATATTTTTCTCCTCTGCCTCATTATTTTTTGCGTTGTTTGATATGTCAAGGAACTTGTTTATATAATCATCAATATCATTAGAGTCAACAGATTGAATATCTTTTTCGAGCGATTCCTTCACTCTAGTCACCTCATTTGGGTAGTCTATATTTTCAACAAAAGTGGTGGACATTGGTTAATATTGGTTGACATTGGTTAAATTCAACTTTTGTTTTGTTACCCCAGGAGAGGTAATCCGTTATTTATTATATTTATCCGAAACATATCAATCCGAAATTGTTGAATCACCCCGCCCCCTCATTTATTTCCCCACAAATTATTTACGAAACAATTAGGATTTTCCGAAAAATTGATTTTGCTATTGTCTTAAGAATTGTATAAGACACGAATTTATCCTAGTTGACAATAGGAATGGCTTTTAAGATGGTATGAAAGTTTCAATATGTCGGAAAAAAGGATTTTCCAAACGAAAAATATAGCGACGGAATATGCGAGACAGTTAAAATTGCATTTCTCAACAATAAGTAAGGATTCCAAGTACTTATAGGTGGAAAATTACTAGTTGCAATATTAATAAAACAACTGTACAGTATTGCTGAAATGACTGTTGATTATAGATGGTGGAAAGATGCATGTGTGTACTAGGTTTGGCTAGCCTCATTTAAGGATTCAAAACGAGATGGAATCTGTGATATTCCAGGAATAATCGATTTAAAGAAAGCAATTGAAGATCAGTACAGCAGTCAGTAACCCTTCTCCAAAATATAGAGAGGAGTCGGGTAAATTGCTTGCCTTATTGCAAATTAGTATATCTGGAACCCTTTTCATTTATCAAGGCCAAGAGATTGGGATAACAAACTTTTCAAGCTCATGGCCCATTGAAGATTATCTTGATATTAATTCCATTACTTATTTCAAGCATTATAGCGAGAAACATAAAAACTATAAGAAATCCATAGAGAAATTGATGTCCAATATGGTCTTGTCAGCTCGTGATCATGGTAGACCTCATGTGCATTGGGATGACTCAGCTAATGCTAGATTTAGTAGTTGTGTACCATGGACCAAAGTCAATGATAATTACACCTATATAAATGTTCAGAAACAAGTCGAAGGTCCTGCCTCATTATTATCTTTTTGGAAAGAATGTTTGAAACTTAGAAATCTTACAAAGATTTACTTGTTTACGGATTTTTAAACATTCTCATTCTTGACGTTGGAAATGAGAATTTATTTTCTTTCACCAAGACTAAAAATGGCGAGATAATCTATGGTGTCTTAAACTTTAGTTCAGGATTGCAAAAATTTGAGCCAGAGATATCTGGACTTGGTACCTTCGTGTGACTAATATGATGTAATTCATGAAGCTTTATGTTAACCAGAAATCCATCAGTCTACAGCCTAGACTGATTGGAAACTTTGCTGATATCGCATTTTATAAGAGAGGTTGGTGGAAGTGCAGTGAACAGGCATTAGAGTGGGCAGTGCTAAATGCAACGTTAGAATAGCTAGAAACAAATTATATTATAATATACAGCATAAAATACAACAGGTGTAGAAACAAATTAGATTCAATTCATTCAGAAAGAAAAAAGGTAATTAAAGAGTAGAACTAAACAATAATTTAATTGTATAAGACAAACTTACCCTTACCATTGGTAACACCAACGGTACAGCCATCGGTACCGTCACCGTTGTAACTACCATTTTCGTAGGTACATTCACCACTGACAGTGGAGTCACCGTCAGCGACGATCTTAACCTTGAAGTTCAAAGAATCCTTGTTGTTTGGGTTTGGAATCAAAGATAAGTAGGCAATACCGTTGTCGTAACCGGCACCGAAGTTCAATGGAGCCCAGTTACCGATACCGGATCCAGAGGTACCCCAGACACAACCGTCAGTCCAATCAACACCAGCATTGTTAACGTAGTATTGAGCGGAGGTTGAGCCACCCTTCCACTTGTAGTAAGTAGATTGGTCGACAACAGAAATTGGAGAAGAGGAGCCACCGTCAACAACAGTTGGGATAACCATGTTTTCGGTACCTGGGTAATCGGTACGACAGATAGCGACAGTCTTAGACAATTGGTTCACAACACTGGCCTTGTTTTCATCCCAAGCACACAAAGTTTTTTGGTCACTGTTGGATTTGTATAACTTACCGTTCTTACATAACAAACCACCGATAGAAACACCGTTCAGAGGTTGGTTAGATGGCCATTGGGTCTTGGACATACCAGATTGACAAGCGTAAGAACAGTAAGCACCTTCCTTACAGTTACCACCGGTAGAACCATCAGAGTTTTCAATACCAGACCAACCACCGAATCCTAAGTGGTCTAAAGCAACGACGCCTTGACCAGATGGGAAATCGGAACAAGAAATGGTACCATCTTCGAAGTCCTCAGATGGATCTTCGAAAGCAGATAAGTCACCAGTTGGAACAGAACCGGAAGAACCACCGCTGGAAGCAGTGGAAGAAGCGCTGTCACTGGATGAGCTAGCAGAGCTCGAGTCACTGCTGGATGAGCTAGCAGTGGAGGTAGCAGCGGATGAAGATTCTTCAACAGAAGTGGTAGATGCAACCGAAGTGGTGGAAGTGGAATCAGATTCTTCAGTGGCAGAAGTAGCAGTTGATAAAGAGGTGGTGGTACCTTCAACAGCCTTACCGTTTCCGTCCACGGTAACAGTAACATAAGCGTAATCGTAAACAACTTCTCTCTTATGCTTGTGGTGAGCGTGCACTTGAGTGGTGGCACAATCTTCGTCTTGTGCTGGAGCTGGAGCAGCTAAAGTAACAGTGGACAAGGCCGCGAATGCAGCAATAGTAGCTTGAGTAAATTTCATTGTAACTTAATATATTAGTATATGATTTTTTTTAATACCTATAGTACAGGATGCAAATGATGGTGTTTATGACGAATTAGACTTTTGATATTAACCCCAGTAACCAAATGAGTGTGGTTATAATAAATATTAGTAGTGATAAAATGAATGAATATTTTAATAATGACAGTGTAAAATAACGAAAGGATTCTTCCATCTAGTTATATGACTTCGTGTTGATACTTACTTCGAGCTTAGTTTCAGGGGGCCCCAAGCAAGTGTTGTAATGGTGAAAACAATAATAGCAGGAGCCATTTTGCATCCATTGAACTTTCGTGTTTTCGAGAGAAACCGCGCTTGGAATACCGGAAATGGAGATTTTAGGCGCGCCCCCGGAATGGATGCGTGCGGCTAAAATAGGAAATCGGCATCCAACCAGCATTTCATGAAACCGTGAATTGTAGCATGTTTGTTACAAGCTTCTATGTCATCGGTTTAATACCTTCCACCCATGATACTGTGAATTCCACTAGATCTCTATCATAAGTGATTTGCAGGGTATTTTATACTAATCGTAAGTCCAATCAACCCAAAGAGAAGCCATAGTCCATAGTGCGCACTACATTCGCAAAAGTGGCCTTCCTGACATTATTCACTATAGTCCTCATCCATAATTTTCATTCACATAGTCATATCACAACCACTCAAATCCTTGCATCTTGTAAAATATCAATATACATACCAATGATTTAATCTGAATCTTTTGGGTAAAGGAGTGACAGGTTTAATAACCGGATAATAAAAGAAGTTCAGTTAAATTTAACGACAGTAGAGTAATATCAACAAAAATTCCAGAGAAATGCCTACAGAATATTTAGTGGAAATGTGCTTAATTTAAACAATTTCGAGGTTTGGGATCATTGGCTATTTCACCATTATCTGGCATTGATACAACGAATCTGCAAGCGACGCGGGCTGGTTCTACTTGTTGTAGACATCGGTGCAGGAAGTTACTTGATTTGTTAAACGGTTTTCCATTCGCGTAGTTTACAATTGATAATTCCGAGGGTGAATAATCAACAATGCAGCATACATACCTAGATATACGAGAATATTAACCCGCGTAAGGAGTTCTTGGTCATCATATCACAATCTAACAGGTATGAAATGAAGCCGAGAAATCGTACTTGCATGAGGTATGTTATAGTGAAACTCTAATCGTACAATTTGCAAACATTCCATATCAGTTAAGAAGGAGTGCGAGGAATGTTTCAATAGATGATGTGAACCTGCAAGACATATATGATTGGCACATGATTGTTTGTAGTGTTCGTAGTTCTGTGGTGAATGATGTAGGCTTTGGAGCAAGGCTCAGGTGTATTGCTACAATAAAATAGGAAGGAATGTCGTAGGTAACAGACATTCCAGTTGTATAAGCAAAATCATGAAACCTTGATTTGTTGATCATTGGATGACCTACGTAGACGGTATCACATGAGTGATTTTGGAATCGGGTTAATAACAAATTAGTGCAACCCTTTGCGATGTTTATTATTTATATTTGTGTGGTTTCATATGTATTGGAAATTTCAAGAAATTCTACCAAAAATTCTCAATTTTAGAAACTATTGTAGGCTCACAGGTTATATTGACCGGAATACAACCTCATTTCTTCACGAAGGTTGCTCTTATTCAACATAATCTCATTTAGTTAATTGAAATGACGATGATGTAATTACCAAAGACTTTATCATACAGTAGCCAGTACTACTTTTATTGTCATGAACACCAAGCCCACAACCACCAATGTCAAACCATAATTTGGGTAATATCTTATCAAGCAGCTGAACAATAAGCATTTGGAAACTATTGCTATCGATTCAGTTTATTATAATCTTCTATATTATGGTGATGTGGCTTATACTAGTGCTTGCAAAACATGGTGCTTGCAAAAAGCTCCATTAGGTTTGTGTTCCAATCGTCTCATTGATGTTTCACGTGATTCAAAAATAGTTTGTAATGATCATCACAAAATGCATAGGAATTTTTCAGGCCATATAATTAGCATTGATAAGAAGATTTCTTTTGATTTTAAGTAAATATGACGGAAGAAAATGCATTGGAAGATAGTAACAAGGATTCAAATTCTATTGAAGTAGAAATGAAAAAACCTACTGAGTTAGAGGAGGAAACTGCGGGACATAAATCAAGAAGTTCGGATGGAATCACTCAAGATAACCAAGACGATATTGGTGTTGAAATTGATGTCGCTGATGGTAAGTCTAGTGGTATTAATACTGAGGAATCTGCTGAGCTTGAAAATACAGTTTGTGAAGCACATGAAGATGAATCTAGGAATTCTTTAGATAAGACTGAGGGATCGAGCGAACCAGAGGGTAATGCAGCAGATGCCCTAAATGACAGTGATAGGATAGAACCAGAAGAAGAGCAGTCTAGTAATGCAAATGAAATCGAAATCGAAAATCAAATAGACGAGGGAAATGCCACTAAACTGGATCAGAGAAACGTTCTTGAGCAGGATGAGAGCAATTCTCCGGAACAGGATGAGATCAAAGAAAATATCAGTAAGACAGAAGAAACCAAGAAATGTATGACAGAATTTGATGACGATTCTAAAGATAAAACCACATCTGAAATTAAAGAAAACGAAAACGTTGACAAGCTATTGAACTCAAAGCCATCAGAGAAAGTTGAATCGTATTCAGACGACGAAATTGAATTGGACGATGAAATATCATCTGATTCAGACGATTCAAGTGAAAGCTCTGATTCAAGTTCTGAATCAGATTCAGATTCAGACTCAGAATCAAGCTCAGATGGTGAAGAAACAAAAGTATCCCATGAAGATATAGGAGATTTGGCAGACGATGAAGACGAGCCATCAAACGGACCAATAGTTTCAAAAAATGAAGTAGCTGATGAATCTGCTCCAAAGTTGCCGGAGAATTACAAAATTCCTGATAATGCACCTTTGGAATTAATTGGAGAAATTACTGGACTTGTTGAGAAAAGTGTTATTATTAAAGCCAATATTTCGGGTGAGTTCAGGGTGCTTAATGAAAGTTCTATATTTTGTTTTGAAGATAGAACCGTATTAGGCCCATTGTTCGAAACATTTGGAAGATTGCAATCTCCAATGTATCGTGTTAAATTTGATGACGAAAACGAATTCAACAAACTTAAGCAAAAGAAAGGTGCTAAGGTGTATTATGTAGTTCCAGATTCACAGTTTATCTACACTGACACTATTAAAAATTTGAAAGGGACAGATGCAAGTAACTGCCATGATGAGGAGTTACCGGAGGAAGAGCAAGAATTTTCAGACGATGAAAGAGAACTAGCAGCCAAACAGTCGAAAAAAAGAAAGAAGAAATCCAAGAACATTAAGGATAATTCTGAACTGCATGATCCTCAGCCTCCAAAACAAACGAATAATAGAAAAAGACATCATGGTAGCACTAACAACACAGAAAGTAATAATAGTAACCAAAATTCGAAGTATAAACCATATGGATATCCACAGAATAACCAGGCTCAACAATTTAATGTAGCTCCAGCAAATAATGTACATCAGCATAATAATCCATTGATCCATGGTCTACCAAGTTTACAAGTTCAACAAATTTTGCAACTTCAACAACAACAACAACAACAACAACAAGCTTATGTTCCCCAGGTACAACCAAATCAACAGCAACAGCAACCTTATTTCCCTTCACCTCAAACATTTCAGCCGCAGTTACAAAATCAGTTTCAAGGCAATTCACTGGTTTATGGTACTCCGTACAATCCGCAGCAACAACATAATATGCTAGGTCAGAATCAACACCCTATTTACAATCCGAACCAACAACCTCCAAATCCATATTTTCCACAAGGAACCCCAACCCCTTACGTTCCTAATGTCCCTCAGAATAATTTCTCACAGTGGAATCAAAGTCCTCAACAAAATCAATTACAACAATTGCAGCAACTTGTGGTAAATCATTTAAATGGGCAAACTCAGCAACAATCACCAGCATCTAATAATCTGCAATATCCTGGAGGAAACAGCCAATTTCCTCCTCAAAACTAGAAATGCATTATTTATTAAAAATTTAAATATGTACAGATGTGTATATAGTTTCTATAAATGAACCATTTATTATTTTATTAGTTTTAGAGCTTTTCGAGCTTTAGATAATGCAGACTCAGGAAACCCTGCCATTTTGGCTACTTCAAGAGCATATGATCTATCGCTGATCCCTGGCTCAAGAGAATGATCTATAATTAAATTAAAATTTCCATCTTTTTGAATAGTTTTTTCATGCAACACTTTTGTTCTGTAATACCGAATTTTATCTTGTTTAATATTATTGGAAATTAATAGATTTTCGAGTTCTTTGCCAAAATGAGTTGCAAATAAAGTCCGGCATTTATTAACATGAAGTAATTCCAATAAAGTGGCATAGGCAATTGCTAACCCTTCCTTTCCACTGGTCCCCCGACCAATTTCATCAACTATTGCTAAGGATCTTGGTGTAGCATTCCTTAAAATATTGCTTGTTTCTACCATTTCGACCATAAATGTACTTAAATCACTGTAAAGATCGTCGGATGCGCCAATTCTTGTGAATATTTTATCCACTATCCCTAAGCTTGCTTTTTTAGCAGGAACAAAGGAGCCTATCTGAGCCAAGATAACAATTATAGCATTTTGTCGCAAATATGTACTTTTACCTCCCATATTCGGACCTGAAATTACCCATAAATTACCATCAGAACCAACTTTAGTATCATTAGGAATAAACATATCGCTGACACTTTTCAAACCTGATTCCACCACAATGTGCCTACCACTGGTGATATTTAATTGAGGCGTCTTAACAAATTTCGGACACACTAAGTTATTTTCTTCTGCTAGAATTGCAAACGAAGAAGTAACATCGAGGTAATCTACTAATTTGCTAACGTTTCTTATTTCTGAAACTCTATCTAAAACCTCTTGACGCAATTTGTCAATTATTTCTTTTTCAGACTCTTTGATGATATCGATTTGTTCATCTATTAATGCTTGCAACTTTCCCCATGATTCTGGTTTATATAATAATGATCCCTTTCTTCGTTCACGAATATCCGAAGATAACAATTTATAAGCTTCGTCAATCAGTTTCTGTTTACCTGAAATATATAAAACATTTAGGTATCTTCCATGTTGAGACTTCTTTATAACAGTTAACTTCGAATCAATCTCTTGAATTTGTGTTCGTATTGATTGGATCAAATTATTCTCTTGAATCATGAGTTCTTCTAACTTGTCATGAGCTTGCTTCAATGTAGAATCATAATCCTTTTTTACTGCAAAAGAAGTACCCTGCTCTAATTTCTGTTTTCTCAAGTCTTTATATTTTTCAATAGATTTATTACTAACAGAGTATATTGCGGATTCAAGTTCCTCTGCGTCTTCTTGTTCAGTTTCTACAAAGTCACCAGTATCAATCTCAGAAACATTGAGAGTAGAAAATATCTTCTCAGCTATGGTGCTGCTAACTTTAAATTGCTTAAGAAATGGATCTAAAACTTTGCCCGCATATTTGTCTCTTTTGGCTTCTTCTTCAAGAAACGAATGAAGGCTTTCTAGTTTGGTTAAGCCATCACCAATATATTGAAGATGAGCTACTACATCACCAGTTCCGAATACAAGTCTTTGAACTGAGCGAATAAAGTCTCCTAATTGTGATAATTGTGATCTTAGGGATAATTTAAGGTAGTTATTTTCCTTGAAAAGAATAACAAACTCTTGCCGACGACGAAGTTCAGAAGCATCCAAAATTGGAGACTTAAGCCACTGGGTTAGCAAACGGGTTCCAGATGGCGTTATAGTTCTCTTAATAGTGGTTAATAGAGAACCCACCGTTGATGTGTGGCCACCTGTTGATCTTTCAGTTAATTCTAATGCTTCACGGGTTCGAGCATCCATTTGTAAGCGATCTTGGTTCCAATACTGAATTGGTACATCAAGTGTAGGGTCTGTATCTGGAAGATTCACATTAATATAAGACAAAATCATGTTCATTGCCATTTCCTCCTTAATTGAAAAGCTTTCCAATTTTTTTCTTGTTGTTTGCAAATTTGATTTAAATTGGAGTTTCAAATCCTTGTAGATTGTCTTGTGATAACGTATGAAGTATTTCCTTAGGTCTTGTAAGGACAGATGCCATTGACCACTAGTCAAGTTTTCGTGCTGAAATTCCTTGGAAATAATTATTTCACTTGGGTTTATTCGTGATATATCACCTATGAGCTCACCCAAAGTAGTTTGTTGTACATAAAACTCTCCAACTGATATATCGATCCACGAAAGCCCTATACTAAGATCAATATCAGCTGGTGTTTTGTGGAATTTTGTGGGAAATGCAATTGCAACTAGATAGTTGTTCTGATTATAATTCAAAAATGTTTCATCAACAAGAGTTCCTGGGGAAACGATTCTTGAAATCTTACGATGAATTATTGAATCATTAATGCGTTTTTCAAGCGGATATTGGTCTATAATTGCAACATTTACATCTAGATCTTGTACTAATGATTTGACAAATTTTTGCAATTGGTATGTGGGAAATCCAGCCATTGGTATAGAATAATTATTTGTTTTCCTAGAAGCTACCTTTAAGCCTAACTTCGGGCCGTATACTTCAGCTTGTTCAAAATATAGTTCATAAAAGCTCCCCACTTGAATCAAACAGACACATCCTGGATTAGCATCAATTAGATTTTTCATAGAAGCGTACAACGGTGTCAAAGCTTCATTCTGAGTCCGACCTCCTCTGTCCCAATCTAAAAGCGGTAGCTCTGTAGTATTAATTAATTCATTTCTAACTTCTGTCTCTGATTTGACAACGTTAGTCTTTTGAGCGTATCTATAAAAATTTGATATTGTAAAATTTCGAAGATGGGTTGATAATTTCAATCTTTTCGGCAGAAACTTATTTTGATATAATAATTTACGAAGTGTCATATTGGGGAAAATCTTTAATGTGTTGTCTCGAGAAAGTCATTTATCATTGATTCATTGCTCATTACTAAGAGTTTTTGCTATAGTTACAATAAGTATCATTTACAATAGATCAATATTTTTCAGATCAAACGCGTGTGACGTTTTATTAAATATATTAAAGCTATTTAGTTTAAGTAACCTTTACAGCCAGGAGCACCACATAGACATCTAATACGCTCAGCATCATTGGTCTCCTTTTCAAACTTATAATCATAAGTTAACTCTTCGTTAGCTTCAATATCACGTAATGCATAAATAACAATTCTCTTTTTACCTTCGACTTTAATAATTTTAGCTGTACAACTTGGGTTACAGCAGTGATTAATAAATCTTGCTATTCCACCCTTCTTCGTAGCATCAACAACCGTATTTTCATCAATTCTAAAAAGATATGACGAACCTATTCCTGTCTTTAAATAACTTCTTTCCCTATGTTCAGCCACTTGTTGACGAATACTTTCACCTACGTATTCAATAATCATTTCTTTAGCTGCGATTGGTTCTAAAGCATATAATCCCCAATTATGAATAGCAGATCTTGCAAAAGAAACTGGTTTTTTACGCTTAGTAAGAGCATTCAAGTTCAATATATCTGTCTCACTTCCAAGCATTTGCTTTTGCGCACTGATATCAGCAGCAAATCTCCTGTTATTAGCCCTATTGACACGAGAACTCTGAATATTATTACTATTATTATTCGTTGTAGTACTGGAGGTATTGGATTCATCATCATCGTGTTGAATAGTTTTAATTGGTTTATGAATTTTACGACGATGTGGAAGATATTCAATTTTATCTGCATCAGGGATTTTCCTGTATCCTTCACTCCTGAAAGAACCACTCTTAGAATCGAATCGGGAATCCAATGGTCCTATAATTTCTAAATCTTCAGATATTTCTTGGACACCTGCTTTAGCTTTAATGTCTTTCTGCTTCCAAGCCCAATATTCCATGTTCTTTATACCAGATTCAGATGTGACATCAGCCAATGCTGTTTGAAGTAAAGTCATATCTTCATCATCTTTAATGATGTTTTGCAAGGCATCCAAATCGAGTGGATCATTAGGAAACCTAGGGCTTTCTTCATAAACTGGCCGTGGATAATCATCTGTTGGTTGATAAATTTTATCGACATGAGAATAGTCTATGTCATCCTCATCTTCCGTTTCAGCTTTTTCTACTTCCTTATCTTCCTCTTTTTCTTCTGAAACAGGTTCCATATCTTCATCAGAAGCTGAATCATACAAGAATGATTGACGTAATTTTGTTTTCTTTTGTTTCTTTTTAACCGATTTTTGGGTGTCTTCTAATTTATCATCAACATCGTTATCATTATTCACACTACTAACCGTTGGGCTTCGTTCTCTTTTCAATGTAGGTGTTAAAGGGGTAGTTGATCTAGTTGAGTCATCTTCGTCCGATTCATCAGATTCGTGATCATAATTAAGGGCATGTTGCATTGGAATTACATTCTTTTTTGCTTTATTAGCATTTAATACTGAATTTAATCCAGACTTTGGCAAATCATTTTTCTTCCTAAAGCTTGGTAATACTGTTTGTGGTTTACTCTTAATAGCAAGTGAAGACAACATATGAGGTTTTTTAACCTGAGATACATTGTTGGTTACTACAGGAGGTGCTGCTTTTTTAGCAGCCAATTCTTTAGCCTTGAGCTCTTCAACCAACTTTGGGTATTTGTCATGACTTAATAAATCGAGAACAACAGGAGCAATGACTCTTTCCCTGATGTCCTTAGCTAAGAAGTTTTGAAATTCCTTGATTAACATGTTACTTGCTTCTTCTACGACATCATTCTGTTTTTTGTTAGACGCAAATAAATCAGAATTATCATTATTAGAAGCCAGTGAAGTGTTCTCATTGAAATTTTCAGGTAAAGCTAATTCCATAAACATCTTGTATTCAAAAAACTTTCTTCCATCCTCATTTATAAAACATCTTTCACATTCTTTAATCGAGTTGAATACAACAAAAAAACCTGATCTATCTGGAAGAACTCTCGTCCAATCGTATTTGTTGAGAACCTTTTTAATATCTTGTGATGAAACTTTTCTGGTAGAAACATATTTATCGTTTATAAAAATATAAGGACGATCTTTAATGTATTTTCTTAATTCTCGAGGCAAAAATACACCGGGAATAACTTCATTATTATGTCTTATTGACAATGTTGTTGTATTTGGTTTGAACTTAGATCCATACGAATAAGTTGCAGATTCTTGCAACTTCTTTTCCTTTGCCGCCCTTTCTGCTTCTCGTCTCTTTTGATCTTCAATGGCTTGCTGCAACTTAAGTCGCTTCTTTTCTTCCTCCTCGATTTTAAGTCTTGAAATTCGTAGCTTATCCAGTGCCACCTTTATTTTACTATCCAATAACTTATTATCGTTGTCATTAAGGGCAATTTTTAATTCGGCCCCATCTATTTTGGTATGGTTTACTCTGACATTAGCAATGAACTTTTTCGCAATACGCATAGATTTATCTGGATTTCCCTGAAATTTGCAAGTAGCAATTCCTAACGGAACAGCGTTTAAAGGATCATTAATAAACTTCAAATCTTTAATTGAATCTCCATAGCTTTTGAAAAAATTACTTAAATAAACCTCACTCGTTGTTGACGGTAAATCCCACACAACAATTTCATTTTGTGGTGGAGGACCTAAAGAGTCCTTATCGTAAATAAACTTTGGTTGAGGTAATTGTTTGAATGGAAATTTCTTCGATTTCTTATTTGGCTTGAGAAAATATGCTGATGTGCTTCCAGTACTTGATTTTCTTGGATCAGTGACTTCATGGCTAGAAACCGATTCTCCATTAAACCTAATTTTTTTCTGCTTGGTCTTGCGTTCTGCTTTGGAAAGTGATTTATCTAACTCCGGGTCATATATCACTTTGTAGTTTCTCTTGGGGTCTATTTCGGTTGTATATTCAATTTGTTTCAGTAGATCTTGGTGAAGTAAAAGCTGCGTAAAGTTGGCGTCGTTTGGATTAATACCTGTAGTGGGATCAGTACCACCAACCATATTTGCCAGTGGAATGTTATGCTTATGGGTCTTTGATGATATGCCTCCATTTTCGGAACCATCTATAGCCAATGATTTCAGTCCTACTGGAGTCTTTGTTGGTCCTGAACTAGACGAGTTTGAGTAAGTACGCGACGATGAATCCGACGAATATGCCGATGAACTTGGTGGTGGGCCATTTCTGCTCGTACTCGACCCGTAATGGCGACCTTTACTACCTGAATATGACCCATTTCTGCTATACTGATCACGATATGAAGAATGGTGGGAATTCTCATTATAATCATTATAATCATTATAATCATTATAATCATTATAATCATTATAATAGTGTCGTTGCCTATAACCGTTATTTGAATATCCTCCCCCGTAATTCCTCAGTCGATAAGGATTATATGACATGTTTAAACCTACTCTAATCCCTTGTTTAAACCTATGCAGCGACTATCAGTTATAATTCTCTCTTAGCTAGGTTTATCTCTAACTCTATTATGTCCTGCGATATAAAGCCTATCTATGTACAAAAGGGAGAACTAAGAATAGAGTACTCAAAACCAACCTGTAAATTATTATATTACCTTTCAGTCTAAGGGTCCTATGAACTGGTTAAATACTTATCAATATATAGAATAGTGCTCTGGTGGGTTTTTGTTTATACTGAAAACTCTGAAGACAGGATCTGACTTATATACAGGAAACATACAGACTAAGGCTAATTAATTATGAATATATTGAATAAAAATACGGAGTACAGTAATATATATATAACGTGAAGTGTAAGTAATGATGACAAGACATCAGACGGTACGAAAACGCCGCCAAACGACGACAGTCGCCGAACAAATTCTAATATGTCCCAAGTGGGACCATTGGACTTGGAAATGCAATTTTAAACTAATGGGACTTAACCTACGTGTATGACGCCAATTATTTAGTTCTAATGTGCTTCAAAGGCCCGGAAGAGTGGAGAAAGTTGGTGGCATATTCCTTCTTCCTGAAGTGTCTCTTCTTAGGTTCCTGGACATAGTGGTCCCATCCTTGACCCTGAGCAAATCTGATGGCCGCTTCCTTGGTGTCGAAATGCATGTTAGTACCTTGCATGTAATCAGCGGACGATTGGTAACCAATTAAATCGTTTTCCCATCTGTTTCCTCTGCCCAAAACATCCCAGTTCAATGTCCAGTGGCTTCCGTTGTGGTTGCTAGATTGTGTGGCTGGCTTGGCTTCTTGGTAAATTCTGACGATTCTCTTGGTGGTCATTTCTTCTGGTGCCCCCGATACTAATTCCTTTGGCTTTTGTGCATGGTCATATAATTCTGGCATCTTTTGTCTAACACCGCTGCTTAATGAAAACATACGGGCGCTGTTCACATTCAAAGGTCTGGCCACTTGTCTAAATAACATCTTTAGTCTATGTGTATGTGTTATTGTATTCAATACAGTCAATCTATCGAATTAATGGATCAATCTACTATACCTACTATGTTGATAGTAACCAAAATTGATGAAATTCTGGTTGGCTAAAAAAATCCTACCCGCGATTACCCGGAACTAAACATGTGCCGAGTCACATGACATATATATAAATATTTCAGCTCTTTAGTACCGTAGGATATACGAATATAGTCTCTAGTATATACCGTGTTTATCAGATGAGCAACTCACAATTGAAGCTATCGCTCAAGGATATTATACCGACTCACCCAGAGCCTTATCCACCTCAACTAGTATCGTTTGTGGACTACTTGTACCAGTTGAGCTTGCAGAAAAACCCGGTGCTACCAAATCGAGCAGAGATAGCTAGATGCCATTTCTGTGCATATTTGGCAGCAGAGAAGTACCAGCGGGCGTTGAAGCTACCCGAGCCGTCAGTTCGGAAAATACCAGTGCAGCCCAAGCTAATTGACAAGTTTTTGGACGATTTTCGGGTTACGTTGTTGAACCAGGAGAGATCGGCGAGTGGAAGCCCCACCACCAGTCCTACGAAGAGACGGACACAGAAAACGCTGAATTTTACCACGCCTACGTCGTCCCCGTCCAAAATCACCAAGCTATCGCCCATGAAAAATGCGACCCCTAAAATCAGTTCCCCGTTGAAGAAGTTGCAAGCATTGCGAGATCAGGAGCTTAAGCAGGCTGGATCCAGCTCGGCACCTGCATCGCTGGACATTAACGACGAGGAATCGATCTTTAACCAGAAAGACGCATCGGAAGCATCTGATTCGGTGCCCAACACTCCGTCTACACCTAGTACTAAATACGTCAAGCGACAGATCACCATCGCTGACTTCATCTCGTTCGCCAACAACTTCTTCATTCCGGCGTCGATTACTCCCAAGATGGTCGAGTCCTTTGTCTCGCACAAGCACAAGTTCACCAAGAAAAACGAATGGCTCTTAGCCTGTGGTATGATAAACGCAGCGTACCTGCGCATCAACCACCACTTGCTCCAAAAAACCATCGGGGCCAAATCCCAATTCCAGAACCAGCTATTCCAGTACCAAAAGGGTGGTCTCATGCGATGGAACATGCTCTTGTGGTGCAATATAATTGAAGACGCCATTAAGGATGAACCGTGGATATCGGAAATAGAACAGAACTACATATTTGGTAAGTCACCTTTACATGAAGACGTAGAGAAGAGAGAAATTGATGCAAAATTGGGACCTGGTTGGGAGTTATTTGAACGTTTTGGCTCAATGAGTCATCCAAATGTTCAGCTTGATTCCGATTCACAAAAGCTCTATCATAGTATATGGACAAACAACATCATTTCACAATTGGATAGTTAGATATGTGTTAGTATTCAATAACCATTAGTATAATCTAGTCATTACCCGGCAGACTTTTTTTTGTGACACAAAATAGTTTTTTTTTCAAGTTGCATCTACAACTACTTTAGATAAGTATATACATCAAACATTGATTCCACTTATTATCGGATTCTTTTATAAAACATTTGTATATATTGAAGAAGATTTTTAGATATTTCTTCGTTTATTTTAGAGATTAATAATATTGATTGGTTACTGATAGAGAACGGTAATATTTACATATTTGCATTTAATTTTCAGCACTAAAGAATTCATTACATTTAATAAAATTTCACACATTATGCCTGATATTCCTACAAAGAGAAGATTATCAAATGGGTCTATGAGTGACACCACGAATAAGAGGCAAATGGCGTCTTCTTTTGTGCCAGAAGTGGCGCAAGAACTGGATGGTTATCTTTCCGAAGACAGTTCAGATCAGCCTGTATTTGATATGCCAGTAGCAGCAAATAGCAACCAGTGGCAAGAGACCATCACAAAGGTTGTGAAGTCGGTGGTTTCAATTCAGTTTACACACGTGAGCAATTTTGATACTGAATCATCCATAGTTAGTGAAGCCACTGGGTTTGTTGTTGATGCCAAAAGAGGATTGATTTTAACCAATAGACATGTGGTAGGACCAGGTCCATTTTGTGGTTATGTTGTTTTTGACAACCACGAGGAAGCAGTTGTGAAGCCAATTTATCGTGATCCAGTCCATGATTTTGGATTTTTGCAATTCGATGCCAAAAGCATCAAATATATGGATGTCACACAGCTTGAATTAAAGCCCGATTTGGCTAAGGTTGGTACTGAGATAAGAGTTGTGGGTAATGATGCTGGTGAAAAGTTGTCTATTTTAGCGGGATTCATCTCGAGATTAGATAGAAATGCCCCAGACTATGGTGCCTTAACATATAATGATTTTAATACCGAGTATATTCAGGCTGCAGCCAGTGCATCGGGTGGTTCGTCAGGATCGCCAGTTGTAAATGAAGATGGACATGCTGTTGCTATACAGGCTGGTGGCTCATCTGAAGCTTCTACTGATTTCTTTCTTCCAGTCTACAGACCTTTGAGAGCTTTGCGTTGTATCCAAGAATCGCAACCAATCACTAGAGGTGATATTCAAGTAGAATGGCTGTTAAAGCCATTTGATGAATGTAGAAGATTAGGTTTAACGCCTGAAGCTGAACGCATAGCAAGAGAACGTTTCCCAGACAAAATCGGTTTATTAGTAGCTGAATTGGTTTTACCGGAAGGGCCAGCTGATCAACTAATTAAAGAAGGTGATACTTTGATTTCTATCAACGATGAGCCAATTTCTACTTTCATTAAAGTTGACGAAATTTTGGACGAAAGCGTAGGTCAGGAATTGAAGTTTGTTATTCAAAGAGGAGGTGAAGAAATAACTCAAACTATTAAGATTGGTGATTTGCATGCTATAACTCCTGATAGGTATGTTGATGTTGCGGGTGCATCTTTCAACCAGATGTCGTACCAAGTTGCTAGGTGTTATTGCATTCCAGTTAAAGGTGTTTACATAAACGATGCATCAGGTTCATTTGAATTTTCAACTTTTGAAAAAACTGGTTGGCTATTACAAACGGTTGACGATAAACCAACTCCTGATTTGGATACCTTTATTGAAGTAATGAAACAAATACCTGATCGCCAAAAGGTTACCATAACTTATCGTCATGTCTCCGATTTACATACAGAAAGCATTCAAGTCATTTATATTGAAAGACATTGGCAATCTACTTTCAGATTGGCTGTGAGAGATGATACTAGTGGATTATGGAACTTCACTGATATTCAAGACAAGCCATTACCACCATTAAAGTTAGAACCCCAAAATGCGAAATATATCAATATTCCATTTGAAAATGAAGAGAAACAGGGCTGTGCTTCTTTGGTAAGATCATTTGTTCAAGTTAGAACTGTTGCTCCTGTTCCAATGGACTCCTACCCTTACCGTAAGGAGATTGGCTACGGGGTTGTTGTTGATTCTACAAATGGTTATGTATTAGTTTCTAGAAGATTCGTTCCACATGATATGTGTGATATATTTGTTATATTTGCAGAATCAGTGGATATTCCAGGTAAAGTTGTGTTTTTGCATCCTAACCAGAATTATGCAATCATTAAATATGATCCTACATTAGTCTTAGCCGATGTGCAAACTCCAAAATTTAGTGACAAGCCTATGAAACGAGGTGAAAAGTCGTTTTTTGTTGGTTACAATTACAACTTAAGACTTGTTACCGAAGACGTTAAAGTTAGTGGTATTTCATCTCTAAATGTTCCTGCTGCTTCGTTATCTCCCCGTTATAGAGGGACTAACTTGGAATGTATTCTCTTAGATAGCAAATTATGTCAAGAATGTGATTCCGGTGTTTTAGCTGATGAAGATGGTACATTGCGTTCTTTCTGGTTAAGTTACTTGGGTGAAAGTAATTGTGATCAAACAACAGACAGAATGTACAGAATGGGTTTAGATGTCACTGATGTCTTAGATGTAATTAATAGGTTAAAGGATAATGAAATTCCTGTTGATTTGAGAATATTGGATGCTGAATTTTCTTCAATAACCATATTACAAGGTAGAACAAGAGGTGTACCTCAAAAGTGGATTACTGAGTTTGAAAAAGTTTGCGACGATGAGTTAAAATTCTTATCTGTTGAAAGAGTTGCAGCAGCAAAATTAAATCAACCCCCTAATCCATTAAAGAATGGTGACATTGTCTTATCTGTTAATGGTTCTATTGTTAAAACTATGAGAGATTTAAAGGTTATGTATAACAAGCCAAGTTTAGATTTCAAGATTATTAGGCAGAAAAAGGAATTGGATATTACTATTCCTACTGTTGAAACGACCAGCTTAAATACATCACATGTTGTGTTTTGGTGTGGTGCTATATTGCAAGCACCTCATCACGGCGTACGTCAATTGATGGAAAAAATTCCAAGTGAAGTTTATGTCACACGTAAGAACTCTGGTGGACCAGCACACCAATATGGTATTGTAACGAATAGTTTTATTACCCATGTCAATGATAGAGAGACAAAGGACTTGGAATCATTCATGTCTGCGATCAAAGACATCTCTGACAATACTTATATCAAGTTAAGATTGGTATCTTTTGATAATGTTCCAGTTGCAATCTCTGTGAAGACCAACTATCATTATTTCCCAACTGCTGAGTTGAAAAAGAACAAAGAAACGGGTGAATGGAAGGAAATCGAACATAAGCAGAAATAGAGTAATAGTAAATAGCCTATAGCTTTAATAGTATCTATTAATTGAAAACCTGTAAATTATTTAATATATTACTATCTAAGTTCATATATACAAGCAAAATAACCCAAGCAGTGAATATATTTTAACATTTACCTTCTATAGTACATGGGTCAATAGTATTATTTATCATTGATGTATTCATTATAAAGAATTTTTCAACTTCTTCAAATGACCACCCTTTGCGGTGACTGGAACAAAAGAGTCTAATTGTCGAATAGAATTAGCACTAAATCCACCATTTCCGTGGTTCCTTCCAGCTTGTTTCCTCTTGAACCCATTTCCAGTTTTAATAAATCTCTTTGCGGCTGCCTTATGAGTTTTCATCTTGTTTCTGGTTTGAATTAAAGTATTAATTGCTGGCTTCTTGCCAAATATTATTCTCGTGGCTGATTTAAATAAAGACCCGTACATTTTTAAGCTCAACTTGGAAGGTAACCTGTTCAAAATAGAAGTAATATAACCCTTTCTTGTCGTAGTTCGAAATTTGATCTTTTGGTGAAAAAAGTGAAAATTGGTACACACACTTTTCCTATATTAATACCATATATATCATTCTATAAACTATATACCATTTGATCTATTCTTCATCGCTTGAGGAGTAGCCCTCGAGCCCCAGTAAAGTATTTGATTTATTAGTTGTAGTCTCAATTTCATTAGTTACACCTTGTCGTATACCTTTCTGGGTTACACCTGTATTAGTAGTATGGTCATTAGATTCACCAATAGGTGACTTTTCCAGGTTGTTGACAGCTTTAGTCGATTCTTTGCTTCTGCCTAGGTCAATTTTTTCGTCTGCATTTTCAAGCTTCCTCTTCCGTATTATTATTGATGATTTGGACGGTATTTCCCCGACTGAAACAGCAGAAGCTGTAGGAGAAGACTTTGAAATAGGTCTTTGTTGTGTCTTCTTCAAATTTCTATACATGTTCAACTTTTCAGCCTCTGCTTTACGACTCTGTTGTTCTTTTTCTCGTTCGTTTTTCTTTAGTTCATCATAAAATTTTGCAGACTTCTCGTCTAATTTATATGATGAGTTCTGACTCTCTAATAATTTCTGGTATTCTAGATGCTTTTGTTCTGGTTTCCATTAGTATTTCTGAATTAATCATCCCCATTTCTTTATAAATAACATACCTTTACTTTCCTTTAATTGTTCATATAGAGATTTCCTTTCTGGCTCTTCCTCGAGCATATGCTTTTCATTTGCTTCTTTAGCCTTTGCAAGTTGTGCTTCTAGCTCAGAAGCATTCAAACTATTCTCACTAACGAAATCAGGCATTTATGTATGCTATGACTAATTGGAGTATAATTTATTAAGATAAAAACATCAACATAGTTAAGTATTTTCTGCTTTTGCGATTTAAGTTACATAAAAGTGCTACAATTCTCTGCTAATAAAATATCTAATTTATTTTTCTAAGAAAAACTAATTATATTGAGCAAAATAACGAGGTTCATCAAAAACATGGTATCTATGACCTCTAACACCATCGCCTCTAAATAATTCAGGCATTCTTAAATCTTCATCGATTTCGCTTTCATCAACGAAATTGTTACCATATAAGAAGTCTGCATCATTTTCAGACTTCTCATCTTCACTTAATAACTTGAATTTTCCGATTTGTAATTCAGTATCAGTAATAGTTGATCTTGATATTCTAGCATATGCAACCTTCTTCAAGTCTCTGAACAAAATGTATTCACACCATCTATCCCAATCGGTACTGTCGATGTCATACATTCTGGACTTTTCACTCACGTAAGTATTGTAGTTTCCTTCATGTGGGTTCGTAACAAGATAACTTAATAAAACAGCTGGTCTTGGAGAGCTGCTCATTATTTCTTCAAGGGCCAAACTTTGTAATCTACGATCTTCTTCATCCTCCTCTTGGCCGGAATGGAAAACAAGAACATCGACCAATTCTCCATAAATATCTAAGGTTGCATGAATAGCTGGGGCTAATTCACCAACAGGGCTAGGTAATAAATGATGAGTTGAATTAATAATAGGGAATTTAGATAATAATGCAGCACCCCAGGTATGCTTATTTGGACCTGGACCATAATCGGCATACATTCCTAACTCTTCAGCTATAGTTTGAGTAAAGTCACGGTTACCTCCGATCAAACGTTGGGTGTCGCTTTCTAACAACCCAATTATATCAACTTCAGCCTCCTTAATTAAATCTCTCATTCTTACTTCACTAGACCACATGTCGTTGTCCAAACCAAAATGAACACACCAAATACCCGCAGTAAATGATTTTGAGGAAGCATTATAAGGCTCGAAACGTCCGGTAGGATACCTCTTGAATGTAACAGCAATTGACAATGCTAACAATACCGATAATATACTTAAGGCTTGCTTAAATAATCTCTTAGCACCAATCTTTGTACGAGTGATGTGGGTACTCTTATTTCTCAAATTATAATTGTAAACACCACATAAAATCATAATAAAAGAGGCTGACAAAATAATATCAGTTCTTTCTCTCAATAATGGTCCCCCAGGAACAAATGCATAAGCAACAATCCAGATACTCGCCAAAGCAATAATAATTTCGTAAAAGAAGGCAAGCGAAAATAAAATAGCTGGGTTGTATCCAACTGTAGACTGCCAAATTATTGGGGATATAGAAGAAATGTAAACGGAATAGACACATGCACCAGCATAACCAGTCCATCCTTCATATTTGTATAAAACAAATGCACTAACCCCACCAATAACCAAGTTGTAGAGCTTACCACTCAAAATATCAGCGTGTAATTTAATTGATAATAATATACCTATGATTATAGCCCCGAAATTGAAAAGAGCACCAGTTATTGGAGTTGGTCCTGTAATAGGGTAACCGTTCCAAGTCCATAACGCCAATGTCGAAGAATCACTTAAGTACGATTGAATTGAAAAATAATATCCACCAAATCCTAAAGCAGCTAAGAAAATGGAACCTCCTGTTCTCTGAGAACTTACCTTAACTGTAGTTGAATGTAATGATGGGGTCAAAAACGCCGAGGCCAAACCAACGAAAATACCGACATTATTGTAGCCACCATTTTCCTTGTGCATGATAGGCCAAATAGGATTGTTCGAATATGACGCATATTTCACGACTGATGTGGCTAAAAGACCAATAATAAACGCAACAGCGTATGCATTGAACTTTTTAGGTTGGTTTGATAATGACCAGGATTCTCCAACAAAAGCAATAACTGCAAATGACGCACCCGCAGATATAGTCAATAACCTCTCTGTAGGTTCTTCGACTTTATATGCTCCAAGACCAAATAATACCGCTAAAGATCTTGCGATGAATGGGAAATTACTGAAGAAATTTCTGATGAAAGGTATTATCAAGAACAAAGGTGCCACAAAAAACAAAACTATTACAGCCTCGTATCCTGAAATACCCATGTGCCATAATGGGAAGTACCAAACGCACAACAATAATGAGGTGACAACTGACCAGAACATAAATGCATTGGTGCTGTTGACAAGGAATTCAAAAAACGTAAATTCATCGTTTTCCAATGTCTTTTTGGAGTCTTTTTTTGTTGCTACAACTGATGCAACCGACTTCGAGGGAGAGCTGGTAATAAACTCAAACCCGTTACCGTAAAGTACAATTTCCATATCAGCAAAATCGATTACTGACCACACATCAAACCCAACGTCCAACAATATCAATGCCCATTCGAAATACGCATAGACCGAGTACGCGCCGGGTCTCACATGGACCTTATGCTGGACAAACCAATACACCAAAGGCACCAACGTGGAGAAAAATGCCGATGATGTGAACGCTCTTCCCCTACGAACAGTTGTCCCTTTTGGCGAAAGGATCGTAATGCACACCGTCCATGGGATCGTAAGCACAATATAACTGATCATGAAAATATCGTGCCAGTCATGATCGTCAGTCGAAGTAATGTAAACCCATCCACCACACGTAAATGTCCTCACCACTCCTGACACAAATCCCACGTATGGTACAACCGAGTTCTTCTTGTACAACCTAATGAAGTTAAAGAGTAACAACAAGAATCGAGGACCTGCCGTCAAAGCAATCAAGATCTGGAAAATAGACCTCTCCGGATACCTATCGCCAATGGTCGCTGACACACTAGGAAACCATTCGTCTGGATACCCAAACGACGAATTCTGTACAATTTTATGATAATGTAACCAACTTCCCACTACTAAAGCAGCTATGAATGCCGAATATGCGAATATCCCATGAGCATATGCAATTAAGCTTGCATTGAACCTGAAAATAACAGTTTTCCCGTTGTCCATGCTTTCTTTTGTAAGACTCTTGCCCATTCTCTTCCTTCCACGCAATATCGCCTTCTAAACCTATACTTTCAGTTGCAAGACCGACTCCATTCAACACTATAACAATAAGATGGTCTGAAATGATCACATGACTTATGTCCGCTTCGCTGCCAAAAGTGAAAAATCGTGCGCGTACCACAAAGCCAATATAAACCAGTTAAAACTCACCATTTATAATAAGAGATATCAACTATCGATAGATACAGATCAAAACTAGAGGCAACTATACGTCAAGATGAGTATGTATCTAGGGGATATGGACAAGAGGAGGTGGTAACAAGAGACGAAAAGGTCCAGCCGCAATTGGAAACCAAATGGAAGTACTAACAGAATTATAGGTTTGAGCGACTACGAGAATCATAAAAGGCCAGAATTGGTTTCGTTTGACGATATTGACTACGAAAAGTTCCCCGACGTGCAACAAGCCAGAAAGTCGATGATGAGAGAACAATGGATCAGAACATACGCTTTAAGAGTGACCCACGAAGCATTGAGAAAGTGCAAACAATACCACGGTGAAGACGCACAAAAGAACTGCAGACCTTTGGTTTTGAAGTACATGAAGATGATTGAATCATACCCATTGCAAGGTTACTTGGGCTACCAAAAGAACGATCCATCCCAATAGACGTCGCTGCTTGTGCGGGCGATGGCTACTTATGCATAATTAACCAAACATTCATCCAAGATACATCGTTTTTTTCACCGGCGACATCGCTGCATCTGTCGTACCTCATGCTGGCACCCATGTAGACGGGTGTTCCTATCGTACGCCATGTCTACGTTCTGGACGGTTTTTTCTACCATTACATACAACTTGGGCTCTACATCCCTGTTATAACGCTCCATAAGCGTTCTTCTACATACATTTGTTTATTAATATTACATTTACCATATCAACTGCGTTTTCCCTGCTCTACCCTTGCTTGTAGCCATATAGGACCCATATAACGGTCCTTCTAGTTCTTATGGGCCTGGAAAATGTGGTCGTGTGCGCACCATAATCCTCAACCAATGAAATGTTTTCAGCGGCCTATAGTCGAATTCCGATTTTGTTCGAACTAGTTAGGTGTTTAGGTTGATTTTAATAAGCTGTTTAGTATAGTTAAAGTTTATTTAATCTTATAATTGGAATATGTTTCGTTTAGGTGCCAATCAAGTTGCCCGTACTGCCGGTGCAAGGTATGTAGAGAATTAAGTATTGGTGACGATTTAGGGATACAGACAAACTGAAAAATCATTACGTCCACAGGTTGAAGAATCCATAAACGTGAATTGATGAATGCTGAATACAAATAGAATATCTGTAATTAAGGAACCATGTTGGAACAAGCATTTAGAGATGGACAATTGAAAGGAATGGACATATTTAAAGAGGGACGCCAAATAGGTTTTGTCGGATGTCCTAGGAGTACAAGCGTCACAATAAATACAATACCCACCCCAAATAGGGATCAATTGAATCAATACTAACGATATCTAGAAACTATGCTACTTTACGTGAAATTGAAATGCGTCTTAAGTCTATTAAGAACATTGAAAAGATCACCAAGACCATGAAGATTGTTGCCTCTACCCGTTTAAACAAGGCCCAAAGAGCCATGACTGCTTCCAGAGTTTTCAACAAGTCCGATTCTGAATTCTACAAGAACGCTGAACCAGAAACATCTGAAGGTGAAAAGACTTTATTGGTTGTTGTTTCTTCCGATAAGGGTTTATGTGGTTCTATTCACTCTCAAATCTCCAAGTCTGCCAGAAAGAGAATCGAAGCTTTGAACGGTGCTGCCGATATTGTTACCGTTGGTGAAAAGGTCAAGGCCCAATTATTGAGAACCCATGGTGACAAGATGAAATTGAGTTTCAGTGGTACTGGTAAGGAAGCACCAAACTTTTACGAAGTCGCTTTAATCGCCGATGAAATCCAAAAATTAGGTAAATACGAAAACACCGAAATTTTATACAACAAGTACGTCAGTGGTGTTTCTTTCGAACCAACTGAATTTTCTGTTTTTGCTTCCGAAGCTATTGAAAAGGCCCCAGGTTTAAACAAATACGAATTAGAAGGTGAAAACGTCTCAGAAACCTTAGCTGAATTCTCTTTAGCTAACTCTCTTTTAACCGCTATGGCTGAAGGTTACGCTTCTGAAATTTCTGCCAGAAGAAACGCTATGGATAACGCTTCTAAGAATGCTGGTGATATGATCAACTCTTACTCTATCTTATATAACAGAACCAGACAAGCTGTCATTACTAATGAATTAGTCGATATCATTACTGGTGCTTCTTCATTAGATTAGGTTTGTCTTCTCTTCATGTTTATTTTTATTTCCATTATTAATTAGAAGTTTACTCATCAAAACAAAAGAAACAATAAACGTCTTATGATTTATTAAATTATTCTGTATTTTTGTATAAATAATATTACAGTGCTCTATATATATAATATCTATCAATCGACTTTAATAGAGCCATAAATTTTCTTGATAAACAATAATCCCGTCAAAGTACCAGCCGCTCCACATGCCACACCTATCAAACAACTAGTTAAAGTCATGTAACAAAAATATAACAAAGCACTCACAAAGTCATTCACATTCAAGTAAAATATGAAATAGTAAACTGAATAACCAAGAATGTACCACCCAACACTAGATCCAACATTGAAACTTAACCATTGCCAGTTAGGGTTAGTGTAAACTGCAATAGAAATATATGTTGCAATAATGATTGATTCTGCAATTATGACAATCAAAACTATAGCCGTTAATAGTAAAAACCCGTACATGTAATAGAAGGTTGTTTTCTCCAACCAAACGGAATTAAAAATGAATAATAATTCAACATAAACAATACCAAATGGAATTAAGCCAAAGATCAATACACTGAAAGCTGGATTTAATAACCATGATGTCTTTTTCTTAGCTCTGAGATGCTTATCATCATTATCACTCTTATGTCCACTATTCGTTAAAAGGAAAGATTTTCTGTCAAACTTATGCTTATTTCCATAGTAACCACCGATAATACCTAACGGAAGTTCAATAATGAAGAAAACCAACAACAACACAATTATAGTTCCGAATGGTAATGCAGTTGATGCATGTTTCGCCCACACAAAAAAGTTCAAAAACAATACAATAGATAATATCAAACTAGGTAAAAATCCACTTAACAAAATTGAAGAAGTGAATGTTTTTGACTTGTTATATTCAGAATTCAAGTAATCATTATTGAATATTTTATGCAAGATTATTCCACAGAACGAGGGAATAATGCCCGATACAACGAAGAACGTTAAAGAAATCGAAAAAAACGCTCCTTGATGATTATTGAAAAAAGTATTCGAGGAAAAGGAGGATCCAATGCTAAACTTCGAATTAATAACGAATACTACGATGACACCGATTGTTGCAATAATTAGTTGAATCCCGCTTGCAACCAATACTGAAAGAAACAATGGAAATTTCGGCCTTTTTGTAATATCGTTGGATAAACTCTTCCATGAAGAATTTATAGTAGCATCGTACTCACTTGTTGGCAAGCTTGGTGAATTGGCCTGAATGTCGGATTTTAAAACTCTCAACAAAACAACAGCCACAATTAATGATACCAAAAACAATAACACCATTGAATTGATAAAAGAAAACCAATGAATCTTATGGCTTGAGGTAGTTTCGTTTTCATAATATAAATCCCAGCGAGAGCTATAGTCTATAGTATTATCTTCACGCCAATATACCGAATAAGTATAAGGAATGACAGTTTTTTCCGGTACGATTTGCTGCTGAGAATCCCTTTCAAAAGTAATAGCAAAATTGTCATAATTCTTTGAAGAGCCAGGACATTCTTCATTACTCACACTCTTAGGATACACCTCAAACCCAACAATCGAGCTTAACTGTTTGTTTGATGGATCTTTGTGATACCTAATAACTATCATAACATGGTTGTAGATGTAGCTGATACCATCTTGAGTGAACCCTAGAGGAAAACCAGCTGCATAATATTTGTTGTTACGATTTCCGGAAACAAATGTAGTTGCACCCGGCAATCCATCAACCAACCAGTGAACCACGTATCCATTCTTAATCAATGTATCTGCTTTAAGCATACCAGTTTCTTTAGATATTAAATCACATAGTCTTACACATGGCATATCAACTCCAAATTTCAAGTCGTACAGACTTTTCCATAGCCTATCGCCTCTTAAAATTTCTCCCAAAGATAGATGAACAGGCTTCTCAGGAGGACATACAAAGGGCAAATCTTTATAACTGTAAGGTAACTGTGTGTTGTCAGACTCCACCTTATTAACAATCAAATCCACTTGCTCGCCATGTCTATAATATCTTGGTGAAAATCCCAAATCAATAGCACATACATATTGGATACATAGCAACAAGACAAATGGAATACAAATATTTTTCATGATTTAATTAACGAATTAAATGACTTCTTAACTAAATATGAATACTTTTTCAATATATTGCTTCTATGCGATATTCTAGAAGATTAAAATGCACTGATTGTATTAAAATTCAAGTAAATTGAAGTTTCTATTTTTTGTTTACGATGCAAAATCGAGATCAACATTCAGCTACAAAATTGCGAAAAAGTTATGTACTTTAATTATACACTTATAACAGTCTATTTATCCTTCAAGGATTCCATTGCTTCACGAATTAAATAGTTTCCTTTTGGATCCAAATTTAATGCGATGGTAAATTCTTTTATGGCTTGAAACTTATCGTTTTGAATATTGTACAATTGGCCTAACAAGAAATGAACAGAAGCTTCATCAGGAGCCAAATCTTTTAAAACCTTGAAATAATGAAGTGCCTGTTGGAATTGTTGCATCGAGAATAATAATTGAGCCTTTTTAAATATTGGTAATGGGTTTAATGGTTGAAGCTTATTTGCTAATTCATATTGTCTTAAAGCTAAGTTGTTTTTACCAACTTTCTCAAGTACCATCCCAACACAACATATTAAGATTACATTGATAGGATTGATAGAAACAGCTTTACGGAAATGATAATCTGCTTTTAGGTAGTCACCAAGGTTGATGTATACCATTCCAATACCGTATAAAGCATTGTAATGTCTAGAGTCAATTAATAAACTTATACGGAAATTCTCCAAAGCCATTTCGTAGTTATCGTTTCCAAAGTATTCATGACCCTTTAATGTGTACGCATAAATAAAGTTCTCATCTAACTTAATAGCCTTATTGAAACATTTTATAGCTTCATCGGGTTCTCTAGTCAAAGAAAACAAGTTACCAATTGTACACCAAGTTATTGGAGATTGTGAGTCTAGATCATGTAATTCATTTGCAAGGTAAGTTAGTTCCACTTTCTTATGCAAATGCCACAATAAAGTTGAATAATATTCCATATCTTCAAGTCTTGTTCTATCTAATTTTCTTAGTTTGACAAAGAAATACTCTGATTGTTTATAATTTACAATTTCATAATGCAATCTTCCCAATTTACTCAAAACCCAGGGAGTTTCCTTTTCTTTCTGAGGTAACGACTCTAGAATCCGAATAGCTTTGTAGCAATCATATTTACACATGCTTTTGAAGCCCTTAGAAAATACGATATAAAGTCCTAGTAAATAATTATCGCCAAATTCTATTTCTTTATTTGCCATAATGCTCAATGGTGCTTGATGACGTTCGCTACTGTTATGAGTATTGGTGGAAAAACTATTAGGACTATTTCTTTTCAAGCTACCACGCACAGCTGTTCGCTTGTTAACATTATTATTATTTAAATTAGATGATACATTATCTGTAGGTTTATTAGTGGTAGGCTGAGAAATCAATCTGGAAGTAATCTTTGAATAAGTACTTTCTCTCTTAGGCTTTCTTGAATTATGATCTATACCTAATGTGCTGGTAGTATCTATTGGAAAACTTGGCTTGGTAAATTCGAATCGATTGGTTAAAGCATCGTTGGTCCCTGCTTTTCTTAAAGGTGCGTCTGGAACACTCGGCACTGTCACCCTTGGAGTGGAGATCGGATTACTAAAGCTATCATCTGTTTGTGATTTTGAATTTGCATTATTACCGTTGAAATTATTAGAATTAGCATTAGTTCCATTTGAGTTATTATTAGTTTCATTATTCAGAGTAGTAGCAGAAAATGGATTGGTTATATTGTTTCCACTCATATCATTTAATATTTTAAGGCTATCCTTTTCTTTAATTTGCGATTGATATTCGCTATTAAAAACCAGATTGGACTTGTAGATTGCTTTAACCTTGACGTTTACACCTAACTTACACAACTCCTGGAATGCTTCATAGTCAAACTGATTATACTTTAAAGCTTCTCCATAATTAAGAGCACTATTCTTGGTGTCACCCATTCCCCTATATAAATCCCCTAAAAGGTGATAAATGGTAGACAGATCTGGAAGCACTGAACGAGCATTCTCATAATTGTATCTCGATTGAGGTGTCGTGAAATATGCTGGATTGAATCTGTCATCCTGATAGAATGATGAAGTTTCATTGTAAAGATAGCTTATCTTAAGCAACTGAAATATCCCTTCCTTGTACTTTTTCAATTTCAAACACAGCTTCGCATACATAAAGCTGCAACCTAAATGGTCCGATAAATTACTGGCCATGTTATAGCATGATTTATACCTTTCTTTTTTGAATAATGTAAGGCAATATAGGTACAAAGAATCTAGATTGTCTGGATCATCGGCCAACAATCTTTCACAAGCAAACTCAGCATTTGAATAGTTGAAATGATCTAATGAATGAATTATGATCGACCTTAGATGCTGCTGAATGTAGGATTGATCCGGCTGTATTTGCATGGCTGATTATCTGCAACCCTATTCTTATATTAGCCCTGATAAGGAAGTATAACGTCAATTATTGAAGGTGTCTTTAACTAGTAATGCCTATATTTGTGTTGACTGTTTTGTTACAAACAAAACAATTTACGGGGATTTTGAATCTTCATTACGCTCACGTGAGAGATACAACTTCTAAATAAACGAAGTAGTATACATTTAAAACTATATAATGTTACAATATTAATTATATCACTGATTAATGAATCATTAGAATATTAGATAAAAATTATTAGAAGATTTATAAAGATAAAAAGGGAGCCATAAACATAATAAAATCCTTCAAATCAAACCATTCATTTTTTTGGCTTAATAACAAACGTATGATTACCCGAACCATCATTGCTATATGCCAACATCTTTTCAGAATTATTTCTCTTCTTTGACGAGCCACTTATGATTCTCCCATTACTATATGGTTGTTTAGGGGTAATTTCTGAATTGCTGGATTGTGAATCATTGAAATAGTCCAAATTAGGTCTCAGGTTCAGGTTCAGACTCAGTTTTGGAGTACCAGGTGAAGATCCAGTATTATTACTATTTGTCAGCTTAGGGGAAAATACACCTGAAGCTAGCAAATAAGGGGAAGCAAATCCGGGTTGTGATATTTGAGGAGTAGTAGGTCCTTTGTAGTTCTTAGCCGAGGTATCGACAGTTAGTTTTGGAGCTGAGTTATGGGCCGAAGATAAAGTCGATTCGTCAAGTGAATCGATCATAGGAGAATTCTCCCCAGAAGTATTACTGAATTCGTTCACAAATTGAGAATAATAGCTATCCAGCAGTTCATTGTTTTGTCCATCTCTACCGTAACCCTTCTCTCTTAATTCCTCGTCTTTTAATTTTGTTTCTTCTCTAGCTTTAGCAAGCAATTCTTGGGCCTTGCTCAAAGTAACAGTAGGTGTAGAACATGAACTTACAACTGGTACAGTATCATCAATATCAATTGTGGAGGTCATTAAGGCTTTAAGCCAGCCTCTCATCTCTTCTTGAGAATCAACAGCAAAATAATGAGTCTTTGGCTGAGTGAATGTTAATCCTTTTCTAAAACCAGGGGCTGGAGGGACCAACTTGAAACAGTATCTACCAAATCCAGTGGATGATGCATATAACGCAATGTATTTATCATTGGCAACAGCATTCTCGTTATCTGTACTTACCGGTAAAACTTTATGTGCTGTAATATCAATCAAGCCCCTTTCACGTTTATCACGTAAAGAGGTGAAGTACAGCAACCTCGTTCCATGAAGAGTGAAGTATCTAGATCTCCAACCCAAAGTACTACCAGATTTTTTGGACATCCAACCACTAAATGTTGCTGTCTTAATAGCCTCGTCCGGGGTAATTTCTCTAATTCCTTCTGTAAAAGCAGAAGTCTTCAGCTTTTTCAGATTCTTTAAATTACGGAAATTCTGGGTGGATGCTGTTCTCAACGTCTTGAAACGCGAAACTTGGTTTGATTCCGATGCTGACCTCTTCTCTTCGAGCTCTTTCTTTGGCTTGTCATCAAGATTATATGTCATCGATCTCAGCTTTTTAGGTGATAAATTAGCATTGTCAATATCCACGAAGTGTTTATTAGGAGATAAGCTGAAATATTCACTCTCTCTCTTTGACTTTGGCGTCGCATCAGTATTATTTGAATACGACTTTGTAGGTGAATTAATCATCGACTTTCTCTTTTCCGCCTTTGGCATCTCTTCCTTGTAAAGGTTCTTTGAGCTCAACTTATCTCCATCAGTATTAGCCTTGTTGAACAGGAATAAAGAAGAATTCCTTCTGTGACCAGAAATATAGGATGAATTTCTGCGGTGGTTCTTCGCCGAAGATGCGGAAGCATTTCTATTGTGGCTATTAACTGATTGCTCATAAATCGATGATGACGGTCTACTAGTCCCTGAGATACCCAAACCGGAACTTGACGCATTCGTACGTGTCTGATATAAGCCACCTTGTTCGGTTGGCGAGCTTTGCAAATTAGGACTTCCACCAAATTTATAGCTTTGATTCAAAGGACTAGATATTGGAGGTTCTGGTGCTTTTCTAGGTGACATGAAAGACAAATCACTCTTACGTTTACCGATAGGAGATGTAGTATCGCCATATACACCCGAAATGTTTTCCATGGATTGTGACCTCTTTCTTTCGTGACCTCTTTGCATTTCTCTTGCATTTTCTCTTTTTGATGGAGTGGAAGATACTAGATTAGCTGAAGGCATTAATTGGGTTTGAGATTTACTGTAAGTTGTGTTGTTGGTATCTTCATCAGAGTTATTAGGAAATGAATGCAATTTATAAGGGGAAGAATTTTTAGAATCAATGGGGCTAGCAATATCTTCCGAATCTGATAAGTCTTGAATGATGGAATTCTTGTTATTATTTCTTTTATGAGCCGACTTAACGTTCGAAGTACTGGCACTTTTAGCCTTTGAGGCTAATTGCTTCAATTTTTCAATTTCCTTATAGACCTCAAACCTGGTTCCAAACGAGTCAATATCTAACTCTTTCAAGTAAGTTAAATCCAATTCAAACAAAATTGCCCCGGTTATTTTATGTCTAGCGAATTTACCTGCAACCTCCATATCAAATCCTAATACTATTGCAAAATAAGAGGAAACCTGTTGTGGCGTCCATGTCTCAGCCTCTGCTGGATCTAAATTCTCTATTAATGAATCTCTTGATATTTTACGCAGATGATGATTTCCCGAAGCATTTGGGGTATTTGTATAACTGGAATTCTGTTCATAATGATTGGCATTAACATCACCATGTGGGCCAGTGTTAGCACTATCAGACTCAGTTTGAAGCTCTTGCAAGGCCCTATCGATATCACTCATGGTCTTATGCACAGATGACTTGCCGGTCTTTGGTTCGTGGCTGAGATCAAGTGCTTTATCATCCACCGCGTCAATCTTATTGCTCAAATTACTACGCAAAGCGCTGGTTGAACTCTTGTTAAGACCAAGTTCTGAATCTTGTTCTACTTTGCGGTCGGATCCTTGATAGCCGCTAATTTCGCTTCCCCCAAGACTATCCTCCCCTTTAGTTTCATTAGTAGAGTCATTTCCGCTCATAAGCGTCATATTCTGCATTGAGTCCGCAATCTTACTCAATGTGGTGGTGTTAGGTGAGTTGTTCTTACTACCCTTCATCACTCGCCTCGAACGCGACCTCAATAATGGATGCTCTGGTCTCTGGCTTTGTAATATTTGAGTAAATCCTTTAGGATATAACCCCACCTCTTCTGTCAACAAGTTTTTCCCCATGTACCATCCATCGTTGTACTCACTATCGTCTGCTAACACCTCTACCTTATCCCCAATCTTCAAGCTCAACTCGTCACCTAATCTAGCATTAAACTGCTTGATACACAAGTAAACTGACCCAGTAATCGTATGATCCTCACTTTGGTCCATACTGCTCATTTTCTCTCTTATGTGAATTTATTGTGTTATCGTTATCGTTCGTATCGTATTACTTATTACCGTGTTTCAAATTCTTTTTCTTAGATAATCCAACCTCTATTACACTGTATGTGTTCTTTCAAGTAAACTATCCTATGGGTATATCTTTTCTGCCAGTTTTTTAAATCTATTCTCTGCTACCCGCCGTCGTTGTAGGTTGTTTTTATTTCATGTTGGTATGAATTCTAGGTCTTTTTTGTAATGACGCATGTCGCAAATGTCGCGCGCTGAAGCAAAATGTCGTGCGTCTAACGGCTCTTTGTGTCATGTGATATTTGATATACTGCAAGATATTTGATACAGAGGGATCCAGGCCTTCAAATGGGCCCTTAAAAACGACATCACATATAAGTCCACCAATATCGAACGTAAACCTTCCTGACTTAATGCACACGTATTGGGATATATTTGCTACTTCCCTGATGGCGTACAGGAATTTTTAACTAGTTTTAAATGAAGGATATAGATAAAGCACGTAGAGGGCTGGTGGTTTTATATGCAGTATCGATATAACTATTAGATAATAGAATAAGAAGTAGCAGAACATAATGAAGCCACTACCGATAGGTTGATATTTTTAAGATTGTTTGCTAGTTAGATATTTAAATGCCCCCTCAGTCGACTCCAGAGACATACGAAACTACATCTGAAAGTGACAGTAGTGAGGATAGCCATATAAGCGAGCAATACGCAACGCGATTAAACACTATTAACCTCCTATCGACTTTAGTACTTCGGAGAGAAGAAGAAATGGAGCGAAGAAACGTTCCACGAACTGGTGAAAGACGCACTAGCGGTCAAAGAGGAGCCTTAGGCCATCCTAATAGATATAGCTCCGTATACGGAAACGAATTGAATATCAGCAACCAAACTATACCAATAGAGATAAGAAACACCGGCCGGGTGCTGATGGGAATGCATAATGAAAATAACGACCTTTTTGATGAAGAATTTGATGATGATTACGAAGAAGATATGGATGAAAATGTAGAGGATAGTTTTGATGAGAGATTCGATGAATATGACGAGGAGGATGATAGCGACGATGATGGGGACCTGGAACCTGAGAATTTGCGTTCCGATATCCAATCTAACGAAAGATTGTTGCTTTCTAGTGCCCGTCAAAACCATACAAATACGAACACACTTATTTCATCTAATAATGATGCGATTCCGCTAAGACGCCAAAATGCCATCAGGGTTAGATCTTGGCTACATGATGACGAAAGGGGCGTTTCCCCAGGGCCTGCCAATAGTAGGGCTGAAAAATCGTGGCTGAAGGAATTAGATGATTTGCACTTTGAACTATTTCATACTCAGAATTTCTTCAAGTACTTGAAGGCATATCTGGGTAGGGCGCCGATCTTCAATGGCCACTCAAACCACGCGTCGTCTTCAATTCGTTCAGAATTACCAGATGATTTGATAGGAAATTTAGATTCCATAATGGATTTATTTTTGCAAAAAGAATATCAGGTAAGCTTTGGTCTAACCAGGAAAAGAGCCGTGTACAGAGTGATAAAATGCTGATACATAAAAGAAAGAATGATTTCGATGAAATATCTGCACCCATGAAAAAGAAAAAGAAACTGACATCAGAGAAGGACCTGGATACTTCTACTTTCGTAACACCTCCAGATAAATCTCAAATACGGACCATGACAAAATCGAAAGCAAAGGTTAAATTGAATAATTTGACATATGCACAAAAGCATAGTATCATGGATGTTACATACAGCTCTTTCTTGACGTCGGGTTCCAGCTTCACCTTAAATTATTCTTTTTTTAACGTAGGCTTTCCATTGGACTTGGTGTTTTCGGCCGTCGATTATAAGAGCAAATTATTGCAAGGAATTTTCTCAATAACTCCAATTAGCCATAACGATAACTATCTAGATGAGTTTGCCCAACAAGCCTCGCAGATTAATAGCTACCAAGAGTTTTTCCTAGGAATAAATCCAGAAACTCTGAGTGGGCCTCGTGATAAGCTAATTATGAAGCAATTGAAAATTTTAAGAAGCCTAGATGGGGAAATTGTACGGGTAAGGACTGAAAATGGTCGAGTGGGTCCCAAGTTTAGAGCCAAGCTGGTCAAGCCATTCACGATCCCTGTTGTAGGGAAAATCATTGATTTTAAGAACAATGATTTAAGGTTCCTCACAAAAATAAGAGATAAAAATCATTTGCCAATGAGGTGCCTACACTTAGCAAGGACTAAGTCAAATCGAGTTAGATTACAACTATTAGAGTGGATGAAAATTCAACCCTTTGCCCAATTTGAAGAGTCTTTTTTCCTTGAGCAGTTGAATAGAGTTAATAATAACTTAGAAAATTTTAAAACGCAAAGCGCTAGTGTTCAGAAGGAAACCATGGATTTAGCGAGAGGTCTTCGTGATAGCATGTATGATTTAACTAGGTTCTTTGGCTTCATCACAAGTAGTGACATCCCTATACCACTCATAGAAAATGAAAAATTTAAGAGGAGAATGTCATATACTGATTATAAGAAAACTTACTTTCTTCAAGAATGGGAAAAAAAGCTCACAGACAGACTAGTTAAATTTGTCACTTGCCAAGAGCATTGCCTACTTAATATCCAGTTGAATTATGTTTTATTCACTTTAACTATTGACATTTGTGAATTTCTAAACAACCATATTGAATATAAACTCAATTTTGTTTCAGATGAACGGAAAAATAAATACAGAAAACAGCTCAACAAGACCCGTCATTACAAATTAACAGATTCAAAGAAGACTATATTGCTTTGTTCCTTAGATAGAAAAACTGGCCGGATAGAGATACAAAATACCAGAGCATTGCTTGATTACAAAAATGTATATCAACTTGAGAAACATGCAAACTCAAGGTCTAGTAGTGCTGACCATGATGATGGTGGTCTCTTCCATCGTTTTTTCAACGGGTTGCTCAATGAATCACCCCCTCCTGAAGGGTCTTTTACTGACCCTGATTTGTTATCTGATGAAAGTGATGAAGAAGTGGAATGGGAAGATCCATACCATGAAGCATCATTAGATACTGTATTAAAAGGATTTTATAAGAAGACAAATAGTGGTAACGTTTCATTCGGCGGTGGTAATCTGGGCTACAGTATCGTTTAAAGAATATAGTTGACATTACATATTTGAACTTAATCAAATGTTATTTATTTACATAGTTTTTATTTGCATGGATTCTTCACCAAAATCCCCATCCTCCTTTACCTTCTCTTCTATCTTTCTTCTTTTTGTTGAAAAAGTCTTTCTTGCATTCTTTATAAGCGTCAAAAAAGTCTTGACATACTGTCTTGTCTTCTTGATTTCTTAACATACAATTAATTGAAGCTTGTCTACTTTCTTCGCATGGATCGTAATACTTAGAAGGTTCCTTCATACTCCATCTGTATTTGTGACGATGGTTAACTGGGTTATCAGGATAAAATTTGAAATTTTCAACACCACCCTTTGTAAAATCAACTTTATCTTTATCTTTTATGACTTCATCAGTATTTTGATAACTAACATCTTCCTTTTTGACTTCTTTATTATTTTCCTGGTTTTCTTGTCCCTCGTTTGACATTATAATGAATCCACCGACTATCATCCAGTAGGTAATGTGCTATATAAGTTGATAATAAGTCTTGTAAATCATATGCAGGATTTATAATTTTCTTACGGGCTCCATAACCGGATAGATATCAAAAAAAAATTCAACCATCTTGATGCCCACTAGGTATCCAGTTGCAGACCAAATACGAACATGAGTCAGCCTATACAGTATTTGGATATAAGTGAAAACATACCATGTCAGCGTTGTAAAACAGAAACTGCAGTATTGGTTTCTAGGAAAGAGAAATTTTGCAAAGGCTGTTTTTTAAGATTCATTAGAGGAAAACAAAGGAAGCAAATGCAAGATGAGAAATATAAGGTAAAATACGGTAAAAATGAGCAAAACGCACCCAAACAAAAGGTATTGTTGACTTTGTCTTGTGGAATTTCATCGCTTGTATTAGTAGATGTAATGGCGTCGCTTTTGAAGGAACAATATGACATGCACAAAGGAAAGCAAGGATTTGAGTTAGTAGTGTTGAATATAGATGAATATGAACTCAAAGCTTTGGACAGAAGTACTAAGGATGTACTTAAACAATTGGTGGAGTGTTTTAAGCCAATTAATTTTACATATAAAATCCTCAGTTTAGAGTCATATGTACTTGATCAATCCCTTTTGGAAAAAATTGTTTTAAACGGAGACTTTACAGCATATTCACAATATATCAATCATGACAAGAAGTATACTTTATCAGAATTGTTGAGCTTGTGTCCAAATAAATCATCCTTAGAAGACTTATTAACCATTATTTATGATGAGTTAATCTTACGCACAGCATATTTAGAGTCTTGTGAAACTATATTATATGGACACAGCATGACTAGAATAGCTAATGAAATTATAGCACTTACTGTCAAGGGAAGAGGGTCGTCAATATATCAAACTGTGTCAGATCATACGGTTAAGTTCCGTAATAAGGATTTTAAAATAATGTTTCCATTACGAGACGTTTTATTTGCAGAAATATTAGCCTATAGCAAATTATCAGAATTAGATAAGTTCGCCGTTGAATCCACCAAGCCAGTTTCGAAAATTACCAAGAATATGACTATTAGAGACCTCACAACAAATTATTTCAATCAGTTGGATGCAACAGGATATGCATCTACCGCATCCACTGTTGTTAAAACTGGAGACAAGTTAGGTGCACCAAAATTTGAAGAAGAATCAAGTATATGCCAAGTTTGTGGAACAGAAATCCATCAGGACCCTAAGGACTGGTTAAGACGAATTACAGTTAATAAATCGGCGCCTTTAGAAACTGAAGAAGAAAAGGAATACGCAGAACAATATAAGAAAGCGTCCAGTCTCATTGAAGAGAGCAATGGTAGCCAACATAAAACACCTATTAATATATGCTATGGCTGTACCGTGACAATTAGCGGCATTAAAAATGAGAGCGGATTCATTTGGCCCATAAAGAATACAGAGAATGATGAAGAGAGGGAAATACTCAATGAATACATATTAACTGATGATGAAGACGACGAATAGTCTTGTATATAGTTTGATATAGTTGCATGATGATTTATAGAGTAATGTATTTCAATTCCACAGTTCGGCTGCGAAAAAGAATAAACACCTACAAATTAATAAAAAGTGTTATTGAATTTGAAAAGCAACTTTGTTGGTTCCAATGTATATAGTAGTATAAAAAGTTCGGTACAAAATAGGAATATTGAATCATTTGCTGTTTCTAAGATTTTTGTTATTTTAATAAAATAATACAAAATTTCTTTAATTGTACTATACGTTAAATAAAACTCTAAATTTCAGGAGGAGAAGTAAAATATTAATAAGGTCTATATTATAGTATATATTATAGTATATATATAGAAATGATATAAGTATGAAGTTTAATGTATCTTCGTAAGGATTAATCTTTATCTCATTTCACCATTCATTTTAGCTGCAAATGATCAAATCTTCAAGGAAGAGCTTTAGACATTTCAATTTTTTAATTTAAAAATAGGAGAATGATACAGCATAACATAAGACTTATAGATTAACTTACAGGATAATTTCTTGGCCATGGTATGGGGTTAAGTGGCATATTGGCATTTTTTGCAATGAAGGTTCACAGCTTTCCCGTGCGCATAGTAAAAATCCAAACACAAATAAATAGATCAAATTGTATGATATCAGTGCTTTAATAAATGAATACTATTAACAATGTATTCCCCTACTTTATTCTCCGATAGTCTTTATAAACTATGGAGACGTGATGACGATGGAATGGATTCATCTGATTTTCATAAAAGAAGTTTAACTATGCATAACGCCAACAGTAATAATACAAATGCTAATGGTGCAACTACTTCTAATAACAACAATAATAATGCAACACAAGAGCAATTGGAAGATCAAAGAAGACACATTCGACTGTTATTTGCACCACCATTACTGGCATATTCAGCGGAATATCCTGGGGCTAGTTTATCACAGTTGGAGTATACCATAAGTAATCGAAGTGGGAACAAGCAGGATCTACCTTTATTAACGCCCTTAATCCAAAGAAAACTAGATAGATTACAACAGATACGAAATATAGGATATACTAGCATAATACCTGCAGGTGTTGGAAAGACAATGGAGCAGATTGACTTTGAAGAAGCTAGGCACCATAATATGAGCGAACAGCAAGAAGAATCATTCATTCCAACAGCTGAGAATGGCGATGTACCAGACAGCTCTATTAATGGAATACATAATCAAAGCATTAATGAAGAAGAAGAACCAGAAATAGATTTAGATGCAAATATTCCAAATGCAGATGATGTTACAAATGATGACGACGACTTTGATGACGACGACTTTGGTGAAGTGCAAGAGGAACAGGATGAGATTGATTTAGATGACCATGGGTTAGATGAAGATGAAGGATTTATGGCGGAAGAAGTTGAGTACCAAGATGACCATAGTATAGTAACAGACCACATACCTAATATGATGATAAATACTGGAACGACAGCCACAACAGTCAATACCAACTTAAATTCTGGTAGAAGTATAGCAACAAATCCTACCAGTATAAATAGTACAAGTCCAATAAGCATAGCAAATCCTAATTCAAGCAATCTATATTCTACAGGTCAAGGATATAGAAATGAAAATGATGAAAATAATCAGAATGATCAGTCTGATTTAGATATGATAATTGATGAACAGTAATTAGCTCTATATAATAACTAGTGATGGGTAGGATAGCTTTTAATATTATCAACTTTAGCGCATTGCAAATGTAAGGCAGGAATCATCCATTTTCCACATGAACATCTTGATCCCTTCCAACTGTATCCACCAACCTTACTGTCACATTTAGGACAATTAAATTTACCCTCAATTTCACCTTTGTCTTCTAATTCTGATCTCATCCAAGTTAATGGCTCCCTTACGAAATAATGAGAACACGAATCAGATGCCTCTTGTACAGAAACAATTCTTCTTGAATTTGGGGCTGTTTTTATGAACTGTGATTGTCGAGATGATGCATCAGGAGGCGAATGCTTTTCTATTTGGCCCTCGAGTGCCAAAACCTGTCTACACTTTTTGCAACGTAACTCTGCCTGTTTATCTGTCTGCGATTGTGGTGTTGAGGTGGATGAAAACATATTCAACTCCTGTAATGAACGACCAGAAGGATCTGCTTGAATGCTCAAATCAATGAAGAGCTTCTTGTACAATGAATTACTAGTGTCAACTTTGAATTTTAAGTCAGCATATAATTGCAATTGTTTCTGGAAGCCATCGTTTGGACATGCTGATGATAATTTACGCTTAACTGCGTGTAAGGCTTGGTCCTTTGTTAATTTATACCTATACATTAAATATGCCACTATGAGTGTGACAGATCTGGATATTCCTTGAGCACAGTGAATCAAAATTGCACCATGATGTTTGTCAGTAGTTGATCCTTCTGGGAATAAACACGAGTCTATGAAATCGTTTGTCTCAGGAAAATATTGTATTATATTGCTGGTTTCTTCGTCTGTGATGTCAATTTGCTTATGTACATAATCGTGGACATAATTATTTGGAATAGGTCCCAGAATCGCCGAAATTATATGTGTTATATGGTATTGTTGTTTGAAGTCCACATTGTCATTCAATGGTTCTATAGATGATAGGTATATACCACCTAGTATACGGTAAATCATTATTGATTTATGGAAGAGATATTAAAGCATTTCATCGCAAAAAAATTTGTGCTGCGCAGATCGATGAGTATTTTGCAAGTAACAAAATAATTCAAGTGTAACCATACAAGTCATTATGCCCATATATGATATCACTCAAACCATACGATGGAATGTGAATTGTGTCTACTTCAAATGGGAATAATTAATAAATGTTTAGTTCCCGGTAGAGCAAATCAAGTATTCCATCCAACTTTGTAAAGTTCCAAGCGACATTAGCGCAACCTTCACTTACCATTCTGAAAACCCAATCTACAATCTACGAACAAACGCCACATCTTCTTCCAGCTTTTTAACCATCACTACCACTACAATCATCTTCACCGTTCAGCAAAGCTCGAATTGCTGTAGGGATGGTCGCAAAATACTGACCTGCGCACTTGATGCTTAGTCCGAAACACTCCGTAACACAGCACGCCCCTGATTATCGTACAATATATTACATACCCGTTCTGCTTTGTTTGTTATCCGTACAGCCCAAGGTTGACTACTCTGCGTGTCCAAAACTTAGTCTTTCATCGGTTGCATCGACCATTGATGCCGCATACGTGCTTGCTATTCATTCTACCTAGACTGCAACCTCGAATCTCTTTCCACTATTTATCTACTACACTCTCCGTGACATCATACTATATTCCCGTATGTATTCTCCGTTTCGATCCTCTATCTCGTATCCTCTGGGTCGCGTCGTTCCCCATCGGTCCCCCACCACCAGCTTAACCAGCCACTAGTATTGCAAAGCGTACCAAACCACCAAACCTGAAGCTACCCACACACTACTATCGTATTGTGTATGTCCGCATCGCAATAGGTTCTCTCAACGTCACTTCCCCGGACTCTAGATGCACTTACGTGTTCAGTTGTGTATGCTTTACTCCTAATACCAATCTCGGTTGTTCGTAATGCCGAATACCTATTACTTTTGCACCGGTAATTTTATACATTATGCGTTTCTCCTTATCCACACATCCGTCACGCATTGTACCACTTACTGCAATGGTGGCCCATTTTCTTGTTCTTGCCGATCGTGTTTGATACCCGGACAAGACAATAATGGCGTTCTGCCTAATTACGTAATTATGGAATCTGGCGTCGGAAGTCGACTACTGAAAAAGTTTCTCTCCGAAATCTGGGGTTACCGAGTGCTCATTTTTTGACCCACCCTAGTGCGTGCAAAGCAGGTCGTATGGGTCTCCAAAGAGGATCTATGCGTTCCATACACATATGTAAATGATATCCTATATTTATAGAGTCACACGAATAGTATCCATGGACGTAGTGGAAGGTTGCTTCTGGGGATGGGAGGGTATATCCGTCCGAGGTTATTTGTTCACGAACCAACGCACATACACGACCGACGTCCACTGAAAATTAGGTTGCACAAACCGCAGAAACCATACGGCCTGAACAATGTGATTGGCTGTTCAGGGCCAATTAAATCAAATCCCCAGGCATAATCGGGTAATCTCTATCATCGTGATGGTAGGTGTTTTGTAGTTTTTCAAACATTGTGACCAGAGGAACAGCATTATATAAAAGTCCCGGTATACCCTTGAAAAATTCTTAATATTTTTTTTTCGTATACTCTAACTTATTAGTTTTAACTTTTATATTTATTGAGATCAATTGACATGTCAGCTATTCGTTCAATTCAACGTACATCTACTTTTGCTAAGCGTGCTCTTGGAGCCCGTACTTACGCTACTGCTGAACCAGTATGTAATTCATAAACTATTGTGGAACATAGGTAAATCGTACGCTGGGCTTCAATATGGGCCCAGCGGATGATTCTGCTGTGTGATTCCAACAGAAGATTCGAAAAATACTAACCAATGCAGACTTTAAAAGCTCGTTTAGCCGAAATTTTACCAGAAAAGGCCGAAGAAGTCAAGCAATTCAAGAAGGAACACGGTAAGACCGTATGTATAATATTTGAATACGAACTGGTATTGATGTAGTACCATTAGGTGCCATTCCGGCGTTTAATGGTTCCTTTTGAGCGGGTTCTATTCCTACAGTGCTTAAGGACATTTAATTCCGAAAAGTGAAAAATTGCGAATTTTCATATACTAACAAATATTTAGGTTATTGGTGAAGTCTTATTAGAACAAGCCTACGGTGGTATGCGTGGTATCAAGGGTTTAGTCTGGGAAGGTTCCGTCTTAGACCCAATCGAAGGTATCAGATTCAGAGGTAGAACTATCCCAGATATCCAAGATCAATTACCAAAGGCCCCAGGTGGATCTGAACCATTACCAGAAGCTTTATTCTGGTTATTATTGACTGGTGAAATCCCATCTGTTGCTCAAACCAAGGCTTTCTCCGAAGAATTAGCCGCTAGATCAGCTTTACCAAAGCACGTCGAAGAATTAATTGACAGATCTCCATCTCACTTACACCCAATGGCCCAATTCTCCATTGCCGTCACTGCTTTAGAATCCGAATCTCAATTCGCTAAGGCTTACGCTAAGGGTGTTAACAAGAGTGAATACTGGGACTACACCTACGAAGATTCTATTGAATTATTAGCCAAGTTACCAAACATTGCTGCTAGAATTTACAGAAACGTTTTCCACGATGGTAAATTAGGTGCCGTCGACTCCAGCTTAGATTACTCTGCTAACTTAGCTAACTTGTTAGGTTTCGGTGAAAACAAGGAATTCCTTGAATTAATGAGATTATACTTAACCATCCACTCTGATCACGAAGGTGGTAACGTTTCTGCTCACACTACCCACTTGGTCGGTTCCGCTTTATCTTCTCCATTCTTGTCCTTAGCTGCTGGTTTAAATGGTTTAGCTGGTCCATTACACGGTAGAGCCAACCAAGAAGTCTTAGAATGGTTATTCAAGATGAGAGGTGAATTAAACGGTGACTACTCCAAGGAAAACATTGAAAAATACTTGTGGGAAACTCTTAACGCTGGCCGTGTTGTTCCAGGTTACGGTCACGCTGTCTTAAGAAAGACCGATCCTCGTTACACTGCTCAAAGAGAATTCGCTTTGAAGCACATGCCAGACTACGAATTATTCCAATTAGTCTCCAACGTTTACGAAGTCGCTCCAGGTGTCTTAACCAAGCACGGTAAGACCAAGAACCCATGGCCAAATGTGGATTCTCACTCCGGTGTTTTATTACAATACTACGGTTTGACTGAAGAATCCTTCTACACTGTCTTATTCGGTGTTTCCAGAGCTTTCGGTGTTTTACCACAATTGATCTTAGACCGTGGTCTTGGTTTACCAATTGAAAGACCAAAGTCTTTCTCTACTGAAAAGTACATGGAATTAGTCAAGAACATTAAGGCTTAAGTTTGATGGTTTGTTTTACACTATGAATTATTTTGTAACCTCCATTGCCTATTTATTGTAATTTTTCCTATAAAGAAATCTTATTTATTAAAACTATTTGTTATTTATTTATGTATAGGTTCTTCTGTATGTAACGAATTGATGATTTTTATATATCTTTTTCAGTTTCTGTTGTAAGACTAGTTTATTAGTGATTTGATTTTGTACCTTTCTCGGGATTATAATTTTTCAGACTTAATTCGACTGTATTTCTACCATCTATAGTCTATAGGGCAAGGATGCTTAGACATATTAGACGCCTTTCTATAACCAGGGTAAATGCTAAGACTCTGTACAGTAATACCTTACAACTTCCAAAGACAGACTTCGGACCTAAAGTTCCTTCTGGATCTTCAAAGGATGAATTAATTAAGCTCGTTTCTGAAGATCTTTATGATTGGCAGTTGAGTAGAGATAACTATAACGAACGGTGGATATTTCATGATGGGCCTCCATATGCCAATGGAGACTTACATTTGGGACATGCCTTAAACAAAGTATTGAAGGATATTATAAATCGTTTCGAATTAATTAAGAATAATAAAAAAGTCATCTATCAGCCAGGGTGGGATTGCCATGGCTTGCCTATTGAAATGAAGGCTATATCTAATTCTGAAAAGGCTAGCGAACTTCAGCCCACAGAAATCAGATCGTTGTGTCGTACTTTAGCAATGTCGATGATTGACAAACAAAGAGAACAATTTAGGGAGTTTGGTATAATGACAGACTTCAATAATCCGTACATTACGTTGTCAAAGAACTATGAAAGTAAACAATTGCAAGTGTTTTTGAAACTAATGGAGAACGGTCTTTTATCTAGGCAATTGAAACCAGTTTGGTGGGGTTGTGAAACACAGACTGCGCTAGCAGAAGCAGAGTTAGAATATAATAATGCCCATCATTCCGTGGCTACATATGTCAAGTTTCCACTTGCTTCTTCGGAATTTTACAAGAAATTGAGCGAAAAGTATCCTTTCTTAAAGATAAATAAACATGACGTGAAATTATTAATATGGACGTCTACTGCTTGGACTATTCCTGCGAACCAGGCAATTTGCATACATAAAGATTTAAGTTATACTCTCATCTACAATTATGTGACAAATGAACATTTAGTTGTTGCAGAATCTTTGGCAAATGACTTATGCAAGCTTGATGAATCATATAGACGCTACTCTGAGCCACTTACCTTTAAAGGTAATGAATTACTAAACTTGGAGTACATGAATCCCGTTATTGGTCCACAGTATTTATTCCCTATTTTACATGGTGACCATGTTTCTGCAACGGCCGGTTCCGGTTTAGTTCACACTGCACCAGCACATGGCGGTGAAGATTATTTGATAGGATGCAAGCATAATTTGAAAATTATGTCATCAGTAAATGGTCAAGGTATGTTTATCGAGGATAATATTCCCGAAGGATTTTCTTCATTAAAAGGCGAATATGTCAACAAGAAGGAAGGCTTATGGAAATGCATTGATATAATGAAAGAAAACAATATGATTTTCCACATTAATAAAAAGTACAAGCATTCATACCCGTATGACTGGAGATCAAATAAACCAGTAATTCAAAGGGCAACACCTCAATGGTTTGTAAATGTTGAAAAAATCAAACCAACTGCGATCGAAGCCCTTGAAAAAGTAGAGTTTTTACCAGAAAACGGTAAAAATAGATTAAAGCTGTTCATTAGTAATAGAAATGAATGGTGTATATCGAGACAGAGAACATGGGGGGTTCCATTACCAATAATATATCATAAGGAAAGTGGTGAGCCTATTGACGATATTGAAGTTATAAGGTTTACAATTGATCGCATGACTAAGTTTGGTACTGATAGTTGGTTTACTAAAGAAGACGATATCTCCAGATGGTTACCTGACTCATACAAGGATCTGGGAAAATTATACGTTAAAGGACAAGATACTATGGATGTCTGGTTTGACTCTGGTACATCATGGTCAACCTTAGGTGATGATATGGATGTATTATCGAGGAGCGAGTCACCATTGGCTGATATTTATCTTGAAGGTAGTGACCAACATAGGGGGTGGTTCCAATCTTCATTGTTGAATAAGATCATTGCGTCTGGAGTAAATGGCAATAATTTCAAGCCTGTTGCTCCGTTCAAGAAAATTGTTACACATGGGTTTACATTGGATAGTAAGAATGATAAAATGTCTAAATCCAAGGGTAACGTTATTTCACCAAAGCATGCTATAAATGGAGGTGGAAAGCCATTCCTTCCAAGTTTAGGAACCGATGGATTGAGGTTATGGGTTGCGTCGTCTAATTTTACTCAGGATGTCAACGTTAGTGGTGAAATTCTCACCAGAGTATTTGAAAACGTTAAGAAATTAAGAGTTACTTTGAAATATATGTTAGGGAATTTAAATGATTTCAAAGAAAGTGATAGGGTTAGCTATGATGATTTAAATCCTATGGACAAGTTAGTTTTATCGAAACTTTTCAGATTACAAGAAACTTGCATCGAATACTACAAAGACCACAATTTTTCAAGAGTTGTCAAAGATATTAGTACACATATGAGTGTGGATTTGAGTGCTCAGTACTTTGATATTTCAAAAGATTGTCTTTACACAGATTCTAAAGACTCGAAAAGACGGAGAAGCATCCAGACAGTATTACAGACAATATTGAAAACGTATATTGGGTTGCTTGCACCTATCCAACCATTACTAGTTCAAGAAGTCTGGAACGTATGTCCGGAATATTTGAAAAATAATAACAAATCGCCATTTGCGGTTGGTTGGGATTTTTATCAAATTCCGAAGGTCTATTTGCAAAAATCTATAGAACAAGATTTTTCTAAGATATGGCAAGTTAAAGACACACTTTACAAATCTTTGGAAGACCTCCGTTTGAATGGCACTTTCAAGAACAAATTGGAAACTCAGATTAATATCGTCGTCGATAAAGAGTCTTCAATAGGAAAATTATTGACTTCACACCAAACTTTCTTGGACGATTATTTTCTTGTTTCTAAGGTCTATGTCAATGGAGATCCACTTCAGGATGCATCCTATTTTCATGAAACTTCATTGACTATTGATGAACAAGAAATTAAGATACAAATAGCTCCATCTCCTAATGCTAAATGTCCAAGATGTTGGAAGTTTGTGTCTGAATCTGAAGACATATTATGTACAAAGTGTGATACAGTAGTTCACAAACACTAGAATGTAAATAGATGACGCTGAAATGTATATATAAATTAAAGGCGTCCTTCAATGTGATAGAGTCTATAGTATATAAAATTAATTTTGTAATATAGAATTGGTCTAATGATTTTGTTTGTTTGTTTGTATACATTGTTTATCAATGAGAATAGAATTTCGTGTATAAATTCATTTTTTTTTCTGAAAGCGTTTCATGTGTTACACGGTATATCACTGTTATTTGCAATTAATTATACGAGTTCTATTTGCAATTTATTTATAATATACATTAAGACATATTCAGCAGTGAAAAATATATATATATTTAGCCACAATGGGTAATATGCTAAGGAGAAAAATGTCCAATTACATGGAAATAATTACCAATCTAGAAGAACGGTATATTTCTATACGCCATATGTTTAAAGACCTAGAAGTAGATGACGAAGACGAGGAGTATGATTATGACAGGAAACAGTACTTAATAGACTCTTTTGAATTGTTGTTAGAATTCGATAAGATGATTTATAAGTATCATGCGTTAAAGTCGTATTTTGAAACAGCAAAACACCAACTAAGCGAGGAAGAGAGAAATATGATCAAAGAAATGGATAGATTAGGGACAAAATACGAACGGGAATTTCCAATACCTGACTTAATAATGGAGTTCCCAGAATTAGCAATAGTAAGACGCCAATTGCAAGGAAGCGCAAAGGAATGTGGGAAGATTGCATACCAATATAAGCAAAGTGAGATTTATGAAAAACCGTCCAACCACGGATCTAAATCTGTTACTAGTCAAGAAAAAAGTAAAACATGACTTTTGAATAATTAAGGAAGCTCCTTTAAGTCATAAAAAAATAAAGATTAGGGGGGTTTTGTCTGGATGTTCCAGAGATATGAGATGAACGTGTCTCTACATGGATATGCTATAAGCAATTTGTAAATAGAGAGCTATTTTAGTGATAAAATATAGTGGGAAAAAATGATCCACTCAATAATAACCAGCAAAGTCTTGCACACAGAATATTAGAATTAATGAAGAGGAATCTGCTTCGACGTGTTTTTAACATACAAATTATACAGAAGTTTCGACTAAAATGGAGATAGATATGGAATTATGATATAAGCTTTGTATTACATAGCTGATACAAGTATATATTAGTATGTAATTGTGTATAATATACAATTTAAAATGATTATGAAATATGCTTATCTTTTACCACTCATCAATTGTGTTAACAATTGTGAGCTTGAAGACTGATTTCCAGCAGCTGATTGTTGTGAATACTGTTGTCCTTGTGACTGTTGCTGATGTTGTGCTGGTATTTGAGGTGGGTTGGGAGTTCCCTTGGAACCATTAGCACCAGCGAATAACCCTGGCGGTGGTGGTGTAGAAGTGTTAGCTGAACGTTCACGAGCTCTCACCATATTAATTTGAGCTTGAGCTTGAGATGGAGTTTGTTGTTGTTGCTGCTGTTGCTGTTGCTGTTGCTGCTGTAACTGCTGTAACAATAATAATTGTTGTTGTTGCTGCAAAGAAGCATTAGTCGACACAGGTGTACCATTTCCATTTTGTTGGGATTGTTGTTGATCCAATAATCTTTTTTGTTGTTCTATCTGTAATTGCTGTATTTGCGCAGCTTGTATACTAGGGGTTTGTTGACGTTGTTGCTGCAATTGTGCTTGTTGTTGAAGTAATGTTTGTTGTTGTGTAATTGGGTGATTTTGGTACGCCAAGTGATAATTTTTGATAGGCCTTAAGATAAATCTTTCAATAACTTGACGAGCGATCAACTTTTCCTCTTCAAGATTACTGTTATTAGACAATTTTGTATTTTTATTAAAAGCGAATAAAGGCAACACTTTATTGTCAGCATTTTCTGTTAGCTTCTTGAAATGAACTTGTAATTTCTCTCGTCTTTCAGATAAGTTTCTCAACATCTCCGACGTCTCTTCCATAAAATGAATAGCTGAATCATTGTCGATATCAATATCGTCAGGAAGTAAAATGCTACTATCTTTCGAAGACCTACCGACTTTACCCTTACTAACCTTACTTTCTTTCCTTTGTTGCTGTTTCTGATCACGGAAAATTTCACCTAAAGTTGGGAAAGCAGCTGCATTAGCTAATGCAGTACTATTAACAGAAGGCGAGCCACTTGCCGAGCTCAGGCCCTTAGCCCAATGAGCAGTAGCAGGTAAAACAGCTCCATTTGAAGAAGAAGCAGAGTTTGGCATTGGGTTAGGACTAGATGTGTGATGATCGCTATCATCCTCAGAAACTTCGTTATCTTCTTCTGCACTATTAGAATGTTGAGAGTTATTACTTGACGTGTTTTGATTATTAAATCCAGAGCTAATATTAGTATTGCTTCCAACTCTTGAACCAGATAAGCCCATCATACCCATCTTAATACCTTGCTGAGTAGACAAGTCCTTTCTAGTGTAAGAATCGGCTTCTTCACCAGGTTCATGCAAAAACATACAATTTGGATTTGGACAAGGATGACCACGCAAGTAAGAGGAGCAATATTTGGTTGTACCATGTGCTGCTCTTAAAACTCTACCATCACACAACGAACCATCTAACTCATTAATACACTTTAACGCGTCCTCTTTTTTGGCAAACGTTACGTATACAACTAAACCAGGATTTTGGTGATGGTGGTGGGTACTCTGTGGATTAGGAGTCTTTTTGTTGATAACAATCTTCAGAATCTTACCATATTGGCCGAAGTATTTGTCAGATCTTAAGACCGAATGCAAGTCATCAGGACTACATGGCGGATTCAAACCTGTCACATATACCAAGTTTTTCTGTACCACTCTCAATCCTGCCAAGTGCTTCTTGTTAGCCATTTCCGTTTCCTTCTTCTCCTTTTCTCTTTGCTTCTTTTCTCTTTCACGTTTTTCTCTCTTTAATTGTTGCGTCCTATATTCGTCTGAACTGATTGTCTTGTATTCGACACTATCATCGTCATATAGTCTTCTACAGCCCGGACATCTACCATTCAATTCTGGATTTTGTCTAATGTTGTTGTAACAAAATTGACAGATTTGGTACCCGCAAGGGCATGGTTTGAAATTTTTATCTGAGATATCCATTTCCTCCACACATAACGGGCAAAATTCTTCTTCTTCGTCGCTAATAAAGGAATCGTCACTAGGAACCATCATTGATTGATTATTTAAAATTATTGATTTGATTAACTATCGGTATACTGTATTGATATAACATTAGTGGCGTTAAAATTTCTTTAAGTCGAACATTTTTCGGATCACGCACACATAGTCGATTTTTCAATATAACTTCACTAAGATAGTATATCATTACAATTTGGAGGGATTACTATATTAACCGGTAACATGTCATTCTTTGTTGAATTATGGGAGTCTGTCTTCACTCCTGGTACTACACCAGCTTTGATCAAAGCTACACACGCATCATTCATTATGTTAATAATTTCACTTTTGTTTCTAATATATCTTAGTGGGTCTATTCATTTCATTAATTTGCTTGTGATAGCCCTTATGCTTTATGGTTCAGTTATATGGTTTATCAATGAACTCAATAAGGCTAAGTTGAAGGATAATGCAGCCTTGGAAAAGGAGGATGAATCTGCTGAGAAAGAAGTCAAATTAAGCTCAGACAAGGATGTGGCAAATGAAAAATCTACCGAAGCTGAGTCAACCGGTGCATCTAAAGGTATTTCAAAGCCTATCCCAGCTAAGAAGAGGAAAGCATAATATACAATAGACTTAGATAACTTATATAGTGAGTAATGCATAATAATATTAATATTACGTTAAGGGACTTTTCTGGAATAAACCCAGTAAAGCAAGGTAGTTGGGACCTAATAGATGAACTGGGTGTCTGGGTTATCTGCTGTAATGGGTAATAATCATTGATTTTGATCGCTTTGGAGTTAATAGAGAAAATCGCACATAAAGAACTTCTTCGTTTAATATTTAATTGCTTGTAAAATGAGTTTCAGACATGTCTTTCAAAAGTATATAGATAATGCAGATGCATGCCTGGATCTATTATTGTATAAGGATGAAAATGTCTTGATAATTAAAGATGGATTTCCCAAGGCATTGAGACATTACCTCATAATTCCAAAATCGCCAGATAAAACCCAAATTCATCCATTGCTTGTATTCCAAAAGGATCCCCAATTTTACAAAATGATCGAGGAGTACGTCACAAAGACGAAGAAACTTATCATGGATGATTTATTTGCTGCAGGTCTTTTAAAGTTCGACAAAACCGATACCTTGGCGACTCATGAATTTATGAATCGTTTCATTAAAGCCGGAGTTCATTCGATCCCGTCCCTCAGCAACCTACACATACACATCATCACACAGGATTTCTATTCGTCTCGTCTAAAACATAAGAAGCACTACAATTCGTTCACAACCGAGTTTTTTGTGGAGTTCTACCGTTTGGAGCCGCCACAGACTGATTTGGAGGACCAGATGGGGTATGGATACGATTCGTCATCCAGCCAAAATACGGATGATGGACCATACCCAACGCAATCTATTTCGGTCCGTCACGAAATGGATCCTCTGAAGCTACAAAATGTCATTTCCAAATCGCCTCTAAAATGTACTTATTGTGGGGCCACCTTTGCAAATAGGTTCGTACATTTGAAGAAGCATTTGCAGGAGGAGTTCGTAAAAAAATTCGCTGTTGCTCCAGAAGACACTAATTCATGACTCGTGAAGCGCTGTAATTCCGACCTCTATCAGTAGGATATAGTATGAGAATTAGTATAATGAAAAAGTATTACATAATTCAGCATTAAATATTTCTCTATTTGTGTCGTCGGAAATATATTACGGGCTTGATTGATTGTCAGGAATAACTTCATAAAAGTTTTGGGCACTATTTTCTCTGATCTGCACTAAACAATACATAATTGTTCTTTTATTTTAGCGTGTGTCGGCATTCCGAGTCGTATGCTGCGGTAAATTCACTAGATAGCAGACACAATAATACCCCCAGCGGGGCCAAAATTATCAATCGCTAAGAAAATAATCCGATACGAGAATTCTATTGGCTGATATTCGGATTAATACTCAAGCCGCATATTTTTTGGATGCACAATGATGCGCACATATAGTGGGGGAAAATAGTTTTTCCTTTTGATTGGTTTACGGCTGTTGAGAAGTGGAAAAAATTTACGTAAAGAAATTATCAGAGCATAAATTATTGTTTGACATGCATAAAAAATAGATTGAGTGGAGAAATAACTGGAGTACGTTGAAACCCAATACTAAAAAGAAATGCATCCTGCACAAGCAAAAGGATTTATGATCCTACAATAGATTAGGTTCTACAATTGTGTTTTGTTGAATGGAGGAGCGTGGAATAGTATAAATAGTAAAGAGGTTACCGTTTAGAAAGCTGACTTCTTTTAATTAGTTATACAAAGATGAGTCTTTTAGAAAAACTGTCTGACGGTTTTGATTCGTTAAATGAGAAAGATGTTAAGATTGATGAATACAAGAAGGTGGATGCCTCTGAGTTAGGTGAAAACTTCAACTATGACCAGGAGTTTGAAGAGTTAGAGAAAATGTCTATCGAAGCCAAGGCCAACAGGACTTTCCTTCAAAAGTTAACCAGTTTTGAATTCGAATTGCATTTCAAGAATAAGAGGAATATGGTTTACTTATTGGGTGGTTTTAGTGCTGCTGCTGGGTTATTATCGGGTGTTGACCAATCGATTATCTCAGGTGCAAGTATTGGAATGAGAGAAGATTTGAAATTACTCCCTGACCAGCAATCGCTTGTTTCGAGTTTGATGCCTTTAGGTGCTATGATGGGAAGTATAATGATGACCCCATTAAACGAATATTTTGGTAGAAAAGCTTCAATTATTATATCCTGTATTTGGTATACTCTTGGGGCTGGTTTATGTGCTGGTTCACGTTCTTATGGTATGATGTACGCAGGTAGATTTTTGCTTGGTATTGGTGTGGGTATTGAAGGTGGTTGTGTGGGTATCTACATTTCCGAATCTGTTCCTGCTGAAGTCCGTGGTAATCTTGTTTCGTTATATCAATTCAACATCGCCCTTGGTGAAGTGTTGGGATATGCTATTGCGGCTATTTTCTTCGAAGTTCATGGGGGTTGGAGATACATGGTTGGTTCTTCCTTGGTCTTTTCAACAGCCTTATTGGTCGGTATGCTCTTTTTACCTGAATCTCCTCGTTATTTAGTTCATAAGAATAGAATAGGTGAAGCTTATGACGTTTGGAAGAGATTAAGAGATATCAACATACAAAAGAACAAACTTGAATTTTTGGACATGAAGCAAGCTGCTTATCAAGAACAGGAAGCTAAGGCAACAGAGAGTAAGGCAAGATTATGGACTGATTTATTCAGAATCCCAAGAAATCGCCGTGCATTAGTCTATGCTGTTATCATGGTTGGATTAGGTCAATTGACAGGGGTTAACGCTGTCATGTATTATATGTCTACTTTGATGGGTAAGATTGGTTTTGACGAAAAGAACTCTGTTTTCATGTCATTAGTTGGTGGTGGCGCTTTATTAATCGGTGCTATTCCAGCCATCTTATGGATGGACAGATTTGGTCGTCGTGTTTGGGCCATGAATATTGTTGGTTTCTTCATCGGTTTAGTTTTAGTTGGTGTTGGTTACAAGATTCCAATTGAGACTAATCAAAATGCAGCAATGGGTGTCTATTTGACCGGTATTGTTCTTTATATGGGTTTCTTCGGATCTTACGCTTGTTTGACATGGGTTTTACCATCAGAGTCGTTTGATTTGAGAACCAGATCAATTGGTATGACCATCTGTTCCACATTCTTATATTTGTGGTCATTTATTGTTACATTCAATTTCGATAGAATGCAAAATGCTATGACCTACACAGGTTTAACCTTAGGTTTCTATGGTGGTCTTGCATTCGTTGGTTTCTTCTACCAAATCTTATTTATGCCAGAAACCAAAGATAAGACTTTAGAAGAAATCGATGATATTTTCTCGAAGCCTACAAGAGTCATTGTCAAGGAGAACGTTGTAGGTATGAAGAGATTCTGGGGAATTAGCTAGGTGCTCGGTATTGTATTGTACGTCTAATATTTATATTATTATAATTGCATAAAAATTTATATTTAAACCATATTGTATATCGGCATTAATTCGATAGATCCATGAAAGTTCTGGTTATATTTGGATGTTGAGAGGTGTAGAGATGTTGGAAGGTCTTATATTGACTGTATTAGCGTCTTTTTATATGTGAAGCTAACCCTATGAATATGTAGATTCCGGGTAATTGTGTTTAAAAATCGCTCTCAAAAATAGTTGACGATAAAGAACTTTTTTAAAATTATGGTTTTATCTTCTTCTTACTATTGATCTAGACGTATATATACAATAATATACAATATTTAGTATTCTTGTCGTGGTTTTGTAGATTAGCGAATATTCGCTGGGACTTTATCTCCATATATATGACGTGAATAGATATATGTGGTAAACGAATCCCAAACAAAGAAATTTGAGATGAATTTTTCTTAATTGAAAGTTCTTCTTGAATTGAAGTGTCTGCAGAAGAGTCATTGCAATTTTCTACGTAATGAGTATCTTTTGATGATATTTTACATATATTTTAATGAATGTCTTTGATGTTTATTAAAATTAGTGATAAATGCTAAAACATAGCTTAGCTTTGAATGAAATGTTTCATTTTTGATCCAACAGATCCGTAACTACCAGGGACCTTTTTATGTGGGTTTGGAATTAGACACCTAGATGAAAAATCGCAATAATTACATTTCGATAGGTCTTGAACAGGGACAGGAGGTCTGGAACCGTTCCAAAATGTAGAGGCACTTGCAGTAACTTCGTCTACTTCATCTGAATTATAAGTATAGTAGTTTGTGTGAAAACATTGATTGTTCTTAACATTATGATACTCGATAGACAATGAATCGCTCAAAAAAGGCTTACACAAATGAAATAACTGTGAAGATCTTGCAGCAAAATATCTCAATGTTAACGGAATCTTCCAAGTTTTTAAGATTTCAGAGTTTAAGATCCCCTCAAGATCGAAACCATCCTTGTCTGATGATTTTACTTGAGAAATAAAATCTTCTTTAGTTGATCCGTTGAGAAGTCGAGCAAAGTTGTAATTAGACCTTTTATTTAAGTATTCCTCTTCAACAAATTTATCGAAGGGTTCAAATCCAATAGCTTCTCCATTAGCCAATTTAACATAATCTTTATATATAATATTATGATTTGCTTTCAAAAGCGATAATGCGGTCTTTATTGATATTGGTTTATCGACGTCTAGCTTTCTTCTCTTAGCATTCTCAAGTAGCATTTCGTAACCGATTTCCATGCTATCGAATTCCCCCGCCAAAACCCCAAACATTTTTCTATAATAGCTAGCCTGTAGTTTTGCAGCTTGAAGGACAGACTCTTGTTGAGGGAGTCTATTCCAAGACCGGGTTTTAACGTCGGTTACCCCTAACATATATGTATCGGAATATTCATTGATAATAGGAGCAACATCCACGAGAAATTGAGATAAGTCAATCAACTGACGCTTGTTTTGGGACAGGTATGTAAATTCGACGTGATCTTGTATATCCTTGAACATAGAATAATCAGTTTTATCATTTGGATTGAACAACTTTAAGTAATCCACAACTCCACTTACTAAAACATGATTCAGTTGATTCTGTTGGAAATCAAGCAATTTAGATGTGAATCGTGAAGTGTTAAAGTCTAGGTAGCCATGTACCAATACTTCTCTCGCTTCCGAAGTAGTAGCAAGAGCGAATAATCGGCTAATTATCTTACCCATCCATTCATTAGCCATCGATGATTCAGCTACAGCTCCGCATAATAGTTCTGTAATATCAGTTAGATCTTCTTTTGCCTGCAATATATCATCTGGCTCCGTTAGAGTTTTCATATGATTTCTGAAACTTTCAAGCATCGTTTCAACAAAAGTATCCGTTATCCTTTCCATATCTTCAACCTCAATCAACTTGTGAGTTTCTAATTCGAGTTTGAGATGTGCTTCAGTTCCTAGCTTCATTTCTTTAGTTTCTTCTTTAACAGGAGATCCTGAGAATATGGTATAAAAGTCTCTTAATTCACACCATTGAAATGTGAGGAGCTTGGTAACAGATAATCTTGGTATATTTATGTAAGAGCTGTCACTATTATACTTTGAATGAAATTCAAAAGGTGTTTCTTTTATAAACCTAGGTTTCATTAATGGTAAGGATTCTCCCTCGTCAATATGAAAAGTTGTTAATAGATTTCTAATCTTAGACAAATTAGGCTTTTGATATGTATTGGAAATTTCAGCACCCGAGCTTAATGGCAATATAAAATTATCAATGATGGACTCTTCATTCTCATCTGTATACTGTATGACTTTTAGTTTGTCATCTAGAGGGAAATCTGTATTATTGATATCATTACTGATGGGTAAATTCAAATTATATTGTTTTGTATTGATTTCTGAGACTCTAAGCGCAGTCATATTGGAGAAGGATCTTTTAAAATAGTTCCACATGGGAACATTGTCTTGCTTTATCATTATATCATGGTGGTTGGTTATACTAAATAACTCACACTCATAACAACGCTTTCAGAGTTCCATGATATCAACTACGCGTGCGAAATTTTAAAGAATATATAGAAAGCCTACGATTATATAAAAGTGTTCTTTATTAACTATCTAATGTATACCTCTCTTTAACTTGAGTGAATCTCGTTTCTTTTCACTCAATCCAAATTGACTTGGAACATGAATGGAATCTTTCTTTGGGTTGGACGATATTGCAGAGTTAGAAGGGGCATCTCCGTCTTTACTTGATTCTACCGGTATATTTGGGAAGCCATTACTTTGATTGAAATACCCAAACTCCTCAGATGGGGTTGTAGCAGACATAAATGGAGAGTCTAAGGTATCACCATCACAACCGTTTAAGGAATTCAATGCTTGGAAATTAGCGTTGTCAGTATTTATGGTTAAAGGTCCTGGGAATGAGTTTCCACTACGGGATGCGGACCTTGACCTCGATCCGGAAAAGTTGAAGTAGTCTAATTCATTTGAATTAGTTCCACCATTGTTATTGTGGACAATTTGAATATTTTGATTTGGAATTGTGCTTGAGCTAGAAATGGTCGAACCACTAGAAACAGAACTCTTGTTAGAATTTGGAGGGGTTTGATAACCCATCATCATGGAATTAAAACCATTGTTGGGTGTCGTGGCATTATTTGATGAGGTTGGCGTATTACCGGCTGATCTAGTTATAAATGATTGAGGTACATAGTCTTGCATAGATTGTAAAGATTCAGAACTCACATTCATCGAGTCGTTTTGCATAGGAGCATTGTTGTCATTTTGCTGCCTTATATTGTTTATGTTTCCCACATGCAACCAGTTGGTTCCGTTGCAGGAGTTATTTCTTGTCAACGATTGCTTCCTTAAGTTTAACGAGGATGATCTCGACCTCATCAAGTTATTGTTGCTTGAGCTGTTAGAATTATAGTTGGAGATATTCAAGTCGGTTAACGACAAATTTGAAATCGATGTTTGCCTGATATTATTGTTGTATGGAGCGCCATTACTTCCACTGACAGTAATCGATACTGTCGTAGAATTTGGCAATTTATTTATGTTATTATCCCTTGAGTTTTGATATGCGCATAATTCTATTAATCTCTTTCGTATCAACTGCAAGAAAATCGGCTGGTATGCGTTGTTTTTCAAGTAGTCATTGGTAATGATCGATTGTTGATCGAATGCCGGCAGATTATTTGACGCGGTATGCATTATTAAACTGCTCATGGTCTCGTTGGCAACCTTACTCACTAGTCCACTGGGAGGTGTTGTTCCCAGGAACGGCGTTGTCGTAGGTAATGACAAGATATGAGAATACACCGACATGACCAACTGGTCGAAGTTGCTAGTGAAGTTTAACGTGTACTGTTGTGTCGTCTTCGATGTTCCCAGCGTTGGTTCATCAATATCAGTCAAAACATCGTCTGATTCATTGTAGTGTGGATGACTATAGATACTCTCTTGTCTTGGAGGTGCCTGAAAGTAGTTAGCCTGCTGATTGCAATCGAGCGGCGTTTTCAATGTCTGGTCCAAAGGTGTGAACGGTCCGTCCGGAATAATATTGCCCAAGGACTTGTTTAACTTCAACGAGAGGTTCTGTTTCTTATTAATCATTTTCTGAACCTTTCTGGTTATTAATTAAACAAATACCTGAAATTTCGATTTTTGGGTACTAATTATGGAGTACTAATGATTTTTCGTAGATTAAGGTACGCTATCTAGGAGGAAACGCAGCTCTTCAATTATATAAAATATCTTTTCTAGTCGGCTATTAGTCAACTTTCTTCGAAACAAGAATTATGATGTGTTTTATTTCGTCTGAACAGGAGGAAGAATGTAAGAAGAAACTATATTGATATCTCGACTTTATTTAAGCTTTTATTAAGAATCCTTACTTCTGCAAAAAACGCGCTTCTAATAATTCCCGATTAAGTTAAATTTTTTTTCACTTCACTTTTCTAGAAGCAATTATCGATCTAATACTAGATCTATTGTACTATATTTAAGCGACTTAAGAAGAGTTAGATAATGTTGGGTAAGCATATGGAGTTAGAATGGGACCTAATGTAGCGTGATCAATTTAGTCTTGAGTATCTGATCATTTTTTCTATTACAGGCTACAACAGAGCACGATTGTTACTCAGCCGGAATGAATGGATCGTGGAATTAATTGTTCCTGAGTCCAACATGCATTAATTGCTGTTTTTGTGCATTATGTTACAAAGGGATATGTATTTATACATTATATAGATCTTATGTAGGTATAATGTCTCTGGAAATCACAAGAACGAGGTGGAAGTATGCGAAAATGAAGAATACTTTATTGGGGGAGTCTTTGTGCGTATTGTTTTGACACATTAGAGGCTCAAATCTGCATAGCGAGCAAGTATATGGTATTAATATGCGAGACATGGATATGATCAGACGCTATTAAATGGAGGAAACTATAACATCAATTTATTATCACCTCCTATTCCGTCATCGTTAACAAGGAGACCGTTGTGGTTGGTGTCATGTTCGTTTTCAAGATCACTATCATGATCGTGGGTTTCAGCGTTTTCACTTTGTTGGTTATGCTTTTGGAAGTAGGCAAAGTACAGCTCTAAGTCATCTTCGAGTAAGTTTTTATCATACTTGAGGTTATATGGTAATACTTTTAACAACTCCACAGGAGGCGTTATGGTGTTTTCTTCGTCTTCTTGTTCGAGATTGAGAAGTATGTGATCATGTTTGTTGACGTTGTTAATATGTTGTAGAATTTGCTGCCTTTTAGACTTCGGTATTGGATGTAATCTCTCGTTATTCTGTAATGAAATGAGCTGAGGTTCTAAGCTCGTGCCCAAGAACTTCAAGTCATGTCCAAGCTTTAGGTCCTTTTCTGCTAAATAATCCAACCACGATAATTGGTCTTGCTTCGAAATCTCTTCTTCATTTTCCTCGTTTGGTAAATCACTAGATACTGTAGTTTTGAAATGATTATAAAATTCTTGCTTTTCACGTAATTTCCGCCTCTTCTTATCCTGATCAGTCTCTGCAGAGTCATCAATCTTCCGTTTATCAATTAAGTTTTTAATATATTCTCTAGGAATCTCTGATAGCTTTTGACTAGTTGTAAATGAATCACTATATTTTAACCAATTAATAAATGAGTCGATTGACTTGGTGTTGTATTCCTTATGTACATTCGAATCTTTGTCTCTGTGATTATGATGCTTAGGTATATCGTATGCGTCTAGGTAGTTTTCAAAACTGGATGGCTTTATAAATCCAATGTCTAGCATTGCTTGTGTTACATCTTGGATCCCAATATCATTGCAGTTAACTCTTTGATTGGAAAATTTCAATGTTCTAGATAATAATAATTTGAAATATTGTATGTAGATATCCGTCAAAATATTCAAAATCGACGGTTTGCATTTGTCAAATCCTGAAGATTTCAATATTTGAGCTATAGATATTCTTAGCAATGCAAAGTGAAAGGATTCATCCATTATTAATGCTAAGTAGGGTATGAGTTGCTTGTTAGTATATGGATATGCTTTTTCATCAACTAAATATATTGCGACATTTGAACCGACATTTCACAGGTCTTAAGAGAAGTGAAGATATATACTGGATAGTTAATTACTAAATTATGAACAGTATAAGCTATATATGCTCCTATGTGTATCTCTAGACATGATATTAGATGTAGAAAACTACGAAGAGATAACTTGAGCTAATTGTACTAGCAAATTTACAAATTCGAAAGAGCTTATGGAAGAAGACTCAACTTACATAGTATTATCAAGAAAAACTCGACATGTATAAACGAAACGTGTATTACAAGACAATCCAGGTCAAACTAAGACTAGCTCGTTCTATAATTGAACATTACTACTTAACAACATTTTTGATAATTAAATTGGGCGTAATTAGATACGACATTTATAAACCCTGTTGTAATCTTTCACCAAGTTTCTTTGAAGCAAATGAAAGGGCATTGAATAAACCTTTTTCGGATAAATCAATCTTATTAGGTAATTCATTTGAAAAATTGGATGACGAAGGTGCGTTAGTTACTCTACTCACAATAATTGCTGGATCAATTTCTAAAATGATACCATCGTCAATCGCTTCATCAATACATAAACTGACCAAATCATAATGCTCTAAGATAGTAGATTTGTCTAAGGTGTTTTCTAACAAAATGTTAAGGGCTTCGTTTAAGTTGGTGTTTAATGAATAAAGTAAGGATTCATTCTCAGATAAAGTACCAACCAAAACCAAGATTATATCATTAGTTTGTTTGTAAGTGATTAAGTGGTTGTCATATAATACGATATCTTGGTGAGTCTTATTTATTTTTTCGAAAAGTGACTTTTCAAATTGTAATTGTTGTGCTTGTGTTTGATATTGATTCGCTTCATTAGCATTGTAATATTTGGCATATAAACGTGATCCTTCATTATCTAGTATTAAGCATGCCGAAATAGTATATAAAGATATATTTAATGACATCGTATATCTTGTTGTAATCCTTTAAAGTGCCCGCTAATTACTCTTACCTGTAGATTAATAAACAGCGTGGTGATTTTTTATTGAACATAGCTCAAAGTACATACTGCATATAAACAAACATATACAAAACTTATACCTACATCTATTATTATAAAGGTCAATATTATATTATTAAGTTTTCAATTAGGATTATAAATATAGAAGTGAACTAAGCACCAACAAATTTAAAAACAAATTCATGAATAAACCTGTGAATAGGATTGTTTTCATAAAATGTTTCATTGACACCGGCGAGTTGGAAATCATTAAATTCTTCCTGGGAAGCAATTCTTTTGAAACCAAGAACAAAATTAACTATTAAACCAACAGTTAATCCTAGACCAACAACCAATGGACCAATTACGTTATCTAAGTGCTTGCCTGATCTTTGGATAATAATATCATGCCTGCGCATGAAAATGTAGTAACCCCAGGCACCTGAAAACAAGGTTAATGCGAAATAAATGTATGCTAAAAGTTCAGATAATTGGAACGAATTAGATTTGTTTGCAGATGAATAAATGATGAAAGTTAATGATGATAACAAAGTAGTCATATGCAACCATCTATTGAATGTACGCTCATTAGCTAACCAGACTTTTGGTTCAATCTTTAATGGACCAGCATTTTTAATGTATGACTCGGGTTTAGTAACACCGACCGGTAATTCAATTTCTTCATCTTCTGAGTCAACATCGATTAACTTGGCAACATTAAGAGCACTGGGTAATTTAAGCTTTGAGAGAGCACTAGATGGCTCTTCTTCGTAATCATCAGATGATTGACCAAAATCATCATCATTTTGTTGCTCTTCTACTTGTGTTTCTAATTGAGACTTAGATTGACGAGATGGTGATAATGGTTCGATATTAGCATTGATGACTGATCCCGAAAACGATTTTGATCTAGGGGAATATGGGCCACTTGAATTAGATAACATTGTCTTGAATTTAGACAAGTTTTCTTCGTCAGTTTGTTGCTTTAACGATTTTCTTCTAGCATCAATATACGCTTCTTCAGGGTCCACTTTTATATCATTTTCCAACTCATTGTACCACAAAGGAATATTTGCAAGCTTGTCATCTTCTAAGAACAATGATGCAGTACCTTGAATAAACTTTGAAAAGTTTGGAATTTCTTTAACTAAATGAGAGTTAACTAAATCATCGATCCAAACTAATCTCTTACGGTTCTTGGCGGCCTTAACCTTAATTTCCATAACTGAGTAAGGAAACTTTGAAAATTCACCTTTACGCAACAATGAATATGGGTTATGGAAGTTAGAGTCAATGTCAGTTCTATGCCATTTGGAAGGATCTCTGATTGGTCTTTCTTGGTCAAAAGAATCCTCCCTAATAAACATTAAATCTGAATCGATAACTATACGAATTCTATCTTCTCCTGGGATTTGGAATGCAGTTCTCTTGTACACAGTTCTGAGACAAGGTTGCAAGTTATTTTCCTTTATGAAAGATGATAATTTGGAGATGTCGTCAGCAAACTTAGTAATTTCTTCCGATTCTTCTCCTTTTTTGATCATTTTCTTTACCAATTTATCAGCAGAAAAGTTACCAGACATTAAAGAATCAAGATATTTTTCCTTTAAGGTTAATTTTTCATTGACATTATAATCTTGAGAAGATGGATCAAAAACTTTCTTTTCAATACTGATTTTAGGCTTTTCAGACAATTTACCGACCCATTTGAATCTCAAAGAACTTGAGTTGTTATTCTTAACCAATTTATTGTTATACAAATCAAAATTTGGATTATCAAAGTATAAACAGTTAATTGTAGGATCGTTATTTCCATCCTCGTCATCATCGTCTTCGCCCATTAACAAGTCATCTACACTAGCTGCCGTGTTGCCATAAACTAAAACAGGTAAATGACGCAAAATTGTGGTTTTGACTTCCATTAGGTTATCTGGATGCACCCAGAACTTGAACGATTGGAACTCTTGCTGATTGTCATCTGTAAAAGACGATAATTTGGTCAATGTCTCATTAACATTGTAATTATCTCTTAAAAATTGGAATAATGCCGAAACCTTGTACAACAATGGTGAATAGTCTTCACTATGGAACGGCAAGTTCTTCAAACGAACATTTAACAAAGGCTTGACCGAAAACTCAGGATGAATTCTATCATGCTTTTTCACCACTTTAATGAATCCAGTGTAGTTCAATCTCTGGAAATGATCCAATTCCTGTGCCTCAGTTAACGCTTCTTCCAATTTGTTGCTGAACTTATCCACCTCAAACTCTTGAGTTGGATTTTCAGTTTCTGCCTGCAATTTGTCTAAGATTTCACTCAATTCTTCGTACTTGTTAGCTTGAAAAGTGTATACCTTCTCCAAATCAGCATCTAATGCACTGACAAAATTTTGTTCATCTGTATCAGTCCAATTGTTTTTTAAGATTACACCCTCCTTCAAAAGCTTCTTGAGATGGGTATAGTTCATATAATACTGCTTCCATGGTGGATAGATCTCGCTATCCAATTTATTTCCGAACAACATGATGCTCATCAGTATTTTTCTTGGTAAATACTATTGTTTCTGCTTATTTTAAGCGATTCATATATATATATATATATATGTTGAATTCTTTCACTATAGAGCCTTTTTATTAACCACGTGGTATTGAACACTGATGATAAGCGCAAATTTATATACAGAACACTTTTTTTTTTATTGTGTTAATCTTCGGTAAAGCTATTGGATTTATTTATAGAGAAATACGACCCTAATACTTTAGTTGAACATGTTGAAGAAGCATTGATTTTAACTTGAAATTGAAAGTAAATACTTGTATTTTCATTAATGCAAAATCTGAATGTTATTGAATTTAAGCTTATAGATCAAATCTGATTTCCGCATTTACTGTATGTGGAAGCAGTTCTACTGTGAAGCAAAGCTATTCTCTAGTCTATTCTAAAGACATGTTAGAGACAATGTTAATAGAATAATGTCAGATTTCTGGAACAAAACGTGAGCTTGTTGCAAGTAATCGTGTAAAAATCTAGTGGGGACCAAGGCCTTTAGGCCCTGGAATATCATCGCATTCTTGACAGATGACAGGTATCAACGCAATGCCATACACGAGTGCGTGCAGGTTAAAATTAACACAAACAGTATTGAAGTCATAGCTTAGGGTAGGAACAGTAAAAGGCGTAGACAATTAATTCGAGATGATAGAAATAGGTGCCATTGAATGTATGAATAAAGGCATAAAAACAGGTGAGAGTCGAACCCAGGGTTGGAAAAAAAACTTGCAGCATGAGCGTGAATGGGCATACGGTAAATTAGTGCGTCGTCGTACATGGCCCATGTGTAGTAAGTGCATTTCATTGCTTAGGATACCGAGTGGGCACTAGGACTGGCTGTAATTCAGTTGCAGTTTGGGGGATCCTAATATTGGCGGCTTACTGTTGGTTTAAAGATTTGAAAGTTTGCCTTATATGGTAATGTAAACTCAAACTGTTTAAAAGATATTACCAGTGACTCAGCTCACAAGACATCAAAAATATCATGAATAAAAAAAGTTCTCATCAGTAGTATACAAGATGTTTTTGATGTTGATAGGCATATACACCTCTCTACACCATTATTGATTCAATGGATCGAAACATCAACATATGGTCCAAATTTCACCACCAAATATATGGTTTTCGCACTACCTTCTATTTTGTATACTAATTGCACTAACAAGAATGTATGTGAAGTACTGGTGTTGATGTATTTTGGCGTTAATATGGACTTTCGAGATTCGTATTTGGGTGAAACAAATCCGCTCATTGTAAGAAACCGACTGGGGCGGAATGTTTCCAGGAAGGAAAATATAAATACTGTGGATTTAACTAATGGAGAAGCAGAACTTGGACAGGCCGAATCATCTAATAATAATCCTAATAACATAGAGCCCATTAATCCACCACTCGATGTGTCCAATGATAATGTGTCATCTTCTAAAAACTATGAAGAAGTGATATATGATATTGTATCATCTATACTATCTAAAATGTTTCAGTTTTTGACTATTGTTTATGAGACAAGTCAGAAAGTTTACATCAAACATAAGGAAAGAAATGTAAAAGAAAGAAATGACCTGGCAATAGAGGAGAGATCTGGGGATATATATATCGAAGGCCATAATGAAAAGAGTGATACTGAAGAAAGCGTGGTCATAGTTGATGTTAAGAACAAACCATCGAACAACGTATTCGAGCCATTACTACAATTTGAAGAAGAAGAAGAAGAAGAGGCCAATGGAAATGAAACTCAGCAATACGGTACGAGTTTATCAATTGCAAAATATCCTAAATTTAGTTCCAGTAGTTCGTACACGCCGACAGGGTTGAATGGCTATTCTCTGTTTATGACCACGAAACCTGATGTTTCGAACCTAGACATATTAGAACCTACTAAAACAACAGATTATGATTCCTATGTATCTAAGTTTTATCTACCACATGAGCCAGTATCAAAAAATAAATATTCTTTGGTTGATACCCTCATAGATAATTTCTTTATTGATGGCATATCTGACATCTTCAAAGAGAGAAAAGAGAGGCAAAAATTAATTTCAAAAGAAAGAGAAAGCTTAAAAACTAGATTGCTTCCATTATCGAAAGAGGATCAACAATTAGTCACTAAATTTTGGAATCAGCCTCCTGGGTCGGTTGTGACATCTGCATTTCAGATTGAAATTACCACTCGGGATTTGCAAACATTATGTGATGGTCATTGGCTAAATGATAACGTAATAGACTTTTATTTCAACTTAATAACATCTAAGAATCAATCAGTTTTTGGTTGGACTACACATTTTTTTACTACTTTAAAGCTGAAAGGTTATCAAGGTGTCGCACGTTGGTCAAAACGTAAGAAAGTTAATGTAACGGAAAAGGACTTAATATTAGTTCCAATAAATATTATGGGTACACATTGGGCATTAGCTGTTGTGAATAATAAAGAGAAAAGGTTTCAATATTTCGATTCTTTGTCTTCTAATGGTAATCAACAAGCATTACAGATTATTAAAAACTACATGATTCAAGAAGGTAAAAAACATAATTCATCTATAGATTTTGAAAAATACTCGATAATGAAGAATATGCCAAGTCCACAGCAACAAAATGGTTTTGATTGTGGTGTTTTTGCATGCATCTGCGCAAAATATGTTGCTCAGTGGAGGGATTTGACATACAGACAAAAGGACATGAAGCTTATTAGAAGACGAATGGCATATGAAATTATAACTAAAGACTTGTTAGATTAATTTTCAAACTTGCATTGTTATACTTATTATCTGGTTCTCTCCAAGGACTTGATATATATACAAAATATAATGATTTTTACGATTAATTAAACTTGATTCCTAGAAATGAAGAGGAACTGCTCTCATTCAATTTCCCTATCTCCTTTATTTTTTCTTCGTATTTCATAATTGTATCAGTAGCAGCATTAATTTTTGACAGCACATATTCAAGTCTATTTTTCAAATACTTAACATCATTTAATCTGGAAATCTTATTGATTTCGTCTTCTAGTTTCAAGATTTTAGCATTCTCGATGGATATCAAATTAGTATAATAGTCTGTCTCATAAAGTTTATAAATCTTCTTGTCATTAACGAGCTCCTTAAATGCAGCCTTATATAATGGTCTACCAGTAGAAATACGTGATAAAATACCCTTCTCACGAGTAAATGAGATTAAATCATACTTTTCTAAAGCCGACAAAGTTGCCAACGTTTCGCTGGATGACTTGAAAAGCGAAATCTTACTCAACTCATTGTATTCAAATGAATCATTTTCAGATAAGAATTTCATAATTGCCCACACTTGTGCTGTATTCCAATTGTTTTCAGATTCGTTTGCCACTGTATTATTCAAAAAGAAAGTGGTAATCTGCTCAGAAGCCTGATTTACCATTTCAGACAATGCATCATTTGCAGATTCACCTGATTTGATACGCCTGATAAAAGCTTGTAAATCAAGCATTCTACCTCCCAAAGGTTGAATATACTTGTCAAGAGTGTCAGGATTCATTAAACTAGGATCATTCAATTGATTCCAAACATACTGTTTAGCACTTCTTTGGGATGCATCAGATAATGAAATTGTCTTAAAGACTTGGTTAGGTAATGAATCTGTTAAATGCTGAACTGATCCAACGTCGTGTGTAATGAATATTACATGGGACATATTACTTTGTACTAACAGCGATGTCCATTCAGCAAGGAGTTTATATATCAAATCATTGTTTCCATCAGATTTTCTTTGGAAATTATTGATTACAATAATAGGCTTTGCCTCAGGATGTTGCTGTAAGTAGTCTTCTTCTTTAATAATATCTTCTTCGACTGAAACATTTGAGCTCTCGTCCGTATTACTTTCAGCTTTTCTATGACGCCTTTTCTGTTGCTTGAGACTATCATTTTTATAATCCTCATACTCTGAAAGAGCAATATTCCTCAAAGCTTGCGTAGTCAACAGAAACATATTCTTTAATTGAGTTTCCTTAGATTCACTCAAGCCCGATTTCTGACCAGTCATACCCTGGACAGCTAAATCAACAAATTGTGATATGGAGTTAGTCCAGGTGAAGACAGGAAAGTATCCTAATTGTTGCGCAGTAGCTTGAATTAAAGCATTTTCAGATCTTGTTTTTACCAACGAGTCACAGTCAATGTAAAGAACTTTACGTTTTAACTTTTCATCATTATTTAGAGTGTGATCTAACACAAACTCCTCTTTTCCTGAGCCCTTCGGACCTTTTACAATAATAAAAGTATTAATATTTTCATAAATCCATAATCTCAATTGTTTGATCTTTTCAAATCTTTCATTCCACAATATATTGATATTTCCAGAATCCCCAGAAGCATTTTCCTGATTGTGTTTTCCTTCGTAAACTTGATTGAGCTTTTCATCAATATAGTCATAACTATTATTTAACCATTGAACAAATCTACGATAAGGATAATATACAACCCTTACATATTTGTTATCTTTGTATGTTTCCAAGGAATACTTGTGTGTGATATTCTGCTCAATAAACAATTGTCTAATAGGGTCGAAAATAAGGACAGCAAGGGTAGCAAGAAGTGCAATTATTGTTGGGATTGTGATTTTTTGATGATTAACAATAAAATCAACAAGGTAATTTGCACGCTCAATAGGGATATATTGCAAATGTAAAGTAGTCATATTAGAATTTAGACTTATACCCGTAATACAGTTTTTAGCACAAATTGCAGATCTGAGATATTTAAAAATAATCGTTGCAGTAGGATTCGAGCTAGAAACGGGAATAATATCAACAATTAAACCATATCTTCTAAACAAAAGGTACAACTCTTCTTCGGTTAATGGGTCTCCTTCAAATATTACTTTAAGTTTTGGTGATGGGTATCTTCTCAAATCCTCGATCCAAGGTGTACCTTTAACCTGAAAACACGTTGGAAATTGATTCCAAAGTAAACTTTTGAAATAATTAAAAATATTCTTATTATGTTGGACTTCATTCTCTTTTAAATTAGAGACAATCTGATTAATTAGCTCTTTGCATGTAGTTTCTGGCGGAACTTCAAACTTAACAAAAGCCCCCGCATCTCTCTTTAGAGGAACAAATTCCGATATTTTAGTGTTTTCTGGCAAAGGATTACTCTCTGTTGTAGATAAATCTAACACTTTTTGCTTTAAATCATCAGCAGTTGCCCGGTTTTGAATTGGTGATAAGAATTTACGTTTAAGCGATAAACCTGATATTGGCATTGGGTATATATGATCGAAATACAACACGACCTCCAGCTGTTTTTCATAATCTAACACACCTGTTGTTGATGCTGATTTGTCAGTTTCCAATCTATCTGCTTCCTTTTTTAAATCTTCCACATCGGACCCATAATTTCTGATAAACGATCTTTGAAAGCCTGAAATATAACGACCACTCCTCACAGGCGCTATAAATAGTCTTTTAGCTTGTATCCTAATCATATTTAGATCAATTGTCCAAGTATTGATTATCAAACTTAATCTTTTCAGAAAGAGTTGAATACAAAAAGATAAAACACCATCGTTGCTGAGATTGCTTATCGGTCAATCGCACTTTATAGTGTGGCAAGTCATAAACAGCAAAATAACTACTAAATTCAAATTTTTACGTATTTATACAATTATTACAATTATTAGAAGATGTATCAGGCTAATTATAGCTGGCAATAACAATTGCCAGTTCTACTCCCATAGCGTAATTTCTTTTTGGTTACTGAAGAGTAAAAGCCAAATTAGCTGTGAAATCATTTATCTAGGCTTCGCTTTGAATCATTATACCACGGAGGAAAAGGTATAAGGATCTTCGAAGAAGCCAATCATGCATAACTGCAATTTCAGGTAAATATATACATGTCTTGTGAAGTTTAAAATGGCTATACGTTTCAATAGACAAATGCAATCCAAAACAATAGATTAAGAGAATACAACTTAATTATGGGTGGAAACGATATTATATTCGTTTATTAGATTATACACTAATTCTATCAACTATATTAATGTATTTGTTGAATAAAGAAGAAAACGCTTAATGTAAAGACTTATGAATTTTTTTCACAGCGGTGAAGTCGAGTTTAAAGATGCGGGTAACACTCATTATATTACTATACAGTAAATAAATAGGTTGTATATTACATATATATAGGGTTCGAATTCATATCAATCTACAGTAGAAGATGGAATTGTTTCACTGAATCCTTTTAAGAAATCACTTGTCCTTAAAGGTCTGACTTTGGGTGTGTCTTCAGGTTCAGTTTCCTTAGTTAACTTTTTACCGTCTTTGTAGTTATCTCTGATGAATTCTCTCATAGAGTTCAAGGCTGCTTCTCTGCAAAGTTCTTTCAAATCAGAACCACTGAAACTTCTAGTATTCGAAACAATTGCCTCCAAATCAAAATCATCTTCGTCAAGCTTGGAATCTTTCAATATCTTGCTGAGAATTGATCTTCTTTGGGAAGCATCTGGTCTTCCAATAGGGAACTGCTTTGGTAATCTTCTCATAAATGCCTGATCTATATCCTCACGCCTGTTAGTTGCACCCATAACCATGATTCTTCCATTGGACATTAATCCATCCCATAGGGTCATAAACTCAGCTTTAATAATGGAACTCACTTCGTGATCATTAGATGATCTATCTCTCAAAAAAGAGTCAATTTCATCTATGAATACAATACATGGCTGTAATTTATTGGCAAGTGAAAATATAGCATCTACAATCTTGTTTGATTCCCCATACCATTTGTCCATAATGGTAGACATTCTAATCAGGAGGAAAAAAGCGCCACTTTCTTTAGCAATTGCTTTGGCTAACATTGTTTTCCCACAGCCTGGAGGTCCATAAAACAATACACCTTTTGGTGATTGTACCAACGACAGATGTGCAGCAAACAACTCTGGTTCCGTTAAGGGTAATATGACTGCTTCTCTTAATTCATCTATAATATCTTTCAATCCACCTATATCACTAAATGTGACAGATATATCTTCTGGTGTAATTAAACAGCTTAACAAGGACTTCTCATAGTCATTGAAAGTGACGTTTTTCAAATCTGGATTCGTGGCTTGCATCCTTCTTAATATACCTGTCCCTTTCTTCTTAGATTCTCTATTCTTGACTGAACCTTCTCCAAGTGACTCGTTAAGCAAATGATTCATGATATAGTACATAGAGAGACCAGCTCCCGTGAGGAGAAATAAGTCCCCTAGGAACTTAATATCAATTTTGATCTTACCAAAGTCTATTTTAAATCTATTCATTATATACTACTTGCCTCTATGTTCTTCGATAAAGGAAGATAATTCATCTATATATTCTGTTGTGGCCGAGGTGTAAGAAGTCGCAGCTGAAATGTGCACGACTATAGTTAACCTTGAAAAATTATTAAGACGAGATGACTTGATCTACTTGACAGACAATAATAATTGCAAAAGGATTCTCAGATGGCAGTGAATAAGTCAAGGGGAGATGATGAATCTCGAGAAATTAGAATACCTTCTCTGCTTTTGGATCAAATAAAAAGCAAAGAAGATAAGGGAGACTATGCTGATGATGGTTCCAGATATACAAAGTTTGATCATAAGATCGATAATAAGAAGAGGAAAGAAAAACCGATATCTAGAAAAGAGAAGAGGCAAGAGGAAAGAAGATTGAAGAAGCAGAAAAAGAGTAAACTGACATCGAATAAAAAGCCATCAAGTAAACCTAAGACCGAAAAGGTTGGAATGAACCAAGAAGATCCTCTAGCCGCATTGCGTGCATTAAAGGAAGCCAAAAGAGCTCAGAGAAGTCATGAAACAAAGGATCTGACAATTAAGATACTCAAAGAAGAAGATTTGGAGGATGATCAACTAAGCGAAGATAACGATGATTTTGGAGGGTTCAGTGATGATGAGAATATTGATGACTTTATTGATGATAGCATAGATGAAGATGATTTTGATGAAGAAAGCTTCGATGAATCTAATGCATCAGAAGAAGAAGACCCATTAGCGAAGCTTAAGAAATTAAAGGAAATGAAGATGGCAAAAGCGAATAAGACTACTGAAGATCCTATTGCTCAATTGAAAGCTATGAAAGAGAAAAAGGATAAAGCAAAGAAAAGAGAGGACCCAATTGCCCAGTTAAAAGCATTAAAAGAAGAAAAGAAGAAAAAATCAAGCAAGGATAAGGAGTCAAAAAAAGAAAAAGAGGTATCATCTATATCTCCTCACGACCGTGAGTTGATGAAGCGTGATGAAGATGACATGGCATTTTACGCCAAAAAATTAGGATTGAAGAATGGTAAGAATTCTAAATTGCCAAAATTAGGCGAGGATGATACAATCGGTGGCTTATTAGATGGTTTGGATTTAGATTTTATGGATGATGAAGGATCTTTTAGTGATGATGATAATCAAGAAAACTCACACTCTAAAAAAGGGCCAAAACTTCCATTCTCTTCTGATGATGAATTAAGTGAAGGAGATTTTGACGATGATGATGATGATCTTGATGACGACTTAGACGAACTTTCTGATTATGATGATCAAAAACCTCGTGTGAAGGAAAATCCGTATGTTGCACCTGTAGATGACAACAATAAAGACTACGATACTGAAGATGAGGGAGATGGGGCTCCAAAAAAGTATATCCCACCAGCATTACGCCGGAAATTAGCATTGGAATCGAGTGAAACCTCTCCTGAGGTTATGGCTTTGCGCAAATCCATAAAAGGTCCATTGAATAAATTATCCGAAGCAAACATAAGCTCAATCATTAATGAAATTAGTTCCTTGTATTTGTCAAACCCAAGACATCTTGTTAGTGAAAATTTGACTTCTATTGTATTAGAAAGTATATTACAGCAGGGAAGATTATTGGACACTTTTGTTTATTTGCATGCTACCCTCGTGGTTGCGATTTATCGTTTACAAGGAGTTGAATTTGGGGCTCTTTTTATTCAAACTTTAATTGAGAAGTTTGATAATTACTATGGACAGCCTACTAAAGGCAAAGAGATTTCTAATATTGTCTCGCTTTTGTCTGCTGTTTATACTTTTCAATTAGTTTCATCAAAGTTACTTTATGACATAATTAAATTCTTGATTAATGATTTAAACGAAACAAATGCCGAGTTGTTATTAAGAATAATTAGAAATTCTGGTAATCAGATGAGAACTGATGACCCAACGGCTTTAAAAGAAATAGTATTATTGACTAATAAGGTTTCGTCTTCTATGCTGTCAGAGAAGTTGAATACAAGAACTCAATTCTTGTTAGAAACTATTGCTTCCTTAAAAAATAATAAATTGAAAAATACTAATGAAGCTAGTCATCACTTAACTATCACATTGAAGAAGTTTTTGGGTGGTGTTAATAATAATAAATTTAACGATCCAATTCAAGTGACCTTAGAGGATATCCATAATATTGATACCAGAGGTAAATGGTGGTTAGTTGGATCAGCATGGAAGGGACATGACCATATTGAAAACAAAACAGAATCAACTTTCAATGAAGAAGCAGTGAATGATATCTTAGACAATACTGAACCAAACTGGATGGAGTTGGCTAGGTCGCAAAGGATGAACACTGATATCAGAAGAGCAATTTTTATTTCAATTATGTCAGCTAATGATTATGTTGATGCATTGACAAAGTTAGATAAACTAGCATTAAAGAGATCGCAAGAGAGAGAAATCCCAAGAGTATTAATTCATTGTACTGGGGTGGAACCAGCGTGGAATCCTTATTATGGTATTTTGGCCAGCAAGCTCTGTGATAATCATTCAAATAGAAAAACATTTCAATTCATGCTTTGGGATTTAATTAAGGACTTCGAGGGTTCTGATGGTCATGGGTCTGATGACGAAGATGAGGATTTCTTAGGGTTTGATACAAGTGATGAAGATGATGAGTCAAGGTTGAAGAGGATTTCTAATTTGGGAAGATTTTTCGGGTATTTGTTGGCGGAGGGTTCTTTACCATTACATGTATTGAAATCTGTGAATTTTTTAATCGCATCAAACGACACAGTCTTATTTCTAGAATTGGTATTGTTGGTATTTTTAGATCATGTTGGTAAAAAATCTCAAATAAACTCTGTTGGGGCTGGCTTAACAGGTTCAAGGACTGGAAAAACTATGTATGAACAAAAGTATGATGACAAGATTTTAATAGAGAGGCTAATCAAAGCTCAAGAACAGCAAACTTTATTGAGAGGTCTTCAATATTTCTTGCAAGACAAAGTTAAGGCAAGTGATTTTATAAGTGGGAAAAAGCAACGTAAAAGGATCGAATGGGGTGTGGATGCTATGTGTGATATTATAGATGAATTTTTGAAGGCAGGTGATGATCTGTAAATATCGTGTATTATAGTATCGGCATTTATAGAAGTATATATACATTTTGCATTTTAATATGTAATTTTATTCTAATAAAATATGTACAAGGTTATTTACATGGCTATTTACTCTTCCAACTCTAGTATTGCAATACTTTCTACATGCTTAGTTTGTGGAAAGAAGTCAAATCCGATAATATCTTGAATTTTGTATCTAATGTTGTGTTCCGCCTGAATATCATCAAAATCTGCAAGATCTCTAGCCTGTGTAAAAACATTACAACTGACATAAATAATCAATTTTGGCTTAAACTCCAAAAGTTGCTGCATGAATTTTCTGTTTGAACCTTTCCTAGACGGATCAATTATGACTATTGAATCATCACCAATTATTCCAGAATTAACAAAGTCTTTATTAGTGAATATAGCATTTGCATTTCCTTCAATAAACTGTATTTTCTCCGGGACTGAAAGGCCATTCAATTTAGCATTATGGATCGCATGTTCTATTGATAGTTTAGAAACTTCAATTCCAAATACCTTTCCATCTTCTGGGATGTCCTTTGATAAGGAGATTCCAAAGAAACCAGAACCACAGTAGGTATCAACAATATATTTATATGAATTTTGTTTCTTGTTAATTTGGAATCTAATATAGTCTAACACATGTGGCAATATACTGTTATTATTCTGAAAAAATTCTGATGCTGGAAATTGAAAAACAAAATCACCAATCTTTTCAGTTATAATGTTATTGTACTTGGTTAGACAAACACGTTCGTGTTCTCCTGTCAGATGATTAATTCGAATACTATCTCTCAACAATAAAGTTGCTCCTTTCGAAAGTCTCTTTTTAATATTCAGATCCTCTTGTGTTTCTTTTACTTTCGATTGTACATTAGCTCTAACATGAGGTAAAGCCCTGTTTATGGCTGGTGAAGCAATTGGACAGTAGTCCACATCGATTGTCAGTTTGGTGGGATTTACATGGTTGAAACCAATATTAATATTTCCATTCTTATCCTTATTCTTATTGCTAGATATCTCATAATGAGGTGTCAACTTTGTTCGATAAGCATATTGCATTGGTGACTCTATTATATTTCCGAAGTCTTCGTTATAGGTAGAAAATAATTTAGGAAAGAATAATTTATATGCCCTCTGTATTACTGACTTCTTGAATTTAAGCTGTTCCTCATAATTTATCATTTGAAATTGACAGCCTGAACAAGTTGAAAATTTATCACATATCACCAATTCATCTTTACGATTACCGTCACTAGATCTCGAATTCAATACTTTAATTAAATTTGCCTCAGCGTAAAGTTCATAGTGTCTCAAAATCTTGACTTTCACCTTATCTCCAACTATACTTTTCGGCACTTTAACTACAGTATACTTATCGTCAATTAGACTTTTGTCCATGATCTCTGTGGTATAAGCCGATTTTGGAACAATAGCCAAACCATCACCCTCCGAAGTCTGGAATATAATATCTACATCATTTAATTCAACGTTTGGTCTATTCCAAGAGTGAAGGAACGTTTCTATTAAACCATCAATATTTCTGATCGAATCAAATGTTAAATTCAGGCCAGTATATTCATTCAATAGCTCATTAATTTCTAATAGTAATATATTTTCTCTGGATGTCTTATCAGTAGAGTCTCGTTTCGATCTCTTAGGATATTTTTTAATTGTCTTAGGCACCCTATGGCTATTCGAGGTTGGAAATGACCTTTGATTTCCCACTACTTGTACAGCCTGTGAATTGAATGTTTTATTGAATGTACTAAACGAGCGGCCTAAAATACATTGAAATCGAATATTTCCACCAATACGTCGAAATCCTAGCAGCTTTCTCGAAACTAAAGTCATAGCATTCAAGTATGTAATATTAAGTACTTCCACCTATAACAAGTCTCTCATCTTACATTTTAAAATTAAATATTCACGTGATAAAATTGAAATTAATTTTGCAACTTATATTAATAAACTATACACTCATTACATGAAGTTAAGCAACTGAGACACTAGGATTTGCAATAGGTACTTCCTCTTCAGAATAATCTCTCAAATCTAATGTAACTGTTTTAGAGCTATTTTCTCTTTGTTCCCTATATATACCAACTAGAGCATCGGACCTTTCAAACAAGGAACTCTTCAAAGAAATAACAATGAATTGGAAGTTAGGGCCAGCATACTTTTTGATGTAATTAGCAATCTTATTGACATTAGAGTTATCAAGAGCAGCATCCACTTCATCTAGAACAAAGAAAGGAGAAGGCTGGAAGGAGTGAATTGCAAACAACAATGCAAGGGCTGCTATAGTTTTTTCACCACCCGATAATAAATCCATATCTCTAAAACGTTTCATAGGTGGCATAGCATGATACTTTATACCAGCATTATAAGGCTCTTCTTCATCTTCTAAAGTCAAGTAGGCAGATCCACCAAGCGGTGAGGTAGATGACTTAGTCAATTCTTTGTAGATGAAGTCAATTTGACCCGATATGTGGCTAAATGCCTCTGAAAACAATTCGTATCTTTTCTCTTTAATGGCATTGAATTTCTCTACTATCTTGTTTTCTTGTTGTCTGGCTTTGGTAAAATCTTTATCAAAGCTTTTCAATTTCGTTTCAACTTCTTTGAGTCTTTGAACAGCTTTTGCATTAGGCGTTAACTGTTCTATATCTTCGATAATTTGCTCTAATCTAGCTTTTAATTCAGCTTCAATCTTCGAATTAAAAGATTCCTTGAGCTTTTCACTCAACAATGAATAATCAACCTCAATCTCGTAAATATCTTTTATAAGCAGATCAGCATTTTCACTAATTGAGATCGAATCCAAAATCCCATCCTTCAATGGCAAATTAATAGATTCAATCTTACAATTTTTCAAAATGTTGACTCTCTCTATATCCACTTTTAATATAGATTCTTCCATACCTGCAATTTGCTTATTCAAATTTGATAATTCATTATTAAATTCATTAACATTACTTTCTAATGATCTTGAAACTTTAAGCATGGAATTTAACTCAGTCTCAAGGTCATTTTTCTCTGTCTGAAGAACTTGTAATTCAGCTTCGAAGTTGTCTATTCTATCTTCAAAAGTTTCTTTTTCAGACATTACTTCTTCAATATTCTCTTCCAATTCCTTTAGCTGTTGTTTCATCGCAGTCTCTCTGCTTTCTGTTTCGGCTAATTTCTCCTTTTCAAAATTTAATTTATTAGATAAGGTATCGATAGCCTTTAAAAATTGAGTTCTTTCCTTTGCTCTAATTCTAAGAGTAGACCCATGTAAATTTTCATAATCTTCAATACCATTTTCATAGCCATGTCTTTCGCAAAAGTCATGATACACGGTTTCTTGTAATTCCTTAACTTTTAATTCAAGGGCTTCTATCTTTTCATTATTAGTTTTCAATATTTCAGCCTTATTTTGTATACTTGCCTCAAATTCTTTAATGAGGCCTAGTTGGAAGTTAATCTCAGTGCTTCTGTCTTCTATAACCCTTTCAATATTAGCCTTTTGGGTCCTTAATAATGGAAGTTTATCGTCAAGATGACTTATCTCATCACTAACCATATTAATTTCAAGTTCCTTTGGTTTCTCTTCACTAAGTTTCGTTAATCTTTCAGTTAAGTCGTCTTTAATGTTACTGAGGCTATTCCACTCATTCTGATCCCATGATAGAATCTTGTTAGATGTTTGATGCTGCTGGCCACCAGTCATCAAACCCGACTTATGAATGACTGATCCATCTAAAGTAACCATCTTGTTATCCAAATGTTTCCCTGATCCCCACTTTATGCTTCTAGCTACTTCAATATTATCAACTACCAATGTGTCACCAGTAACATACTGTATAGCTTGTTCTAAAGATGAGTCATCATACTCTAAAATATCAATACCTGGTTGTGCTGATGGGTGAACTGATCTCAAGTAATTTAAATTAAGTGAATCATTAACAACAGAATCTAAAGGGATGAATGTGCAAACGCCGCTTCTTCTTTCCTTCAATATTTCAATACACTTATAGGCAATTGACGTTGTTTCAACAATAATAGCGTCAAAGTTTCGGCCCAAAATAGTCAGAAGAGCTGCCTCGTATTTATACTGAGCTGGACGAACTAAATCATATACAATTCCTTTTACGGCTCCTTTAGGGAACAATTTTTTCAACATAGTTACATTTTCTCTTAATTTTCTTTGCTTATTAGATTCTCGTTGCTGGGATGCTAGCTCATCAAGTTTAACTAATATATCACGCAATTTTGAATTTAATTCTAATTCTTGATAATTAAATTGCTCCTTTTTCTTTATAAGGCTATTTTTATACTCAACTTTCTCTGATTTGAGACTAAGTATGTCATTAATTTCACTAGATGTTTCTCCTAGCTTCGTTTTGAGTTCTGATTGTATAATGCTTTCTAAATCAGATATTCTATAATTTGAATTTTGCTTCTGATTACTATAATTAGTGATCATCGAATCGATCGAATCCTTTTCATTCAACAAAAGGCTTAAGTCTTCTTCTAATTGTGAGCCTCCGTTGGCCAAAAATTTGGCTCTTAAGTCATCATATTCTTTTTGGCTCTCTGGAGAAACTGAGGATGAACTAGAAGCAGCCACTTTCTCCTGGAATTCATTAAACATCTTCTTCGCATCTCTTAATTGGTTTTCAATTGATAAAACCTGTTTTTGCTGCTTTTTAACATCATTTTTAAGATCTTTTATTTTATTATTGCTAGCATTAATCTTAGTAACCAATGATTTTTTGTTTGCATTAACAGGAATTAAGTTTCGCTTTTCAGATTCAATATTGCGAACAAAATCAGATACCTTCTTGGTATGACTCTTTACATTCAACAGTTTTTTCGAATAATCTGTCATCATACTTTTGTACGATTTTTCTTCAGTTTTTAACTTCTGCTTTAAAAGGTTTAATTCTTCATTTTTACTTTTCAATTCATCATGTAATTGGAAGTGCTTTTTCTCGTTATGGTATATCTTGTACAAGTTGATCATTTTGATTAAGTTATTCTTATCAATAAGCTTTTTCTCAAATGTTTCTTGTTCTATTAATTGCTCCTTATATTGCTTAGACTCGGAATTCAAGGTCCTCTTCCTCGAAAAGACTACATTTGATGATTCATGTGCTTTCTCCAGCTCATCTTTTAATTTCTCATACTCATGTTGATATTCAATAGCTCCACTAATGGTTTCAATTAATTTTGTCAAATCCTTAGGTGACTGTGATGCTATTTGTTCTACATCACCTTGGAAGACCAAAAAATTTCTGGCCTTGATTAAAATATTTTCATTTTTCAACACCAAGGAGTACTGTAAAGCCGTCACACTCTTATCATTTATCTTATATTCGCTGCTTCCAGTACTGGTTATAATTCTCTTTAAATTCAATATTTCTCCGTTATCCTTCTCGTAAATAGCCATAACAGACGCTCTAGTAGGATCTGGAGATATTTCCTCCAAAGTACTGTCTAACGCATTGACATTAGTACGACGCCCACGATATATTAAGTCTTTCAAATTATGAGATCTTAAATGAGAAGACTTCACACCTAAAACAAACGAAATAGCATCCATCATATTTGATTTACCTGCTCCATTGGGACCTATAATCGATGTGAAAAACGAGGTCCCAAATCCAATAGAAGACGTCCCTCTGTAAGATTTAAAGTTTTCTAGCTCTAAACCAACTAATCTACCCATATTAATACTAGTAGTTATAAAAATTGTTATTTCTGATCTATTTACTTATCATCAATCAATGTTATTACTTTGCTTTACGCGTCACTCTAAGATTTCCCACACGCGCGCAAAAATCTCCCTACATATAATTGATAGATTAAGGATAGTAAGTCTCCACAGTCTACTGGCTATAGTTTACATTAATTTTAAGGAATATCATATAAACATCCAATAATTTTGGTTAATATTATCAGATATGACCACAAATATAGAAAAAGAGCCATTATTGCTGGTTAGAGAAAGTGAATCTGTTCCTGATGACCAATTTTCAACTATGACATGTCCGTCTTTTACAAATCTCTTTTCTAATTCATTCATGAGGTTACCACAATTAGCCAAAACGAGTCCAATAGATGATACTGACAGTGAATTTGAATCGGATCATGACACAGATTTACCAGATTTACCAGATTTACCGTATGCTACGAATTCAGTCCTGTTGGGAGTTTCAAATATATCTGCCGGTGAAAAATTACGTCAATTGAGATTATTGATGAAGGAACATGGAATTGGGGTTTATATCATACCCTCTGAAGATGAGCACCAATCGGAGTACACAGCGAAAGCTGACATGAGAAGGGAGTATATTTCTGGATTTACGGGCAGTGCAGGTTTATGTGTTGTAACGCTTCATGATGATAAGAAGCTCACCGGAAAAGCGGCTCTATCTACAGATGGAAGATATTTTTTGCAAGCAGAGAAACAATTAGATCTTAACCATTGGGTTTTACTAAAGCAAGGAATTGCGTCGTATCCATCATGGAAACAATTCGCAATACGAGAGGCTATTGAAAGCAAGTTTAGTAATGTTATTGCCTGTGACCCTAGGCTTATAAGTGTTTCGATAGGAGAATATTTCGAAAGAATTAGGGTATTAGAGTATCAGAATAAATTCAGGTTTAATTTACTTCTGGAAGTTAATTTGGTTGATGAAGTGTGGGGTAAAGATAAGCCTACGAGGTCTTTGGATCCAGTGTATGCTTTACCATTACAATATTCTGGTGAAACTACGGAGAGCAAACTAGACAAAATACGTAAGATATTGCAGTCCCATAATAATACACATCTCGTTATATCTGCGTTGGATGAAGTTGCATGGCTATTCAATTTAAGGGCAGATTCTGATATTCCCTTTTCACCAGTTTTTTTTAGTTATGTTATTATCACTTTGGAATCAGTTATTTTGTATATCAACAAGAAAAAGATTGATGATGGAACGGCTGACCTTCATCTGCACCTATCCAATATCAAAGGCTTAACAATTAAACCGTATAATGATTTCTATTCAGATTTATCACAGTTGAAATCAACAATTTCGCAGAGTGATTTGCTGATTGTTTTACCCGAAAAATCTGCTACAAATTATGCATTATATTCCTACATACCTGAATCATTTGCTAAACAAAATGTTAAATTCGAATCGATAATTTCCAACCTAAAGATAAAAAAAAACAAATCGGAATTGTTTAATGCAAAAATTGCTCAGTTCAAAGATTCTCTTGCGTTTATTTTGTTGATTTCATGGTTAGAGCATCAAATTATTGACAAAAATCATAAAATATCTGAATATGATGCAGCATGCAAGATCTATTCAATTAGATCAAAGTTTCCAAATTTTAAAGGTCTATCATATGAAACCATATCATCTTCTGGCGCTAATGCTGCAATTATACACTATGCACCTACAAAGGAAGAGAATTCAATTATTGATCCAACGCAAGTATACTTATTGGATTCAGGAGCGCATTATTTGGAAGGAACTACAGACATTACAAGAACTATCTTATTTGGAAGTCTTAAAGATAAGTCCTTGGAAGAAAGATACAAGAAATATTACACTTTGGTTTTGAAAGGTCATTTGGCAGTTGCAATGGCAAAATTTCCACCCAATTCTAGTAATACTGGTACTATATTGGATGCGTATTCCAGGCAACCCCTCTGGAATGAAGGATTAGATTTCAATCATGGTACGGGTCATGGTGTCGGCAGTTTTGGAAATGTACATGAAGGTCCTTTATATATCCTGACAACCGCAGGCGGTGCTAATAGCTCGGATCTTTTCAAAGAAGGTGGCATCTTGACAGATGAACCAGGTTATTATGTTGACGGAGAATGTGGATTTAGAATTGAGAGTGAATTGGAGATTACAAATGCTAGTAAAAGATTTGGTAAAACAAGAAATGGTGATAGTTATTTGTGCTTTGGATATTTAACAAAAGTACCATTCTGCCGAAAATTAATTTCCACAAAGTACTTAAACTCTTCGGAAATTAACTGGATAAATGAATACCATAAAAGTATAAGAGAAGACTTTGGTAAAAAATTGTTGGAAATTGGTAAAAAACGAGCTTACAATTGGCTATGGAAGGAAACAAAGCCTTTATAGCGTCATGGTATCTGTAATATTTGTATATTTTATAGTACACTAATTATACACTTTTATAATGTTCATTGGGGAAGTGAAGAAATAATAGAAAGTTAATTGAGTTAATTTTCTTTTAATGATGCTGAATGGAGTTGAGGATAACCAAACCCCTTTTGCTTGGTTTTATCTGGCTTAGAATAGCTAGGTCTCTGAAAACTACCTGGTTTTCTCAAACCAACCGATGCTTGTGATAAGACTGAGCTAGATAAAGATCTATTACCAGATAGGTAATTAGACTTGTTTGAAATAAATGGTGATGTTGACGTTAATGACAAAGTCGGATACTCTTTTTTAATTGCAGGATCAATATTATCATCAGTATTGGTATTCACTGAAGCAGCAGAGAATACATCTGGCTTCTTATAATGGGGAATCTTCAATGCGTTTGATGAGCTCAACAAATGAGAATTATTACTATTTGAAATCGCATTTCGAATATTATCTAAGTTGGAAGCAATATTAGAAATAGAAGCCTCAGGTGGCTCCGTGTTCTCAATAAACGACTTTGGTTCAGACAGAGGAGATGAAGGTCTTGATCGTTTCGTGTCATGTGGTAAAGGATCATTACTCTTCCTTTTTTGCGAGTTATTATTATTTTGATTATTAAGAGTTAAATTTTGCAACTGTAATAGCGATGTAGGCACATTGTTGGAACTAGATAATGCCGACAAAGAGGAAGGTGAAAATCCTCTTATGGTAGCAGATAGTCTGTTCAAAATTCCGCTTGTCGAGGTTGGCGTTGTTTTAACAAGTGATGTTAGCTCACTGTCTGGTAACTTTGAAGGAAGAGTTTGTTTATTCGCTGTTGTCAATGATGTAGGAGATGTTTCCAATTTGAATGATGATGTAACTCCTTTTGATAGGCTAGCTATACGCTCATCGTGACCATCCGAGTGAGAGTTCTCCATTAAAGATAAAAGGATCTTAGATACAGCAGATTCTACCAATTTGAAGTTTGCTGTACTATGCGTATTAGCATATATTGCGGCGGCCGTTGCAGTGGCTGCAGAAGTCGCAGCAAGTGCTGCATCAGGATCCTCATTTTGATTGAAATTTGAGACTATATTAAAAATATCAGTAACAGGTCTTATTAAATCAGGATCATTAACGAGAGCGTTAGGCTCTTTATCCCTAAATGATTTTCTGTCGAGGTTATCTTCATCTGTATAGCCATTATTTTGTCTCTCATAATCATCCTTCTTTTGCTTTGCTATTCTCTTTTCCCGCCTTTTATTAAACTCATCATCGACCCAAGACTTTTTCTCAGGTGTATCCTTCTCACCGAACATTAATGTTGCCCTTTTTAAAACTCTTGATCTTAAATCATTGTCTTTATTTCGTTCAGCATTTTCTTCTCTCCATCTTTTCTTACGCTCTCTATTTTCTAACCTTATTCTCTCCTTGTACTCAGGAGAATCTGTTTTAATCCGTTCTCCAAAAATTGATCCCTTTTTAGATCTTGAACTAAAGTTAGAAATTGCTGATGCGACTGAGTTGCTAATGGAGGAAATGAATTCTGGTTTAACAATATCTAAATTCAACTGAGGAGCTATAAATGACGTAGCTTTCATTGAAGGGTCAATTTGACCCTCACCAGATAAATTAGAATTAAATAATTCTAACACGTTATCTATTAAAGACACCGCCTTTCCATAACCTGGAGCCATTTGCTTCTCTTCTAAAAACTTTTTAGCAAGGATTAAGGGACTAATGATCGCATTCTCATCTTTCTTGTCTTTATAGCTCGCTATAATATCAGATACTGACGGCGTTGTGGTTGGTATTAAATATGAGGATGATGCAGTGCTAGGTTTCGAAGTCAAAGCACTTGTCATTTGTCTTATTACCTGCAATAAGTTATTGTCAGCACCTGAATTTGAGGCTGCACTATTAATACGAGATGATAGTGATGATAAAACGCTTGAAACTTGTGAGTTAATTGCATCTGAACTAGAGCTGGAGCTAGGCTCGGTTCTCAAGGCTCCTTCCAACGATTCTATAGATGAATAGTCTCTCCTAGGTCCATTGTTCATTGAAGACCTATGTAACGCTAAAGTCTCCGCAATCGATAAAGAACCTTTTTTGGTCTCGTCCCTATTATTTAGTGTCAAGGATTTATTAGCAAAATTGCTCATAATGTTCTTAGCAACAGCCGATATACGATCTGCTTGAGATGATATAGATTCAGATGATGTAGAAAGGTTAGTCAACCTATTTTGAGATTTCTTTTTCCTACTCGAAGAAGATCCAGATAAATCAATGTCATTAGAACGATTTAGCGATTCAAGGAAAGTAGTCGTGGAAGCAGGTAATGGGTGTGGCAATTTTGCCAATGCAGTTGCAACCTGGCTACTCTGAGTATTTGAATTTTCATCTATTTTATTGCGATGTTCATCATTTTCATCCTCCATTTCCAAATTTGTCAATAAATCATGAGGATTTTCCATAGCCATATTAAAAGCATTTTGTAGTATATCATTCATCTGTAACTGTTCAAGGTCTTCTGTTTCATTATCTGGTTTAGGTCCCTGAGAAAGAGATAATCTCCTATTAGAATCATTCAATGTTGTTGCATTATTTTCAATAGCGTTACGAACAGCAGTTGCTAATGCAGCCTGAAGTGTATTATCATCCGACATTGCTTTACTTGAATCCAATTTATCACCATCATTATTTTCATCCTTGTATGCTTCATTCTGAAAATGGGCTAAAACATTTTCGTCGATTTGCGGCATATCAGTTATTGTTTTAGACTTCTTATGCGACTCATCTTCAAGTTGATCTTGAACTTGATTTGTAATTTCTAAAGCTAATTCCTGTAATATATCTTCAGAAATAGGTAAAGTACCCTGATTTGTTTTTGCATTTTCTTCAGTATTAGATATTTGATTCACCATGTTTTGAACGAGATTTGTCAAATCAAATCCTGCTTCTCCTTGTTTTTCATTTTCAGATCCTTTTAAAGAAGCATTTGTTTCTTGTAGATCTTTTGTCTGCTCAGCAACATTTCTGAAAGCTTCGCTTATAACATTTTCCATGAAAGCATCGATATTTTCGTGCTTGTCATCCTTGTTAGGTTCCTGTGATTCTGATGCCTGGGGTGTATGATTTACATCTTTCTTCAGGTTATCATCGCCTATTAATTGTTTAAACGACGCAGATATGGCGTCATGTAAATCATCATCCTTGTTTGAACTCCCTTTATTTTCAGATTTGTTGGGGTCATACTCATCAAGTACATTATTGATGGTATTCGTTAACTTATCGTCTTGCGATTCTCTTTGTCCAACTTCTTCAAGAGGTTTCTCATGATGATCAGATTGAATTTCATTTGTTTCCGTTTGGCTTTGGGATTCCATTTTAGATTCATCATTAGCTCCTCCTAATTCAGATATATTCTTGAATGCATTTCCTATAGCCTCATTCAAATCCAAATCATCATCGTTATCATCATCTCTGTGATTTTTGTCAGATATATCATGGCTATTATTGTTTTCAGTTATTCCGCTAAAAGCATTCGCTATAGCTCTATTTAAGTCTTCATCATTATCTTGTTCGTCGTTTGTTTGTCTTTGATGATCTGAGTTTTCGAGTGTACTGAAAGCACCATCTATCACTTCATCTAGCCTTTCTGATTCAATTTGATCTTGTTTATTATTATCTGAAGAAATAAGTGGTTCATGAGTCGCTGTGGTAGAATCATCGTGCTTGTGCTTCTCCGAATCATCAGGTTGCTGATTACTCTCAAAGGCATCTCTTATTGCTTTCTCCAAATCATCATCTTCTTGTTCCTCGTTCGAACTAATCCCTTCGTCTGTATGCTGACGCAAACCTTCATTCCGATCCCTGTCGCTCAGTAATTCACTTTCAAGATTTATACTCTTATGTATTTCTGGCTGGTTTTTTAATGCACTGAACGCATTTCCTATGGTCTCTTCTAATCCATCTTCATTCTGGCTGCTACTTCCCTTATTGTCTGATCCAGATGCATTCCCCTCCGCACCCGCATCTGTCGCACTTTGCGAAACTTCGTTTGTTTGTTGTTTGTTTACATCTATCGACCCAAATGCATTACCAATGGCTTTATTCAATAACGAATCATCGCCTTCTTTATCTTCATGAGCCTTTATTTCTTCCCGTTTTGGGTTAGTGTCTGTGTTCCCGAAGTCAAACTGATTAAATACATCACCAATAGCATTTTCTAAGTCAATATCATCGTCATGATCACTTTTGTTGTCTTCTTTCTCTTGCTCACTTTGCTGATAGTTCAATGACGATATAGATTCAGCAATTGCCTTATTTAGTTCTATATTATCTGTATTTCCATCATTCTCCATAGACATGTTACTATATTTTGCAGTCTACCTTATCTTTGATCAGATGGTCTGTGACTGTTTTTTCCAAAATGGAAATCAGTGACTGCTTTTTTTTTCAGGGTGGTTTACTTTTTTGGTGATGATTTTTGTCCCGTTTATATGCAGTACATTATACTATTATAACCTATAAAGACTATACAACTGCAAATTAGTCTTCATTGACTAACGCAAAATTGACTACCAAGCCTAGTGTGCCGTGTCCAACCCCCTCATAGCCTCCCTGCTTAATGACCCAATTAAAATTGTTGAGTTCATCGTTAGCGTAGTTGGAAACATCTATATCGAAAGATCTATTGCCAAAAGTAGGGATTGAAACTGAGTACTTGGAATCAGCCATTTTAAGATACGTGGTATCGAACTGCAACACGTAGTTTGTGGTGTCGTTGAATACAAAACTCTCGCAGTGATTGACGTTGTTAAAAAAGCGCTTTCTCTGTGCCGGTTCAGATGGGATCTTTAAAGTGTTGTCTTCATTTGAGTTAAGGTTTTCTTTACAGTCACTGTTGCAGTTGTCGTCCCCCGTGGATGCTTTTGCCTCTTCATTTTCAGACCCCTTGACACCCAGGGTAATGGGTTCCTTCTTCTCGTGGTTGAGCGACATATACGTGAAACTATTCAACGCAAGCCCATAGAGATATGGCTTATCGCCGTAGATTTCTCCCTTGATAGTTTTATTTATAAAATACGTAAAAAACTTCAACCCAGTAGACAAAAGGCTTGTGGGTACATAAGACTTGATGGGTACAGTGAAGTCATTACCAAAAAGCAATTCAGACCCTTTGATCTGGCGTTTCGGCTTAAAACTCACCTCCAACCGCAAATTGGCCTTGTACAGAGGATCTTCCTTAGCTGGATCTTCAACAGGACTTCCATCCAAGAACTTTTCGTCCCCAACATTATAAGTACTATTCAGGCGATGCTCATTGCATCCATCAAAGTTCCTCACATTCACTATCAAGCTAAATACACCGATATCTGAATCGATATCAATGGGTTTCCGAGTATTGATGGGAACTACTTGGTAATCTGCATCATAGCTGTTGGATGCCTTAATTAACAATCTCTTGATCATTTTCTGTACCACTTTCAATTATAGCTTAGAATCCTTCCAGTCTCCGTCTTCCTTGTGGTTCCGTGTATCTGTCATTATCAGTAATCCATATCGTTGCGGAATTTCTGTATCACCTGCTGGAACTCGTGACTTGCAGCAACATCCTTTATTCTGTCGTACTCTGGTTATTGCTTCGAAAAGCAACATCACCACATCCATACACCACATATTTAACGCTACCCAGGCCGCCACTTCCTTCAAAATAAAGCATTAAAGGAATCAAGCTTCTTCTGAAGCATTCTTCATGTAACATATATATAAGTAACTGCTGACATTGGCATTGAGGATGTTTCATTATATGAAGATTTCGGGAAGTACTCAAATTTTATTGACGGAAAACTAACGTTTAGGCTTGAATGCAAAATCAATCACCCTACACAGTTTGAATATGAAAGACTCAAATTCACTTTTGTTATGTTCATATTATTAAATCGATTCAGTAGTATTTTCTACTTCTATTAGCAATATTGTAGAGAAAGAAATAGGACCCCCGACTCGTATGTTATTTTCAGGTCCGATTCTTTCATCCAAACCAATTTGTAACTCATTCATATTTGGATTGCTTTACTTGTTATTAACGGCAATTCCTAATATTTTGTCAGACAAGGTATGAGTTTAGTCAAGGAATTTCACTACTACCATACATTGCACTAGTATTCGGAGTAGGAGTAGGTGGCTTGTGAGTATATTTTTCGAGATAAGATACTTCAATATAATGAAAAAAAACAGGAAGGTTAGTGCCTGAGAAGAGGTTATTATAAAATGATGGAACTGTTACCTTTCCATATGGCTTGTTTTGAATATCCTGGAGTGGTCATTACCATGAAAGCTTGCATTGGATTATTCCGACTTTAGGTACATTTCCTATAGGTTTTGGATTGATATGATGTCGATACACGAGAATTATTTTGACATATTTGATCCGTTTACAAATGCGGGTTTATTCTCGGATCCTGTTTTTAACTACTGCTCTAATCTTAATGGACATACAGAACATACTCTATTGAAGAAATAGAAGAGATGTTATGAGATCAGACATATATGCGCATATAAGCGTACACGTGAATTCGCAACATGTTTCTTTTTCAACTTTGTATACATCTCTGGTGCATGCCCCCATGTTCGCCCACCACTTTCTCTGCATCCAACCACCTAGAACTCAACTTTCCATCTACCAAAAATCTGATAAGGAAACCTTAAAATCTGTAGATCCTGCCACATTTGCTAGTGACTCTCTTAGTTCTTTTTTCTACAATGTCAAGTATTCTCTTTCATGTTGCCTTTTTCTCTTACCATTCGTGTCTCCTGTTATATTTATCGTAGCTAAACGGTCGTGGATGCAATTTACAGCCAACGTTTAGCGGATAAATGCTCCCCTCATAGTCTCCCAGTCCGCGCACAAATTATCCACCTCAACCTTACCAGCTCGCCGAACAAATTGGACCATGTTGGTTACAAGTCTGGGTATTTCCATCCAAAATGCAAGTCTGGATCATGTTAGACCAATGCATGCAATGGAATCGGATCCCCGAATTAAAAGCAATATAGAGGGTCCTATACTCCAGTAAACGGTCATTTTATGTTAGTTACCCGGAGCATGAGTCGAATTTCTCTTAATTCTTTTTCTGGCATTAAGCGGATTCCTCTGGCCCAGCCAGGGATCATGAGTATATAAAAGCATTGAATCGCCTCCGAGAGTTACAGACGTATCAATTGAATTATATATTTAAAATATTAATTATACTTATAAATATTAAACATGGCTAACTCATTAGAACAATTAAAGTCTACTGGTACTGTTATCGTCACCGACACTGGTGAATTCGAATCAATTGCTAAGTACACTCCACAAGATGCTACTACCAATCCATCTTTAATTTTAGCTGCTGCCAAGAAGGCTGAATATGCTAAGTTAATTGATGTTGCCATTGAATACGCTCAAGATAAAGGTTCTAACCCTAAGGAAAAAGCATCGATTGCTTTAGACCGTTTGTTGGTTGAATTCGGTAAGGAAATCTTGAAGATTGTCCCAGGTAGAGTTTCTACTGAAGTTGACGCCAGATTGTCTTTTGACAAGGACGCCACCATCAAGAAGGCCATTGAAATCATCGATTTATACAAATCTGTTGGTATTTCCAAGGACAGAATCTTGATCAAGATTGCTTCCACATGGGAAGGTATCCAAGCTGCTAGAGAATTAGAAGCCAAGCACGGAATTCACTGTAACTTAACTTTGTTATTCTCTTTCGTGCAAGCTGTTGCTTGTGCTGAAGCTAAGGTCACCTTGATTTCTCCATTCGTCGGAAGAATCTTAGACTGGTACAAGGCTTCCACTGGTAAGGAATACGATGGTGAATCTGACCCAGGTGTGGTCTCTGTCAGACAGATCTTCAACTACTACAAGAAATACGGTTACGACACCATTGTCATGGGTGCTTCTTTCAGAAACACTGGTGAAATCAAGGCTTTAGCTGGTTGTGATTTCTTGACCATTGCTCCAAAATTATTAGAAGAATTATACAACTCGAACGAAGATGTTCCAAAGAAGTTAGACTCTGCTTCTGCTAAGTCTACTGATGTCGAAAAGGTCAGTTACATCGATAACGAAACTGAATTCAGATTCTTATTAAACGAAGATGCTATGGCCACCGAAAAATTATCCCAAGGTATCAGAAACTTTGCTAAGGACTGTGTCACCTTATTGGATCAATTGGAATCAAGATTCAAATAATTTATTACTCAAAAATGTACGTCTATAGGTATATATGTATAATCAACGTTGAAACGTTTAAGTTTTGTGTAAGTTATTAAATGCCCGCACTTTTTCAGAATCTGCTATCAACAGATTTGATTTAACACCCTCTAACTTTCAACAATTGCTTCATTCGGCTTATTGCACTCAAAATATTAATTCATACAATGTCCAGGCCTGAAACTCATGTTCCAGATGTACCACCTGCACCGTTTCCAATATATGGCACTTCCAACATTATAAGTGGTTTCGGAAGGGGATCTTCAGAGTTAGGTATTCCAACAGCAAATATCCCGATGAACGTAGCATTGCATAGTTTACCTACAGGCATCTACTATGGATGGTGTAAGGTGATACCCGATGAGAAAGCAGATATATCAGAACATACTCGTAATGATGGCCAACCAATTATGTTCAATAATGGAACCAATTTAGAGAAGGATGAATTATGTATTTTTCCAATGGTTATGTCTATCGGATGGAATCCATTCTATCACAATAAAGAGAAGGCTGCTGAGGTACATATAATTCACGAGTTTGGCGATAATTTTTATGGAGCATTAATAAAGTATAATGTTTTGGGCTATATCAGACCAGAATTAAATTACACAACAAAGGGTACGTATAGTCAATTGAAGAACGAGATGGTAGCTTTGCATCCAATCTCAATGACCTGAGAGATCATCAATCCAAGTTTATTCTTGAATTTTATATACTAACTATTGCAGAAGCATTAATAGCAGATATCAACTTAGATATCAAGATTGCGCTTGAAGCCCTTTCGAAAGAGTCTTACAAAAAGTCACAAAACACCTTATAAACTCATATTTAGATTGAATACACCATAGTTTTAAATATTTGTTAGATAGCAATAGAAAGATATACAGTAATTATACTCCTGCACATAATCATCATTTATAACTGAAAACTTATCAATAGTAGACGAGCTGCTGCTTTATTCAAACTATGCATCATTACTAATAACGCTATAGTTGTCAAAATAACATATGAAGTACTGGTACGTAAGTGTACCTCTATGCCTCCTAGTTGCATATAGCCTCTACGGAAATGTCGGTACCTTAGCATCAGATGATACTACTTGCGATTTAGTTAATCACACAAACTATTGCCAGTATATTGGCAAAAATTGTAATACGGAATATTTCAGTATAGCAAGCAAATACTACTGTTCAAAATATTACCCATCAAATATTCTACGGCTAACCACTTCGTTGGTGATACTTACTGGGCTCCTGTTACTTTTAATATCATTGAGTTTATTGGTATCTAACTATTTGTTCCCAAATCTAAACGATATAGCTCTGCTTTTATTCATTAGTGATCAAATTTTAAGCTCTATATTACTACCGTCTACTAATGCATTTGGTGATTTCATAAACTACTACGTTGCTTTAAATGCAAATTCTGTTGATTTGGTTTTGGGTCAGTTACTTGGGTCTCTCTTAATTATCATTACAGTGATAATTGGTCTTATTTGTATACTTTGTCCATTTAGAGTAAATAACTCAAAGTGGATTTTAACTGATTTTGCTTGGATATTGGTGGTTCTCGTGCTTCTTCTGTACAATTTATCTGATGGCATCATAACCATGACTGAAAGTATAATTATGATTGGATTTTATTTCTGCTATGTTGCATATCTATTAAGAGCTGAAAAGGAAATAGAGTGTACTGAAGACGAGTGTCATTCATTATGTTCAACCGGATCGGTGAAATCCATGAATCATGCATTAAACATAGACGATGCTCTTGATATCTTATCCAATGCAGAAATCATAAGATCACCATCGCCCATGCATCAAATTGATGAAGAACTTGACGCTCCAATTGAATTTGAGAACTGGTTTCTCAATGTTCTGAGGCATATTGTCACTTGCATAAATTTAATATTTTCATTCTTGATACCAGTTACTTCATCGCCATACTACGATTCCAGGTTGTTTCAAATTTGGCATTTTTGCATAATATCGTATATAATCAACATGCAGTTTTTCAAAATAGCTCTTGTTGATTTGATTCCGATCATTTTAGTGGGGGTATTGATTACAGAGTTTATCAAGCCAATCTTGAATAGGCTTCCAAAACTCTATCAATGCATCATCAACATAGTGGGAATTGGTATGTCATTAATAATCATGTCACAAATTTCAACACAAGTTTTAAAGGTCTTTAAGAACCTAGGAATAATTCTCAGGATATCGGATTATTTGCTTGGATTGGTTGTCTTTTCTATAAGTAATTCCATCAATGATATTGTCACAGATATAACGGTTTCCACTACCGTAAACCCAATCTTCGGTCTCAATTCATGTTTGGGCACTCCTATGTTAATTACATTATTAGGGATTGGGGTCAACGGATTAATTCTTAATTTGAGTCATCATTCATTAGTTTTTGAATTGAAAATAAACTTGGTTGTAAGTCTTTTAGGAGCAATTGCTACGGTCATATTCTATTTGATTTATATTCCTTTGAATAATTGGAAACTCGACAAAAGATTAGGAATTATCGTTATCGGTTGGTGGTTACTTATAACAATAGTAAACTTTTCACTCGGCTAAATCAAGCAAATGATTTCAAAATTATATCGAACTCTTCGTCAAATTTTGGTGACGTGATCTTCTTGTATTTATTCTTTATATTATTTATTTTCAATTTATCATCACCTTTCAAGAACTGTAAACTTTTATCAATAATTGTACTATTATCAGCACCATTCTTTCTGTTTAAGAATAACCACGAAGACCAAAATATATAGGAAGTTTTGAAAGTACTTTCAAAAGTTTCGAACAATTTTAAAGAATATTGCTTCGATAATGGGTAATTTAAAATAACTCTGAAAAACCATGCATTATTAGTTTGTTTGATAATTTCTGAAACCAAGTTAATTAAATATTCATCATCAGCTGGATGCATTAGTCTTTCGATACTTATCATTTTTTCATACACTTTAATTGGAATGATTTCATTTACTTTAACGTGAGATAGTACTAAGTCTCTTGCCTTCAAATAATCCCCTGTGTAAAGTTCCAAATCCACTAATTTGATAAGGAGCCTATCATTATTATTAAAACTTAAACCTCTGTGAAGTATTTCTTTTGCTATGGTATAGTTCATTGAATTTATGAAAAAATTAGCATACCTAATCCAAAATCTGAAATAATTAGCAGCGGTTAGTAAACATCTTTCGTAACATAAAATAACGTATTCTAAAGGATAATTCAATTCAATAAAGTTCAAGTAATTATTCCAGTTATGAATCTCCTGGTTAGACAAGTATGAAACATCATAATAGGGTCTGGTAATTTTTTTCTCAAAATAAAAGAGCTGAAATACTTTATATTGGGTGGTAATGAGAACATCCGTAAATATCTTCTTTAGCTTCAACGACACAGTCTTCATGTCTTTTATATTTGCAAATTGATGTAATTCTTTTTCTGGTACTAAGTATCCTATCACTTCTGAAGTCAAGTTCTTTTCATTAATAGAAGTAAATAATTTTTTGAAAAATATGCCATAATGATAAATTGGAATTTCAATGATTATACGTAATAACACGTAATACTTCAGCTTGAATCCATTGTGTTCGTTTGCATAATTCTGCAAAAATGACAAATATAAGCTGTAAAATTCGTGTGAATGAAAGTGATATCCAACCTTCCTTCTAGCAGATTCAAAAATATTAAGTATTTTGTTCACATCCGAGTCAATGGTCTTTATTTTAAAATTTAAGTAACTAATCCAGAGTTCAATTGAATATGACAAATTTAACAAGCTCTTCTCATAAATTTCGTTCGCTGTTTCCGTATTTCCCAACATGAATTCCCATTCTGCATATTTTATCCAATAGTTGACTAAAAGCGGGTATTTCCTAAGTAAACTTTCATATGATACACGAAGTAAATCGACTTCTTGTGGTGAACTAATCTTATTTATACGGTTTCCATTATTACTTTCTGCTGTCTCGACAAGCTTGTCCCAAAGTCTCAAATTGTAAGGATTCTTGAGAAGCTGCGTAGATACTTCGGACCACGCTGGATTTTCGAGTTCCTTAACTAAGTTATTCATAATTGACGTGATGAACTCTTGTATCAGCATCTCTTCATGTTTTATTTTTCATTTTCAAGATAATCTCTTTTTACAGGTTATGTATTTCGCACATTACCACAACGATCTAGCTGCTAAACTCCAATACATCCCAAATCAACATGCTACATTTACGTGAGATCAGACCTGAATATCAAATCAATATAATATATCACCGTGTATCTTCTTCCCTCTTTTGGTTATCTGCTTGCCAATATAGGTTTAGTAGTAATAAGATTTCACAAGTGACACAAAGCCCCACGAAGCTTATCTCTATAACAATCATTTTCGGAAGTAACCCTACAGTACGGGGTGCAATATTACTGTTCATCAATGCTGTCTCTTCCACATAATCATATCTATACTATTATACGAAAAAAAGATGACACCCTGGGTTGCCATTTGTTATTGTTTTTGATAAAATTGTACATAATTTGGTGAATTGCGAAATACGGTGAGCATGAAACTCAAATTAAGGTATATAAACTTGTTCTGTATTCTATTTCTAAGGTTAAGGTTCACGTTAGAAAACATAAACAATTAAATATTATTCTATTCAATAACCATAAAGTTCATTACAACTAACTACCATAAAATTCTATGAAATACTAAGCGAGAAGAGCTACAATTAGTGGAAATTATGTAAGTTTGGATTACTTGAAGGCAAACATGCATATGAATTCGTAGATTCTATATAATATCGTAGTTAGCAAGTTAACGACTGAACGCGTAGAGATAAGCATGCTCATCACAATTCTTGAAAAGCCCATATTAACGCATTACATAGTATTAGAGTGGGGGTTGTTGGATAAAGTAGGCTTTAATCAAAGCTAATTTTCTCACACCTTAAATTAAGTTCAAGAATAAATAGCATCGTTGGTTTGCACGAAAGCTACATTTTCCAAGTCCAAGACTCACTACTCAATAAATGTGGCTAGATTTCTGTTCACGCACGGGAATTCCTCTTGAGATTATGGTCTGATCATATTTAGTGGTTACCCAAAAAGGGTCCCAGGCAGAATCCATAGCCTTGATACCTGTATAGATCCTATTATTTTCTAAAATGTCTAACAGAACCTAGTACTTTTCTCAATTAACCTCAATTTATCCGGTCTAAGAGAGGCTCTGCCAGGGATACCACTGATGGGAATTCATGCCGACCGATTCGTACATATTTGGCAGAATTTGTTTTTCCAAGGGCTATTGTTTTTAAACTTATCGACCATACAACCAAAAATTGCAATAAACCCTTTCGCTTAGCACTTAACTCTATATACTGAATGGTCTTGGCGACAACCCTCCCCGCTGAACAATCAATAAGGCGGTTATCATCAGGCATCGTGTTGCTTTTTCGTCTCTGTGAATCCAGATCTTTACCATGCAAATGCAAGCAATTTGGCTTCATTTTGATTGATATCAACACGTTAAATGAATGATACAAAATTACTACTAAAATGGTATGATTCTGTTACTTTACGTAGTGATAAAACATTAAGAAGCATCCTAGAGCTATTCTTGATAAGCAAAGGTGAAACAATGTCTACCTGCGCAAACTGTCATCTAGTGGGTTTGCCATCAGGAATGGTTCTGGACGTACGAAACCGTAAACTTAATCAATTGATAAAAACATCCCATTTTATGCACCACCCGTAAAATACTGCAGCCATATGCAGAATAATTACATATCCTTGCAGATAAGTACATTACTATAAATAGCGGTTTCTATTGGCTGTAGTGGAGGTACCCTCGGTAGTAGATCGATAATAACTGATAAAATATCTAATAAACATACCATAGTTTTCCAGTTTAAGCATAAACGCCAATAATAAACACTAGACCGCGCAGTGGTAACATTTTGATGGAGGATTGGCTTTGCTCGGTCCGAGTTTTGAACACCTAGTTTACTGGTAGTACTGTAGTACTAGATCATTTTGGTTTATAATTTGTGCAGCAAGCATGTCTAAAATCAAGGATCATTTAGTTATAGGCCTATTCTGCATCTGAGAAATGCAATTTGTCATGGTGTATGCGCTTAGGTACCATGTAATTTCAATGCGCATATGATTGAACCCCACATATCTTATTTCAAGACAATTCTACTGGCTGGAAGGTAATTTCTAGCCCATTTCTCAAGTTGTGTCCAAGTTTCCTATATTTCTACGGTCTATTTGTCGCCTCTACTATATAATTTTGAGGCAAAATGGAAAACGCCTGTAGCAAAAGTCGAGTTATAACGATACCAAGTAACTTATTGTGTGCTTTTTGCAACATCATGTTGTGGCCAGGTTCTTCTGATTTTGTTCCTGAGCCGCAGTTGCAACTGTGTGTTTTTTCTTCGGTATTTCTCGTCCGCCTGGCATATTCTTTTTATCATTCAATACGAAAAGGGACACTCAAATTAATTTACAGAGGCCTTAGTCGCCAGAGTGAAAAGTCTATGTATCTCTAGCTAATCCATGGTTTCTAAAAATGTATGAAAAAGTGTGCCTTAGAATAACAATCACTGTTTAATCTTGACTTGCTTAACCATTCTGATAACAATAGGACTATATTCAGTCTTCCAGGGCTAAATCGAGTAGTCTTAAACTTGCATTATCGTAATTGCCCCGAACGGGTCTCAGGTACATATTGAGCATAATGCACGACTTTTAGCCACGAGCAGCCTGAGGTTAAGGAAACCGTATCTTCTTCATTCACTAACCTAATAACAAAATGACAACTAGCTCTCCCACTTCCTAAAAAAATAATAGTCCCGTTAGAGAAATTTCGACAACATTGATCAGTAGGGGTAAGTATGTTTTACGCTGCCCAATAGGTCCGCATAAATGTAAGACATGATACCAGGGTAGGGGAGCCCCGCAGAATGCGTGGCGCATTCAGCCTCACCAGCAATAGTATGAAGTGCAAGTTTCCCGCCTGGTATCGAGCTTATATACAGAAATACTTGTATTTTTTGTCAACGTCATCAATACTGACTTCGATTTACTTTGCACCTCATGTTGGCTTCCAAATCGCCGTAGCACCAGACACCCTTTAAGGCAATGCCTATAGCCTCAGCAGACTTCTATTTATCATTCATCTTTTAATTCGTATTAATCATATTGAGTCGTCCTACTTCTGACAAAACATTCTCATTGAATTTACAGCAGCACAGTAGAGACAGAAAATTCGACTACCTCGGTCTGGCCCGGAAGAACGGCAAGTCGAATGTTTTATTGTTGATCGGAAGTACGCCTCCCCCTCTAGATGCAAACCTCTATTAACAACAATTACCTATCCTCGTAATCCAAATAAACCCGGACCTAGTCCCTTTGTTCAGGACCCTTTTAAAGTTTAGGTTAGAGCTAGACCTGCAAAGTTAAACACAAGAAAACAGCTGTGGGTCAACGCACCTGCATTCGGTCAGATCTGTAACACTGGTTTAAGCCTGCCCATGCTTAGTATATATTAAACAAAATCCCTGGTTGGAATGTTAACCAGAAAATCATAACCATTATCACATATGTCTTCGTTTATTCAAGGATTTATGGAAAGTGACGAAATAGACAAAGCGGGCTTGAGGGAATTAAATTTTGATATCGAGCCTGAAAATGTCGGCTACTATAACTCGTTTGGGGATGTGTATAAGACAGGATATGGAGGAATAGAAGATCGTATTTTTACCAGCATTGGAGGTAATGGAGGTGTGAATACTTCCGGTAGCAATAGAAGTAATTCTGAGAGTGTAGTTGTTGGAGGATGCATCGGTGGAGCTGTTGATATGATGAGTTATGGAAGCATGAGTGCTCTGGTAGACATACATGGCATAGGTCGTGGTTTAGATCACCAAAATTTCTATGGTATGGATTATGGGCTCGACTATGGCTTGGGATATCATCAGGGAGCATATGCGCAGGCTTCATATGAAGAATATGGGCAGGAATATGGCCATTATCTGGTACCAGTACAAGGACAACAGCAAATGCCAGGAACGATACACGTCGAATACCATGACATGGACCGCGATCAAGAACTGGAATACGAGGATTATGATTCTGGTCGTAGGTTTTCCAGTCAGGAGATATATTCTCAGAACACTGACGGAAATTCATCGGATCTCAGTGATACAGTCAGTGAGACTGAAACAAAGCTGTCGACACCCGAGTCGTTCAGTGCCACCATAAAACAGTACGAGCTACATGATCTGAAGCTGCGGTCAAGAAGGGTTCTGTTAGTACAGCAATTGGAACTGAATTACGATCACTCGATGTTGGCAGATAACCATCTAGTCATTTGCACCTATTGTAATAATCGCTTTGATAGCATATTGCAATTGGGCCACCATTTCGACAAAAATAAGTTGGTTACTCCTCATAAATGCCCTTTTGATTCATGTCCCTACTTCTTCATAGGGTTTGCTCGCAAAGCAGAACTAAGACGTCATTGTCTTACAAAGCATTTTGAGAAAGGAAAGTTGACACAATCAATAAATCAAAACATCAAGCAGGTCGTGAATAATTTGATATATTCTTGCAAAATCGATAATTGTGGTAAAAATTTTTACCGCAAGGATTCATTGCAGAGACATTTGAAATTGGTTCATGAAAATGAGAATAGTAAGTTCAATAAAAAAATGAAGAAGAACCAGTTGCAAAAACTGACCCTCAATTGCCACAGACATGCGCATGTTGCACAGAAGTGATACTTTTCATTTTATTTCTACGTTCTTACAATAGGATTCAAGAATGTCCTCTATTTACTATTATTATTATTATTTATTATCACTATGCGGGCTATTTAACCTAGCTATGGGAAGATATTGCCAATTATCTGGTTATAATTTGGAAAGCCAGTTTTTCTCATATAATGATTCAATTCAGAACGAATATCATCTTATATTATGCATAGATGGGAAGTTTATTTTTGATACAAAATGGACCGAAATTCCCTGGTCACAGCCATTTAAATTTGCTGACAAGACATTAGTTCTTTCCAGAACAAGGCGGTACGCGTTACGAAACCTACCTGTCTACTTACCAAATATCGAATTTGGTGGCATATTTGATGTCAATGATGGGGACTCAGACCCTATTCCTGTATCGCCTTTAGTTTCAGTGCCAATAACAGATTACTGGGTTGAGGTTCGTCATGATGGTATATTTGTTTATCATATCCCTTTATTAGGCACACCAAAAATCATCAATGATAGCTGGCAGGCTGGCATATTGGTGAATGAAGATTATCATTATAACAATACTGATGTTGAGAAGACACTTAAGTCGAGTAGTCTCATTGATAGTCAGTTATATTCTAGATTAGTTGATTTATTAATCTTTCTGAAAAGATTACCTAGTGCATCGTTTAAGAACTTTTTATATAATTTAAATAAACTCTTAGCATAATTACGTTCTTGTAGCTATTTATCTTTGCGGTTTTTGATATTCTTTTGTATCCACAAACAATTTTTGTAGGTATATATAAGGCAATATAGATATTGCCTTAATGGTATCCATCACTTTATCTTCATTATCCGTATTATGTCCTCTACTGAGTTACCAGCGCAAGCATTTCTTGCAAGATTGTCAAATAGACCCGCATTAGCAGCTTTGAATGGGTTGATTTCTTCTTTTCCTGTGATAAAGATATTCACATCTAATGCGGTCCCAATTATGGTATATCGAGAACAGCAACAAAAGAAGGACGATAAGTAATTGTCATTCAATTAGATAAGAATATATGGTTAATAGATACTTTATGTTATAATCTTTGGTGAATTCAAGTTGTAGTTCTCGAAATGAAACTGCAATTGGTATTACAGCTGTAGCACTTTCTAACAGAATCCTTACCATCTTCTAGATTTTCAACTAATCTACCCAGTTTATGTGTGGAATAATTATAAGGCATGGATTATGTTTTGTTTGTAGCTAAATGCTTGAAGAATCGGGATGACTTTGGATGGATTCTGGGAAGTATTCTAGTTTCGTCGTTCATTCTTAAATTTTGTAATTGAACTTCCGAACTAGAGGCTGGTACTTCTGTACAATCATCTATCGGCTCTTGTTTAATTATTGGACGTGGAGGTGATTGTGGTAATGATACAGGTACAGGCATAGCTTCCTGTTTGATTCTAGGTAGGCACTCCTGTTTGATCGTTATTTGGTTCCTGGTAACCTTTTTAAATGGCCCATGTTTGAGGGGGCGATATATTGTGGGTTTAATGACTCGTTCTCGTTTGATCTGATTCGGTTCAGTCTTGATCTTGGTTATGCCAATCGCATTAAGTTTTGTTGGCGAAGTTAACGCTACATCTTTAGCTGATCGCTTGAATAATTCAGATACATCTCTAATATAGCTTGAAAGTTTACTATCTATTTCAATAATCAACCTGTTATTAGGCAATTTAAATTCATTTTGTTCAACTAAATTATGTTTGAATTTTTCACTTATAAAATCAACTTCGATTAGGTTTCCATCTTCATTAAAAATCTCTAATTTGTTATTAAATTCATAGTATTTTAACTTTCCATCATTCCATTTCTTATCCTTCTGTATTATTCGGTTAGAATAAAGGATGCTGTACTCGTGAACTATTGAACTCTTTAATTCTTCCATAAAGACATAAAAAGTGAATAAAAATTACTCGATGCGACTCCATTTATTTAAATATTTAAGTATTTACAGGGGTGTTTTATTTATACAGGGTCATAAAATGGTAAGCCTAATGAGCTCAATAAAGTTCTTGCTTGTTGATCAGTTCTAGCAGTAGTTTTGAAAGTGATATGGAAACCAAATAAGTTAGGGAATAATTCTTGGAAAGTTTCGATTTCTGGGAAATACTTAACATCTTCTGGTTCCAAACCGAAAGTTATGTTACCATTATTGTCTCCTGAAGTATTTTTAATACCTTTGAAGGTACGGATTCTTGGTAATACCAATTCAGTCAAAGTAGATAAGAATTGAGTCATATCTCTACCTGTCAATTCAGCTTTACAACCACAAGGTTTACCAACTCTACATTTCCACGGTAAGATATTTGATCTGTTATATGTTTGCTTTGCCTTGACGTTTGTGATTTGTGCAATTTGCAAACGAGTAGAAATATTAAGCCAACTCTCTTCCAATGCGTCTGAGTTATATGCGTTGATACTGATACCCACTAATTGTGGCACATTCTTCCAAGTGACTGGGTGGATATCTCTGGTTGCTCTACCTACACCCTTAGGATTTTTTAAGTTACGATATAACGCATATGGTGAATCGGTACCCCATGATCTCTTCTTGTTACCTGGAATGACTTGCGCATCATGTTCATAGTAGTGCAACAATAAATCCAGTTGTAACGTGTTTTCATAATGTTCAGCTACTCTATCTTGATCTATTTCGGTTGGCTTGAATCCAACAGATCTAATATCATCCTTAGGAATAAGTAATCCTTGGTACTCAGGTTTTAATGCTGCCTTCTGTATTTTCACTAAATGATGTACCGGTTTAACGGTGGAATACCCCGTTCTTTGAACACGTCCACTTGTCGAGAATTGACGAACAGTTAACCTACTAATATTCATTCTATTTTCGATCCACGAACCTTCTTTTCAATTATGTCTACTAACTCTGAAAAATTTCAATCTCACCAAATGGAAAAAAAACTATCACCAAAATCGATGCCAAAATTTACACACCTCACTTAGTAAATACCAGCCTTAAAATTTATACTAAGAGAAGGTCTTTTTAGATCACCGTTAGAGATATATGGAATAGCAACGGGGTCTATTACGTCGACGAAACTAGGATGAAATTCGGGATACCTGAAGATTACGATATTGAAATTGATAGAACAGAAGCAGTAAAACCCACTGAGTATATTGATTTAAAGCACAATGTTGATTATGCTTTAAATAATACTAAAAACATAATATCTTACATTGAAGATAAATATAATAGTGAAAAGGAAGATTCATTACCACAATTCCGATGCTTCAGAAACATGATTCACCAGTACTCTCAAGTCTTGCAAGATAAGTTAATCGAGAACGAGAGTAAATTGTCTAGCGTGGCTAACAATTCGTTCATGCAAAATAAAGCATCGGCCAATGCTGCTATTAATTCTATAATACATGGATTTGACAGAAGCTTGAAGTTGCAGTCATCAGAGGTGGAACAGGTGATAATACAGGAAGAAGAACGGAAACGTAAGGAGCGGGAGCGTAGAGAGAGAGAAGAACGAGAACGGAAACGCAAGGAAGAAGAGGAGAGAAAACGCAAGGAGGAAGAAGAACGTAAGAAGAAAGCGGAAGAGGAACGCATACGAAAGGAAAATGAGGAAAAAAGACAAAAAGAAGAGGAAGAAGAACAAAGGAAACAGCAGAAGTTACTTGAAATGAAGCAAGAAAAGGAAAAACAAGAGAAAATAGCACTTGAACTAAAGGCTAAACAAGAAAAAGGGTTAACTAATTTTGCTGTAGTCGAAAAAGATTTCCTAAAGTATGCAAATGATATTAAGGATATAAAACATAATGTAGTGCTGGCCTTGAACGAAAACAAGGAATTAAAAAAGGCCATTGGTGCATTGAAGCGAAAAATCAACCCAAAATTCGGACAATTGTCGAATAGTTTCAGCCAGTTAAATACAATATCTTCAGAAGTGGTCCAATTTGTAAACGAGGCTAAGAACATGAATGAATTAGCATTCAATTGGATATTAAACTTTATAGCAAAGGCGATAATAGCTCAAGCAGAAACTGAAGTAACTGTTAAGCCTACTGCATCATTGCCTTTAGCGAGATTGGGGTACACCTTACTTATAACATATAAAGAATTTGAATATTACTTGACTGCACGTTTTGTTAAGAAATGCCCATTTATTATTGGATATACTTGTTCAATTGATTCCGAAGAAGGTAGAAAACGGATGGGTTGGAAAAGAAATGATAGCAAGTGGGAAGACGAAATTAAATATGATGAAAGGGTCGCGGGTATTTGTACTGTATGGGCAGTTATGACTAGATTAGAAGCTCAATCCTTAAGTGAATATTCCATTGCTGCATCCTGGAGATATTTGGCAAGAACATTGAATACTGATCCTAAGTTACTTACTAATGCCCATTTTGCATGCATGGGTAATTGGTGGGATGCTTGTGCCAAACAATTTTTAAACTTTTACTCCAAACAAGCTTATAAGTTATTGCATTTATTAAGTATTGAATGGACAAACTCTGTTGCAGATCAAAAGTTTCCCGCTGCAGCCAGACTTCTTATATTGGGTGAAGAATGGCAACAGAACAATCATATTGAATCAATCAAGGAAATGGAACCATAGGTATAATTACATTATTTATTTATTATTGTAATTCGCTGCAATTCATTTATAGAAATATATAAATACATTTGTATAAACAGAAATAAACTTCTCAGTCACTGTATTCATCACTATCTTCATTTGGATCACTGCTCGAACCTTCTTCTTCAACATAATTTACTTGTCGTCTGGAACGATTACTTTTTCTCGCCTCTTCATATTTATCAGAAGATTTGGAATCCGACTTTTTCTTCAATTTTGCTATCAGCTTAAGCTTAGATTTTGGTTTAGAGCTTGTTGCATTAACTTTTACCTTTGGCTTTTTGACTATATCATTACTGTCATTTGACTTTCTTTTCAAGCCAGTACCCGATATTTTCAGTTTAAACATGCTTCTTAATTTAATCTGAATATTATCGGCAATATAAATTCTAGTAATAATATCATGAGCCTCTTTAGTACTAGTCATTGGAGCAAACAAATCTGAAGAGAGCTGAATTTTACCAGGCCAAGTTTGTAGGGTCCAGCTCTTTAAATCACAAAGTTCCTTGATAATCAATTGAGTTAATTCAGCAATACAGTAAATACTCAACACTTCTTGTGGCAAGGGCTCGATGTCATATAAACTTTGGTCAATTGTTGCATCTCGATATTGTTTTATACGACTTGCGAAGTAATATAACAAAGAACAATTTTCCGACTTACCAATACTAAGCAAATAGAAAATAATGTATTCCAGAGCGTAAGAGTACGCCCTGATTAACTGGTCTTGCTGCTCCTTTGAATCAGGTGAACTTATTGACTTCTTCATTAAACCTGAGAACTCATCATTATGCACAATTGTATGAATCAACCTCACTATCGATCTTTCAAACTTCATATTATTGCTAGCTCCTTTTCTCTTGTACATGGACTTTATCCATATACTAGCCTCTGATTTTAAAGTTAACTTTGGTTCATGCCCCATAAAAAATATCAATGGTAAAAACCGTTCAGAGATTGATTCATTGGATAAATTCTTCTCTAACTTCATTAAAAATTCGTGTCTGACATCATCATTTTGATCTTGAAGTAAGTAGATCAATCTGTTTATTGTTGAATGATTGAACATATCATTGAATATCGGACATTTTGCTAACTTGAGTAAATACAACCCTGAAATTAACCTTAATTTCAGCTGATAAATCTTTGGAGTAGAAGTAGCTCCTGCTTTTTCTTTAACAATTTCACCCCCATTACCTATTATAGAAAGCAATAATTTAAATATAGGTTGTGCAACTGATGTCGCCTCTTGTGTTAACTCAGATTTGTTTAAAAAGGATTTATCGATCGATTTCAATCTATTGACAAATATCCTTAACGCTAATACCTTTTCATACAATGTAGAATAACTCTCGAAATGGCTATCAAGTTTAAAATCATCAATCCATTTTTCATTTCCAATTGCATTTTCTTCGTCATCCTTTCTATTCTGTAACAATATTTCTTTAATCAATAAAACAGTCAAATCACCTGCCAAGTCCTCTACTGATAAAGGATCAACTAAAAATAGTTCTGCAATAGCCGATAAGTGTGTGACAAACCTTTTATGATTCACATCCAATGGATATATAGAATTAATAATAGCAGATCCATACAATTCTTTCTTAGAACTTAACCCCAATATCTTTATTGAATACTTTGCCTCCCGAGGTGATCCGTCCACAGCAAGAGATTTCAATGACTCTGTGAAATTCAAGTCTGAAGGAAAGAGATCAGGAAACTTTTTAATAAAATGATAAATAGTTCTCAAGTTATTGGATATCGAAACTTCAGAATCCTTATTAATTATTCCTTCATCATTGACTAGAATTTCAGTCAAATTACTAACATGAAATTTTAATACATCAGGAATTAAAACAGAAACATTCTCAAGAATTTCGTTGGCAGCAGAATTCCATTCGTGTTTAGATTCTTTTGAATAGTTAATCAATTCCGTCATGTTAGATTTATTGTATAATATCACAGATGCTCTGTATAATAATAACTTAAAATTTGATACCATATCTGTAGTTGATACATTGCTTTTTTCATCTTCTAACCTGATATTCTTAGCATTTGTCAATTTATTTAATAACTCCTTCATTGAATTCTTAATTGTGTTATAATCCGACTCAGGAGAGATACAAACCTTAATCAAGTAGAAAAAACGAAAGTTCTTTAACTTGTAAAACCTTTCTAAACAAGCATATGTATTCAAACCATCAGGAAATGAAACACATAGCCAATTTATAATTTTGTCCATTTTGATTAACAATTCTCGCTTACCCTCAGCCCTTGAATTATCTGAATCAAACTTGTCAGAATCATTTCTCATGTTTTCTTTCTCTTCATTACTATCATTTATTGAACCGAGCTTAGAATATGATTCTGCCATTTCAACGAAGGTCTGTAGCACATTTGAAATTTGTCTTTGCCTCTTATTAATAGCAAAAAATGACAGTTTACTCTTCTCGTTCAAATTATTAAATAATTGGGCTAATCTGTCAACCCGTTTTATACTATTACTTTCAAATGGAAATAATTTTTCAAATATGCAAATGTCAACAGCCGAAGTGATATTTTTATCATTAATATAGATCAAGGATATTATTTGATTTGGAACTCCATAGTAAATTGATTTTTCTAACTCTTTACTATCAATTTCATTATTACTACCAAAATCTAATACTCTATTATTAGCCTTTGCTTCAAAATATTGGTTATAAAAATTTCCTAAAATCTTAATGATTTCATTCCTGATTTCTGGATTTTTCTCTCGTATCAATTGTGATAAAGTACTCATAATATTCTTATTGCATACCCGGTTGGTAAATTTGTCAAAGGGAATTCTTTCGATACTTATACATGCAGTCAAGCGTACTCTTTCATCAGTATCTAATAAGCATTTGGTAAGACCATTACATAGTTCTGTTGCAATATCAGAAGTAGATGAGTTAGAGGAATTGATAATCTGAGGCAATAATTCAACCCATTTGCAACGTACCGCAGGAGATACGTCTAAAGTTTTCTTTAACCAATTTAACCACGTTTCTCTATGAGCTATTATAAAATTAGCTTTTGCAATAACACTGACACTAGATGAAGCACCGATCATCTTACCTATAGTCTCGGTCGCTAGTATACGTATTTTTTCATCATCGGTATTCAATTCGTCATTAAACAAGCCCATAACAGACGCTAATAATTCTGGGATTGCCTTCCAAATTTGAATCGATAACTTGTGTATCTTTCTCAAACTTTCTATAGCCTGAGCCTGGTCTATTTTATCTATACTGGAATTGCCGTGATCATTTTTGTTTTCTGCTTTTTCGACATTACTAGTGCTATCATATAACATTTCGGAGAAAAATTGAGCAACCTGACGGGACATTCTGTCCAAGTTAGCTTCACAAATACTAAGTGAAAAATTAAAGCCTGGATTAGATATATTTGACTTTAAACCAGAAGTAATGGCCGACTCCTCAGGAAAGTTGGTCAAAAATTTGTTCAAAATCATCTTCAACACGTTGTGTGGTACAACATCAGACTCAGAAATAATTTCAGAAAGTATATCGGACACCAATGGCTCTAATCTAGAGGGAAACTTCTTGGTGGACAAATCATAAAATATTTCAAATATCGACTCTATCAATTGTTGCGCATCTGGCAAATCTGTCATCAAGATTACCGATCTCACCTCGGCCAACCTCTTTAATAAGTAATTCTGCTGTTGGAAATATGGATTCTCTGTATCTGCTAGTTTCTTAAATTGTTGGAAAAACGCTTTGAATATCTGTGAAAGTTCAGTTGCAGTGAATGGGGCATCTGGAGCATATATTCTTAAAATATCTGATATACCACAGCAAACATATGCTTGAACACCCACGTTAGCATGTTTCAACAACTTCTTATTAGCCAACTCTTTTTTGATACTGCTAAAAGATTCTATATCAACTTGATCTTGATGTACCGCTGATAATTCATCTGTAAGTATTTGCAATCTATTCAACAATTCTTTCGTAGGAATAGGTTCATTAACAGTGGAAATTATAGGTTTTTTGAACTTTAGATGACCTAACGTCACCTTAGAATCACTAACTGTCATCTCTGATAATCTACAATTAATAAAAGTCTTGTTTTCTTATTCTTATCAAGATGATTATATGTATTCAAATCAACCCATTAGATGTAGAACGCAACGCGTAATGTTTACGCGATCAAACTGTAAGACTTGATTTACAGATTGAATGCTAGAAGAAAAGGGGACTAAATATATGGACTATAGGTTAACATAGAAGATGGTAATAGGACGATACGAGGTTATTGATAGCTTTAGGGTAAAGGATATAATCAATCATAGACTTCATTTTGAAGTTCCTCTTTCATACTATGAAAAATCAGATCAGAGAACGATTTCGATTGTGGCTAATTTAACGCAAAAGTTTAACAAAGCAGTCCATTCTGAAGAAGAATGTAGTGGTAGAAAGACGATTCTTCCAGAAGATGCTAAGATTATTTCATATATTCAGGGTGGGCCTGGGTTTCCGTGCGAGGTACCATTGACTAACTCGGGATTCACTAAGGTTTTGCTTGAGAAAGGGTATCAGATCCTCTACCTTGACCAGAGAGGTACAGGATTGAGTACTCCGTTAGAAGTTGACACAATGAACATGCTTGTGCCCAAAACGGAGGGTACTTCAGAAAAGGAGTATGCTGAAAAGCAATTGAAATTTATACTCAACTTTAGAGCTGATTCGATCGTTGAAGATTTTGAAGTGGTAAGGAAGGCTTTAATTGGAGAAAATGCTAAGTGGTCGATTTTAGGACAATCTTTTGGTGGTTTTTGTTGTTTTACTTATCTTTCGAAATACTCTACATCGTTGAAAGAAGTATTGATAACTGGAGGGGTTCCACCAGTTAACTTGGGGCCCGAGGATGTTTATCGTGCTACGTACGAAAGAACCAGGGAACGTAATATACATTACTATGATAAATATCCGCATGATATACATAAAGTCAAGGCTATCTTGAAATATTTATCGGAAAATCAAGTCGAGTTACCTAATGGAGGCGTGTTGAGCGTAGAAAGATTTCAACTGTTGGGCTTGATCTTTGGTGGAAATGGTGGTACCGATTCGCTTCATCAAATTGTATTAAAATTTCATTACGATTTAAATTTATGGGGAAAGCCAACTTATCAAATTTTAAGTGGTATTCAAAACATCTTAGGTTTTGACACAAACGTGTTGTATGCTTTATTTCAAGAAGCTATATATTGTGATGGTAATAACGCTAATGTTACAAGTTCTAATTGGAGTGCTGACAGACTTAGACACTTCCCAGAAAGAAGAAACTTTGTTTATACCGATACTGTCGATACCGAAGAACCAGTGTATTTTACGGGAGAAATGGTATTCAAATCCATGTTTGATGACTTTTCTGAATTACGGCCCTTTAAGAACTTGGTATCTGCTTTGCATGAAAACGTATATTGGTCCCCTTTATATGATGTTGAAAAATTAAGGACTATAACATGGGATAAAGTACCAGTCGTTGCTGCAACCTACTACTATGATCAATACGTTGATTTTGATACCACCATGCAAGTTAAGAAGAACGTGTTTAACAACAACGGCAACTTAAAACAATATATTACGAGTGAATTTTTTCATAATGGTGTTCGTGCAAACCCTGAAAAGGTCTTGGGTGCATTATTTGATCTACTTGATTCAGAGGTGGATTAGGAGAAATGGATTAGAATCATAATATTTACAAATAAATAATTAAACTAAACTAAAAGTAATTATTTGGAACAAACCCGATTCTGCAGTTCGTTGACGTCTTAATCATCCCCACCAACCAGTTATCATTATTGCTACTATATAATGAATTAACAGCTTGAAAATCAAATAAAATTTCAACTTGATCGCCCTCTTTAAACGATAAGTCACCTGCTTCAACGCCGTCAAAATCATACTTTGCTTGTAATATTTGCCTTTGCACTTGTATAGAATTTGTATAATTCAAGATCTTGTCGAAGAATTTATTTAATTGTTCCAATTTGTAAGTAACAGATGAAGTCTTCGCTGAAAACATAGAATCTTCATGCCCTAGTCTATAATCATGAAGTACCGTTGTGATAGGGCATTCTTTGATCTTATTCTTCGACGAATTATAAACTTTCTTTAAATCTCTGTTGACCATTTCTGGGGATGAATTTGCAAGCACTACATCACTCGGCACAGATGAAACTGAAGTCATTTCATCACTATCAGACTCTGATGATGATGAATGTATTGATTCCATTGAATCATTCGAAGGAACACGATTCAAATAATGTTTTCTTGGGGTATCAGTAACATTTAGACTATCCTTTAGGGTAGTTGTATTGGACCTAGGTGGTAATGGTGGCGGTGCATTACCTTTATTACTATTTGGTACTATAACATCATTAATATCAATGACCTTCGATGGGTGATAAGTCTCAGATCTATTCATCATTGGATCTTGGAATTTCTCAAACGAATCCAAAGGATCAGAAGTCAAATAACCATTAAATATTCCATTAACATGATCCGTACTGCTTACTTTATGTGTTTTATTAATTACTTTCGAAGAAACCTTATTCCACATTTTATGCGTTTTAGAGGTTTTATCATTATCGTCAATTTCAGTATCAATCAATTCGGGCTTTTTCTCTTGGATAAATGAAACAAAAGATTCGATTCTCAATCTCGTTGGTGTAACCATACTTTCCCATTGATTACTTATCGCCTCATATGTTTGAATATTATCTTCGGATTCAGTATCCAAAAACCCGTGAAACTTTGAGTAATGCATTAGTGTATGTTTTATATCTTCATATTCTTCCAATTGCTTGCACAACGTCAATTTCGTTAGGTTCTCTACAAATTCATCCAAGAAAGTTAACGCATGAGGCAAAATAGACTTTAACTTCTCATCTAACTTATTGAATACAAAACTGGCCTTATTCAATTCTTCATCAAGCTTGTTCAACTGCTTTTGTTCTTTTGCATCCAACGGCGTGGTCTTCTTCATTATCTTGTTGATTTTTTTATGAATATTGTCATAATTAGATTTTTTAGAGTCTCTTTTTTTAATCAATTTCAATAAGCTGTTTAAATATCCCACCATTTCCTTGACCCGTATATCCACTGATTTGGCATGCAATTCCCACTCGCCTATCACCCTAATTCTCAACTTTTCCATGGATACCATATAATGCTTCATCTCATGATTCACACTCAGTATAACAAGTTGCCTTTCTTTCGGATGTATCGTAGGTATTTCCTGCTCCGCCTGCCATTTGTCAAAATCACTATAGTAGTCTTCTATTCCGTCGAATTGCAATGAGTTCGACCCTATTAGATTAATAAACAATTCTCCCACCTTAATATTCGAATTGAGCAAACGAGACCAGTGACTCGAACCAAGTTTTGTTGTCTGTTTATTAAGAAACTTCAATGCAGAAACGGCCTTCTTGATATCGTGCTTATAATGTTTAATCAATTCGTCATCATTATTAAACTGTTTATGATGCGTAAGGGTGTCTTTAACAGACGACCCAAAGACTCCCAAATTGCTCTTTATCTTGTCTACAGACATTGGATAACTATATCGCTATTCCAGAGGCAATTCGTATTCATATATATCTTCTATTGATCATCGATTCGGAATGGAAATAACGGATCAATCTCGGTTGTGAGATTTTGCATTCCTGCACGAATACCGTTGAATATTCCTCTACTACCCTATACATAGTATATGAATAACATAACTTGGTAATAAACTACCCCTAATAATGTATTAATGGAGGTATTTCTATTCATCGATGTATTCCAAGATGTAAATACGTACTATCGTATATAATATTTAGCATACTATTTACGTACACCTCCACGTCTGAAGGGACAATTTTGCAGTAATACGGCAATCTAACTTAACATAGTCATCTTCACATATTACACTCATTATATACATTTCTGTTATTCACTGGCATTAAGGGGACTAATTTACCTTTCAAACTCAGCCAATAAGGTAAACTGTTTGGTAATCAAATTATTTAAATGACTTTAGCTTAAGTCTATGAAAATTAGATAGCCTTCCTCAAAGTTTTGAAGCGGGTTATACATATTACGTTATTGTTAGAGGCTGGCCATGGAGAGTAAAAGGACTTCCATGAATGCTTTACCATAGTTGGGCTTTGTGTTCAATTTTGCAACCTATTTCATTTAATGCCACAAAGCTGGTTACTATACAGAAACCTACAATAATGATTTGCTGGCTAAGACCCTTTAATACAAACAAGTAATAGAGCCAGAAATGTCTACTGAAGAATGCAAGATATTGGAGATAATGTATTACTTGCATCTTTTGTACATTGTATAATGTCATTGAATAGTTATACGGTGTTTCATTACAGATGATGATTTATTAGAAACTTAAATTCAATGCATTCAGATCTGAAAGCAGGCCGAAAGAATTTAAATTAATGCCTAATGCTACTCCTTTGTAAAATTTCAGTTAGTTTTGCTTCATTATTTTCGAATATTATTTATTGGAATTAGTATGTTTGAATAATAACTCGATGTATAACATGTACAAAAACTATGTATGGGTACTGTTGTTAGACACCCTCTTTGGGAAATATTATTAAATGCGTGATGATCTTTGATAAGAATATTGGAGAAAACTTTAGTTTATTTAAGTTTTTCAAACGCTTGCCTAACATATTGGGTAAGAAGGTCTCATTTGCGAACTAGATGACTGAACACAAGAAATATTCGATACCGAAAATCCAAAGGGGTCCTTAAATATGAAACATGGTATTCTGCACCTTTCTTAATAAGCTTCTATATTAGCTTGTGGTACTAGCAATGTTTAAAAATATATATTGAAGTGGATGTTTGAATTATACAAATTTCCCAAATTGGGTGCGAAAGGTCAAAAATGCTACCTTTTTTTAACTACTGGCTATATTAAAACCAGCTTCTTAGAAATATGATAGGTATAAATAAGACTTGAAGTTCCAATATTTGTAGCAGCTTCCTAATTGATCATTAAGAATCAACCAACTTTCATAATTAAGAAATGAAGTTTTCACTATTTGCTTTATCGTCGCTTATTAGTACAATAACATTAGCTGCTGCTGCTCCCACACCTGATAACAAAGAGACAGGAAAATACGTTGTTCTGGATTACCTTGTTCCAGATGAAGCTATTAATAACAAGGTTGAGATAACAGACGACCAGCAACCACTTGTGGTAGAAGAAAGTGGAAAAAAATATATCCTCATTGTAAACGCTACTTTGGCCGAATCAGTTATATCCAAGTCTGGCATAGATATTGAGGGTTTAGAGTCTGCCTTTGCTAAGTCAGAGGAGACTGCATCTGTTTCTAAAAGAGATGCCAATGCCGACGCTGATGCCGACGCAAAATTTCACTGGATGTCGTATAGGTTCTTCCAGCCTAACTTGAGAAAAAGAGAAGCTGATGCCGATGCCAAGTTCCACTGGATGACATACCGTTTCTTCCAACCTAATTTAAAGAAAAGAGAAGCTAATGCAGATGCGGAAGCTAAATTTCACTGGATGACTTACAGATTTTTCCAGCCTAATTTAAAGAAGAGAGAAGCCAACGCAGAAGCAAAATTTCACTGGATGACATATAGGTTCTTCCAGCCTAACTTAAAGAAAAGAGAAGCTAATGCAGATGCGGAAGCTAAATTTCACTGGATGACTTACAGATTTTTCCAGCCAAATTTATAATTGATTCCGTACAAGAGGCATAATTGGAGCTAGCTAAGTGCTTCCTCCGATATTTTATTGGGTAATTTTACCGTTCCATACCAAATAAAAAAAATGTGATGATTTATGATTTCTTTTACTTCTATTTAATTCGATATGCCTTTTCTGCGATATTATTTTGTAACTCTACCTAATAAATTTTAAGTTTAATTTTGTCATTAATACAATATACATATGTATAAATCACAAGTACTTCTCTTTCAAGTAGATCTAAGCCTTGGATAATTGCAATCCAGTTTCCTTAACCAAAGTCTATTAGATTGCAAATTAAATGCAATGCGGTAATAAGACGGGCTTGTCGCACACCTCATCTCCGGTCATCCTCTTGAAAGTCGGAGAGAATCCTCTTTCTATGTGAACATATATTAATACTTTAAAAATATTATATAGACTAGTTGCTTATTTACTGCAGATCCAAAAAGAACATACTCATCAAGACAGGCTGTAATAGAAGTTTTTGAATTCAATAAGTACCAATTATATTCGTCCGAGGTATGACAGTGTGAAGCGTAGAATCAATCACAGATTCAGAATAGAAGCAAATTTTGTAATAATATTAAAATTAAATGAGTTACACAGCTATCGATGATACTCCTTGTCGGGAGAATCCGGATATTGAGCCGTCACTCCCTATTATAGGTAAGAATTATATCAAATTGTCAAGCAAACCAATATATGAAGGTGCTAGTGGGGTACTATACAAGTGTTCTAATACAATTGGTAAAGAATATTTAGTCATAAAGACTATAAAGAAACCAGCGAATCAATCATGGGAGACATACAAGCGAATAGTGATGAAAGAATACAATAATATGAAGCTATGCTCCAATAATAATATAATGAAAATTATAGACATATGTGAGAACACAGACACAAATGAACTTTCTGTAATATTACCTTACTATAAAAGGGGCGATCTTTTGGATTATATGAGTTTATTACGTCGAAACAAGATAAACGTGTCGAGTAATCTAAAGGATGCAGTTTTTAAACAAATTGTAAAGGGAATCAACTATTTGCATCGAAAGGGAATAGTACACAGGGACTTGAAGCCCGAGAATTTCTTGATTGACAATGATGGCATAATCAAGATATCAGACTTTGGTTATAGCTTAAACGTAAATCGAGATAGTGATTACTGGTCTTTTTTGCAAGAAAATCCCTATAAAATATGGGTAGGTACGTCCAGTTTCAAAGCTCCTGAGTTATTCAGATTGGAGTCAGAAAACGTTAGCATTGAAGAAGCGAGAAATGTTCTAGACTTCATAAAGTCGGACTGCTGGTCTTTGGGAATTGTATATTTGCACATTATGTTGATGACAAAACCTTGGAATTGCGCCAATCCTCATGAAGATAAAAATTTTGCAAAATTCTATGATCAATACCCTAAGAATGAAAAAGACTTTAATAGCCTTATGAAGCATTTAGATGATACTCATTTCAACGTCAATTCCAACCCTTCATTATCTGTGTTCCAAAAATTGCATTATGATGCAAGAGTGGTTATTTTTGGACTTTTGAATCCTGATATAAGAAATAGATTAAGTACTGTCGAGGTTTTGGATTCTAACTGGTTGAATCAAGTATATGCTAAGCCCAAAGAATTTGTAGATTTATGCAAGCTTTAAGACCTCTCTACAAAGTATAATTTTATTCATTGAATTATTACTTTATTATGTTCCAAGTTCAAGACAAGTGTCTAAGAATATTTATGCCTTATGTCATATTATGTGTTTATATATGTATCTAAATAATAACTTCTAGCCGAGATTTAATTTCCTTCTAATGTATATATTCTCAAATCATAATTTCTTGCAACCTCATTTCAAATCGATTCACATAAATTTATAAGCCTTTGAGCTACGTCAGACAATTGATTAACATTACTACTCTTTTGATCGTGATCCTCGATAGAAGTTGTTGGCTCTCTATTATTTTTGTTTTCTTTCGTACATTGACCCAGTACCTTAGCTGTTTCTTTAAGCAACGACTCCATATTGAAAGTTGATAGATGACTGAAGTCACTAGTCATATTGTCTTTGATTATTAGATCACCTATACCGCTATCTTCAGTCTTCTTCTTCTTTTGCTTCTTCTCTCTTTTTTCCTTGTTCATTATTATGTTTTTTATATTGGTCAATAATACTTCGGAAAATATCCATATATATATATATATATAAACAAAGTATAGTGTTGCAAAAATTTGAAGTTATACATAACGATGCCAGCATTTCATAACTGTTTTAAAAAGTCAAAACAATATGTCATATTTTCAGTAAACCGAATTGATATTCTAACTAGTGTCAATGTAGTTTATATAAAAGTTATGTTTGATGCACTTTAAATATCCTCTTAACCCATAAATGTGAAACAGCTGGTCATTTTGACTTTGGTCATTTATCGACTGAAGGCGATATAATGCTGAGGTACGAAACTCAAGGTAAAATCTCCCGCAGGCTTGTAAGTAACGAGTAGTTGATACAAGCTTAAAACATTCTTCGTACATATCGCATTATAATGTTGAAAAAGGTAGCTACATATTGCATATGAAATCCTGTCATATGAACATGACAGATGTTAGGTGTAGATATTTCACAACCAATAGGTGCAACTATGCATGGACTGATGCATGTTTTCTATGTGACATATGCTAGATACTGCGACTATAGCTATTGTTTGGATATAATATACAATTTATTAACATTAATATATAGAACATATTGATGGTGACATATTTATTATACACAACATAAATTGACGGAATAAATGCTCAATTAAATAAATATAAAATACAATTAAAGAAAGAAAATTTTAATTATTTCGAATAATTCAGGTAGCCGTAATTGCCAATACCATTAGAATTTGAAGATGACGAGTTAGAGCAAGTTGACACTTGATTATTTGAAGCTCTTCTTGGATTACCAGGACCTCTGACACCCAATGGGTTCTTAGAGAACGATAATCTTATTCCACCTTTACCGTTGCTACCACCACTTCTTGGTAATGTTCTCCCATACAATTCAGCCAATGCTCTAGTAGCGTGGGCAACATCTTCAAATTCCACAAAGCACATTGGTCCATGATTATGATTGCTACTCTGGTTTGGATTTGACAGAGATTGGTTCTTGGTTCTAAAAGACAATCTTCTAAAGCCCTTCTGAGGTGAAAATAATGCCCGAAGTTCCAGTTCTGTGGCATCAGGCGGTAAATTACCCACGTACAAAGTATTACAAGGAGGGTTCTGGTCCGCTGGATTAGCTGGTGGAGGAACTCTTGCGAGTAATGATAAATCAGGTACGTCTTTCGATTTATTAGTTGGTGTAGTTTGGCCCGATGAAGGCGACATCTGGGTAGACGAACCTTGTTGCGATGTAGATTGCTGGTTGGATGGTTGGCTAGGAGGTTGACTCGATGGCTGACTCGAAGTCTGACTTGATGGTTGACTCGATGGTTGACTCGATGGCTGGGCAGGCTGTTGGTTAGCTTGCGGTAATGAAATTGAGTTGATCGAGTTTAATGGCAAATTAGGATTCAAATTAGGTAACAAGTTATTGTTGAAGAAGGCTGATGAAGTTCTTCTTCTGTCGTTGGACCCCGATTGAAGTTGCTGCGATTGAGGCTGCGATTGGGGTTGAGTCTGAGGTTGGGACTGGTTCGAATTCCATTCAAAAGGCGTATGTGCCAGAGATGATGCTCCTGGCGTTTGAGGAGCCGAATTGTTGATTGGCAACTGGCTATTCCATGGGTCTCTAACAATATTGTTATTGTTATTGTTGGTACCATCTTGAGGTGAGTCCATCAATAAGATAGATTTCCCGGTCAAATCAGACAAGTCGATCGACGGATGAGGCTGGTTAGAAGAAGCCGGTTGGTTTGGAGTGGTTGAGCCCAGGAATGGGTCGCTGAATAAGAATCTTGATCTCTGGTTACCAATCAGCTGTCTCTTTTGAAATTCAGCTTGCGACTGCTGCTGTTGCGATTGGGGTGGCTGCAGAGATTGGGACAACCTCAAGTTGTTGAAATTAGAATTCAAGCCCGCAGATGGCATACTATTAGGCGAATTTATCACCTGGTCGTAGTCAATCTTGATGGGGGCGTATTCCTTGCCAAAAATGTACTTACCGTCGAGTAATTTACCCGTAGTCAAGCACGTCTGGTAGTTCTTGAAGTATGCCAAAACCATGAAGTCCTTGATCTCAATGTTGACGATGTCGTCGATCACCAACGAAAAAATCGTCGTAGCCTCCCGTTGGGTCAAGTCCGACGGAATGTTGGAGATCTTAAGCATGCTGATGGACATCTCGCCCACCATACCATTCAAACCTCCCATGCTATTCACCATCGGCTCGCCCACTAACAAGTTCCCGCTCGAATTGCCGGTATTTATAAACGATTCCGAAGTCATGACAATGCTAATTAATATGCTAAAGTGACTCGTATGAAAAAATGAACTAATGAAATAATAATAATATGAATACTATGAGTTAATGAACTATGATGATTAATGAATGTTAATTATTGCTGAATTCGTGGATATAATTCTTTAATTCCTATTATTAGTATTACTTTATTATTAATATTAATATTATGATTATTATGTGTAGTGTTTTTTTGTCTTAAAAAAAAATCACCTTTGAAATGTATAATTTACACTAATGAATAAACGTCAATCAATCCTCCAACACTATATCTAACGCTGCTGCTATTCTTATCTTGGTTTGTTTATTCCTGATTTTATGATAAATATGAATTATTTATTATTTTTGGCGTAACGGCAAATAAACAACTATTGAACGCTTTGAACGAAATGAATTCTCAAGAAAATTAATTACAAAAAAAAAAATTCTTCCGCGAACGTTTCAAAAGTTCGTCTTTTCTAATATCCGTGCTACTGCTTGATACTTGTTATTAAAACTGCGATATGTTATCGTCTCTTATTTCTATGGGTGTATAGCACCGAATGAAATTTCTTGGGATAATTTTCGATGCTTTTTGCTTATATTGCACCAGGGTTTAATATTGTATCGAGGAGAGTTTGTAAGCTGGACACGAACCACAACCGTTGAGGCAATTTTTTAGAAATTTTATCAATTAGCAGGAATTGTTTATTACCTAATTATTCGTCTAGTCATTTTTTCAGAGATTTTTTTTGTCAAAGACTACGCCCGTGCGTGCATGTGTCGGGGGTACGACGGGCGGATTGGACCAATCAGAGCAGAAACTTGTGTCCGGGTAAGATACGGTATATCGTTACCCGGATGTGGTATTTCCCGAAAGGTCTAGACGAGCCAGCCGGCGCTGGTCGGGAGCGAGGCCACGCGACATTGCAATGTCGCGTGTCGTGGTGGTGGATGTCGCGGATCGACTTGATATCGCGACATTTATCGCGACATTGAGATAGAGCCCATTCAATACAACGTATCAAGCGATCCAGATCGTACCACCAGCAGTTCAAGCACCATGTACGACCCATTAGATAACCAGAGCTATGTGAATAGCACGATATTCCACTTGCTTGTTCTGGAGCTAGTTCCCACGGCGATTAGGGTTAGCAAGCAGGTGAACGAGACGGGGATTGGTGGGGACACCGAGTTCAAGCCCACGACGATGGAAACGGTTTTGTCGGACGCCAACGACGATAAGCCTGGAACGGTGGGAATTCTTGAGTCTGAAGGCGCAGGAGGTGATGATGTGACATTGAGGGTGGAAAATTACGGGTTTGACATCGGGTTGAGGATGTCGGAGTTGATCATGTTCAAGAGCTCGAACCAGAAGATGGTCGATATCTTGGATATCATGAAATTTGTGTGTCGGGATGTGTGGAGAGTATTGTACGGGAAGCAGATGAGCAATTTGCGGACAAATCACAGGGGTACGTTTGTGTTGGTTGACAATAGCTACAAATTGATCGAGACGATGATGAGCGACAAGGGAGCCTTGGACACGGTCAACAAGTGCAAGAATTATCTCTGGTTCCCGTGTGGGGTGATAAGAGGCATTCTCATGAGTTTTGGAATCGAGGCCGAGGTGCATGCTGAGGTGAACCAGTTTCCAAGCGTAACCTTCAACATCCAAACAGGCATCAACAACTAGAATACTCCAAACAGACAGATAGATCAATTGATCAACATATATTTCGTTTTGAACTATACTGTCTCTTGAATTCGCCAATGATAGGCATTTAGCCATTATCAGTTGATGTCTGTCAATCGTTAGATGGTTAGTATTGACCATTCATCAACATTTAGAGGGCAAATAAGTATCTAAATAGGTTGAACCTATCATAGAAATGCCTCTTAATATTGCATAGCCAAAACCATGTTTATGACATTCTACAATTATCAGATGCCGCAATCATAATATCATAATTAGTGCCATCTGACCAATGCATAGGACAAATCTCATTTTGATTCAAATACAGACGTCTATCCTCTCATAGTAGTAATATAGGAACTACATATATAATCGCCATGATAGTACTTTGTAGGAGACTTATTAGCTCAAATAGGTGTATTTCACGTATGCATCTAATTTTGTGTCATGTTCATTTTTTTTTCATTTTACAACCATAGGCTTGTCTTCTCTTCGATCTTTTCTATTGATTAGACCCTTCATTATCAAATCTGATTTTGTTGTATATACCAGATACTTGGCTATCAAAGCTATTTTTTTCGATAATTCTCATACAAACCAGTGATTCCCAAGGCATATGATCATAAATATCAATCTAGATTGCATCAATTGATGATTTGTAAGACAATAGCGAGATTAGGCTACAGAAGACGACTAATAAGATTTAATTCTTACAAAAGCATAGATAGAACATCTCCTGGCAGATTATTTCATGGCATTCCGAGAACCCATCCTGATAATTTCTTGAACGCTTCAATATTCGAAACTAATAATGATTCCTCTAGCATATTTAGAGTGCAGAACAACGATAATAATATCTTGATAAATTATTTTTTTGAGTCAATTTTAAGAAATGATTTCTTGAAAGCCCGTGTGCTACTTAACAAATTAAAACAACGGGTAAAAGTCAAGGAAAATGCACAGAACGTCAATGTTTACTATTCATGTCTAATGGTTCTTTTAGCGCATGTAATATCCAATCCTAAATCGATTAATATCCATAATACCAAGCTAATTATTGATGATGTTGATTTCAACTTTACACACGAGTATACTTCTGAAATTAAAACAAAGCTAGTGTACTGCTTATTGTATTCATATATTAACGTAGAAATCAAATCTTTGAAATATAGCATTTCAAAGTATATAATGACAATCTTAAGAAAGTGGAACATTATTCCGGCAGATTTTATACATACCATTTCTGATGCTGAATTGCTGACTACATTTGCAAAAGTTACTAAGGTTCCTAGCGTGTTAAAACATGATGCAACTAAAGATATCAACCCAATTGACAAATTCAAAACAAATGGGTTATTGAGTTATAGCAAACTATGTGAATATTTAGAAACAAGATTTGATAAATATGATAAATTGGATCAAACACCATTATATTACTTGTACGAAAATCTATCTCCAGAGCAAAAAGATAGCTTTATTCGTGAATATCATGCATTCAATCGACTGAAACAGTTAAACATTGAGGAGAATTGTCTTGATCTAGTTGAAGATTTCAAACTTCATAGCAAATCAGATAATATCAACATTAATAAGTTTAAAATGTCTAATTCCAAGTTGATTTATTCCTGGTTTGAATTGACAATGAATATGTTAAATTCTTTAATTACCAAGCTAAACAAGCCAAACTTCAAAAGCAACTCTCCTGACGAAATGACATTATACAAGTATAGAGTTTATTTAAATCTACTCCCAAGAAGAATTATAGTTACCCTTTTGATTTCAAACATTCTCTCGAAAACACTAACGTCAGAATTGGGACATGCTAGAGTTTCAGATTTGGCAAATTCGTTGGGTTCATCCTTCAAGAGATTAATACTAAGAGACACAGATCTTAAAGATATCAAACCCTATTTCATGAAATTTTTTCATGAAGAGGATTCTATTGTTCTTTTTACCTCATTAATTAGTATCTTTATACATAATTGCAAAATTCCCAGATCTTTTATTGATAGTGATACCTTTACTCAGTCATTAAAATTGATAGATTATTCACAGGAAATTGATCCACTATTCTTATCTGAAAAGAATTTTGAATTTCCTGCATTTCTCTGGGGAAATATAAGAATTCATGATGGTCCAGCATATAAGAAGATAGGAGTTATTAAAATTCACCCATACTTACTAGAGGAGTTCAAAAGCTATGAATCACTCTTTGTTAGAAGGTCATTATACCTACCTATGCTCTGCCCTCCAAAGCCTTGGACATCACCCATTGTGGGCGGATATCTAACTGATTTAAAGCCTGTTATTAATACGGATGATTTATCCACGTCCTTATTCTACATAAACAAAGCCCACAAGACAGGACAACTAAAATCATTATATGAAGGTTTAAACGTTCTTGGATCCTTAGCGTGGGCGATTAACCATTCTACTTTGGAGATATTCAACCAGGTTATGAATATCAACAAAGGATTTTTGAAAATACCGCCTAACTTCAATGAATTACAAGTCATATTGCCTCAAAAACCAATTCAATCTGACTACCCATCAGCATCAGAGTATAATAAAGCATTATGGAAGCATAAAATTGAATCAGCAAAAGCATTACAAGAATATCATGCAATAAAGAGTCAAAGAGTAGAATTGAATTTAATTCAACAATTGGCGAATTCGCTTAGTAAAAATGGAGACATGTTTTATCTACCTCATAACGTAGACTTTCGAGGTAGGGCCTATCCCATGGTTTCGATATTGTCACATTATCAAGACGACCTTGTACGCTCGTTGTTAATGTTTTGGTTTGCTAAGCCTTTGGGTCCTGACGGTTTCAACTGGTTAAAGTATCAGTTGGCTGGTGTTTACGGTAAGGATAAACTATCAATGAATGAAAGAGTAGAATTTGTTGATATGAATCAAGATTTAATTGTGGATTCCGCTGAAAACCCATTAAATGGAAAAATGTGGTGGAAATCGGCAGAAAAACCCTGGCAAACATTAAGTCTATGTTTTGAAATCAACAAGGTATTGAAATATTGTCAAAATAAAGCTAACAAAGTCGAAGATTTCCTTTGTAGAATTCCTATCCATCAAGATGGATCGTGCAATGGATTACAACATTATGCGGCATTGGGCAAAGACAAAGAAGGTGGAAATTCTGTCAACTTATTACAAACAGATTTGGCTCACCCGGTAAGAAGTGATGTTTATACAGAAGTCTTGAACATTGTTAAGAGCCAAGTACTTAAGCATTCGTGTGACAAATCAAATCAATATCAGGAACTCGCTACACTCTCTTTATTAATATTATCTAGAAAAGTTGTTAAACAAACCGTCATGACTAGCGTATATGGGGTTACTAGACATGGTGCTACTTTGCAAATTAATATGAGAATCAAGGAAATCATCAAGAATTTTGAAGTTCAGTTGAATGATAGCAACGACATCCCCATCACTCTAGAGCAATTTTCAAGATTGAGAGATTTAAATGTTGAGATTTCCAATTATTTGGCATCAACAGTCCTTCATTCCATCACAAAATTGTTTTCAGGTGCTAAGCTAATTCAAGATTGGTTATTAAACAACTGCTTTCGAATAATTAATTCTTTTGATTTAGAAACATTTCAATCATTAGAAAGACTTAATAAAAAGGAAGTCATCGACTTTTTTAATCCGCAACTATATAAACCTATGATGTGGACATCAATGTCAGGTTTTCCGGTGATTCAATTATACAAGCATACTAAACAGAAAGCATTACCAACTTCATTGCAGAGTATAGTCATTAACAAACCATCTAAATTGGCCAACATAGACGTAAGAAAACAATTAAATGCAGTTGCGCCAAATTTTATACATTCCATTGATTCCATCCATATGTTAATGACCTGTCTATCTGCAGAAAATAACAATATTCCATTTATTTCTGTTCACGATTCATTTTGGACTTTACCCTGTGACGTCAATAAGCTTTCGAAGATAATAAGACAAGAATTTGTCAGGCTACATTCTTCAAATATTATAGAAAATTTGAGGGATGATATGATGCATACTACAAGGAAATCTTTTCAGCTCGTATATGTTAAAAACCAAGATAATTTAGAGCTAATAGAGGAATTGAATAAATTAAGATCACAATATTTTGATGAACCATTGAAATTGACGAAAAAACATTATAATAGACTTCTTTATCATGAGTTAATCCACCAGACTAATAATCAAGATATTAGCCATTCGCCGATGGGATTGATTAAAAAATACAACCCGAAATTATACTCCAGATCTAAGAGTAGTCCAAAATTATTGGACATATATGATGATACAGATGTACATGATTCATCAAAGAACGCTATTAAATTATCTAAAGCATTCACACCCTTGTTAGTTCCCGTTAAGATACTAGAGAAGCCATCAACCGGCGATCTTGATATAAACAAAGTATTAGATAGTGTATATTTTTTCTCATGAATTCATATTTATAAGGGAGAGACGTTATTCCCTTTCATCGATCATTTTTTTAAGTTTCCCAAATATAATATCCCTATGTATTGCTAAATCATCCTCTTCTTCATTTTCAAAAAAATGGTTTCTTTCGAATTCTTGATCATTATCTATATTCTGATATTGATCATCAGCCAAAAAATTAATATTATTATCACCATCATAAAAATCATCGTATAAGTCCTCGAAACCTTCTTCAGATTTCGCTTCAGAATTAATGTATTCGTACCCCTCGATTTCTTGACCATCTTGGCCATCTTGAAGCTGTATTACTTCAATTTCCTCTTCCGTATACGTATCACTGTATGCACCAGCATCCTCGTCACTTGGATAGTCATTTTGATAGAAGCTTTCGGCATTTGAATCCTCATCATCAGAAAACAAGTTATTAGTTTTCTCGTTTTCTTCATCAGATTGATATAAATCATTTTCTTCGTCGAAAAATCTAATATAACCGATCTGAGACTGAGGATGGTTTGCAGTAGTCATTGGTTCAGTTGAAGATAGTTGATAAACATCGTAAACATAGTCGGATTTCTCTTCTATATCAACTACGTTTAGTTTATTTTCGGTCTCAATGTCTGGGATAACAGGCGATTCTTCAAGATTGCTAGCACTAATTCCTTTCCTGTTTCGCCGTTTTCTTTGTGAACTGTTCATATTATCTTTAGATGTTAATAGCGAACTCACCATGTCGGCCAATTCATTGGGTATATATGCATCTTCTTCTGTTTGTTTCTTGGGAATAATAAACTTCCGTTTTCTACCTCCACTAGAATTCTCAACCTTTTTCCCAGCTTCTTTGTCGAGTATAGATGATCCAGCTTCTCCTACTGACGGAGCTTCCGATAAAATAGATTCAATTACAGCTTCCTCATTAATAGCTCCAAATTCATCGGTTCTAGTTAATGTAAAGTAAAAGTTCTTGTTCTTATCAATGATGGTAGAGGAAGCTGGTGATGATGGCTTCGATCTTTTTGCAGCATTGTTATCTTCTAGAATCAATGCCTGAAGAGGATCTTGACCTCTCTTTCTTTTGATTCTAAGGATTTGAGGCGGTTCATGCTCCATCGTGATCAATAGTTGTCTATACTTAGGATGTTCACCTTCGTCATGTTTAAGTCCTGCTATATTTCAAAAGTCACGTGTATTTCTATATGGAACCACAAGATCAGATTTTTTGCATCTATTCTTGTGGACCTAATATATATGCTCTTCTTATCCAAGGCCCTACTGTTTCATATTCTACAGGTTGACCAATAGATAATGAATGAATCGATGCTTGCGATATTATTTTATCATCTTAATAGGCAATATAGAAATCTTTCCAATACCCTTATAGGAAACTATTTTGAACCACAGAGAGATCTAGTATTGGTCACCGGAGGGGCAAGTGGTCTAGGAAAAGAAATTGTTAAGAAACTTGTTTCAAAAAAAGCCAAAGTGGTGGTACTTGATATAAAGGTTCCGGAGGAGGTAGAAAAAATTGAAACAGTTAATTACTACATATGCGACGTGAGTGACCGAAGACAGATTATTTGTTGTCAGAAAAAGATAAAGCAAGAGGTTGGGAATATCACAATCTTGATCAATAATGCTGGCATTACTACCGGAAAAACGCTTTTGGATTTGAGTTACGATGAGATCGAAAGGACTATCCAAATCAACTTGATGTCCAGTTTCTACACTATAAAAACATTCTTACCTGATATGTTAGTTATGCAAAGAGGCTATATAGTTACAATTGCTTCGGTGTTGGGATACATGTCTCCAGCTCGTCTAAGTGCTTATGGTGCATCGAAATCTGGTTTAATTGCATTACACGAATCTTTGACCTACGAATTAGGCCCACCATCTATAAACCCTAAAGGAATTAAAACCCTATTGATATGTCCTGGCCAATTGAAAACGGGCATGTTCGATGGTGTCAAGACACCTTCTAGTATTCTTGCGCCCGAATTAGATCCCAAATACGTTGCAGATAATGTTATTTCGGCAATAGAATTAGGCAGGCGAGGAGAGATTAAAATACCATTCTATGGAAATTTCTTACCAATCTTTAGAGCCGTCCCTTGGCCAATTGTTGAAGCAGCCAGATACTATTCCGGCATTGATAAAAGCATGCAGACATTTAAAAATACAGTTCTGACGATTAGTCGAGTGGCGAGTAAAGCTAATTCAATCAAATCGAAAAATAGTTCTAGTATTTCTCCCCAAGCCCCAATTCAAAACTCTTCTTCAGTTTCATAGATCTTAGACTTTGCTATAGTTAAATAAATTATAATTAGATATACATATGGTCCACCTACATAATGACATTACTTCATTATGGCGTCAAATGAAATATTTCTAGCAGTCCAAATAAGAAATTGATTGTTGGTGTTGATATTCACCAATTTCTTATATAATTCAAATTCAACTACTTCATTAGTAAATGACTTTTTATTCAAGTCAGGGATTTTTGTATAAGCTAGCTCGATAGCTTCAATATTTAATGCTTGCGAAACCTGCGCTTGGTCTAATACAATGGTAATTGAGTTATCAGAGTCTAATAAGATTTCTTCCTGGCCGTTTAAAGGTATTTGATCACATAATATGATTTCCATACTCCTGATATAAGGATCGCTCAAAACTATCTTATTCTTTTCTGCTTCATGCTCATATTTCTTAATGCAAATCTGCGACCAGTCACTCGGATTACAGCCAAGGATTTTTCCCTTAACCCTATATACCTCATTATCAATTCCGTAACTGTGATAATCATTAAGTTGTTTCAATGAATAATACGCCTTTTGTGAGTGTGGTTGTTGTAAATAGGTAGCATGATGTGAGTTTGCGTTTTCAGGTTCCGCTTCATCTTCTTGTTGAAATGTATCAGCGTCTAGTGATTGCTGTGCCGTATTCGAATAGTCATTCGGAAATAATGTATCAGGGATCATGTTTTCTGTTGCTTCTTCTGTCTTTACGTATGTCTCTCGTGGTTGTGAATCATGTATTACTGATTCAGTATCAACTTTTACATTTACTTCACTATGTTCATTAATACGTGGACTCCTCCTTTCAAAGGAAGGCAAAATTGGTCCTAAATGTCTTTCCGGAATCACATTCCTGGCTCTGGTCAAATTTTCTTTCAAATATTCTTTTGGTAATTTGCAAATGTTGGCGTATAACGTCTGTAAATTCTCATTATCTAGTAATTCTTCTTTATTTATCAAACGTATGCTTTTAGCTCTGCCCTCTAAGACGTTGTTGAACTTCTTTAAGACAACTGTTGCCCTAAGGATGCACATTTTATCTGAAATTCTGAAAGGTGGTCTTGCATCTTGTTCAAATAATGGCTCTTTGTATCGTCTTTCATAGTCATTAATTAAAACCTGTAGTTTCTCTTGATATACATCAATTTGGAATATTTGCTCCGGGGGAATTTCAAATTCTTCGATGTAATAGCTCTCAAAAAAAGGATTAGATACTCGTGGGTTGGTAGTGAAATCAGTAACGTATAATCTGCATGGTCCTGTAGCAGCGATATTTATAAAAAGGCCGAGACAGTAAATATCTTTCGTAATCTTAAGATTTGTAGAGAATGTGACATCTGGGAGATCCTCTATAGAACACGCGTAACCAGATTGACTCATCTATCCTAGTTTTATGAATAGTTGAAAGAAAAGCTTCATTGTCTACAATTAAAATTCCGTCAAAAACACGCGAATCACTATTTAATGACTTTTACATTCATTTTACAGTAAATATTTATTCTATGCACAGTAATTAAAAGTGAATAAGCCAGTGATCTTGAATTTCGCTTAAGATCTGTAGTCACCATTAATGGCAATATATTCGTGGGTTAAATCACAAGTCCAAAACTTACATTCTTGACCACCACCAGTACCCAAGTCGATTTCAACTTCGATATCCTCTACAGAAAGAATTTCCGAGGCTCTTTCCTCATCTACAACTTCAGGTTCACCGTTTACTAGTAACTTTAATTTCTGTGAACCGTCGGATGGAATGAACGACACATTCGTTTTAGCTGGGTTGATAGAATCACCCGAGCTCACTTGTGAATAACCAATGGCACATAAAATACGTCCCCAGTTGGCATCATTACCGTACATCGCAGTTTTAAATAATGACGAGTTTGCGATAGATGACGCAATAATCTTAGCATCGCCGTATGACAACGCATCTTTTACACTGATGGTGATGAATTTGGTAGCACCTTCTCCATCACGAACAACCAATTGTGCTAACTGTTGAGCAAATCCAGTAATTTCACGCTGCAATATTCCAAAAGATTCAGCACTAGAAGAGGAATTGTCGATTGGCTCACCACCTGCAGCACCATTGGCTATGGCAACAATTGTATCGTTGGTAGACATATCTCCATCGACTGAAATACTGTTAAACGATCTGTCCGTAGCAAACTTCAAAATCTGATCCAAAGCTGATGCAGTAACAGGAGCATCAGTAACAAAAAAACCCAACAATGTGGCCATATTTGGACATATCATACCAGCTCCCTTTGCCAAACCAGCCAACGTGTACGTGTGGCCGTTAAGCTCAAACAGCTTACTGACCAACTTTGGAAAAGTATCAGTAGTACAGATTGCCTGCGCACATTTAAGCCAGTGTTCATGAGTACTACCCAAGTTTTCACCTGCTAATTGGGGAATTCCTGATAAAATCTTACTGATAGGTAAATTGTTCCCAATTACCCCAGTAGACATAACCAACGTCGAATTAGTAGGATTCCCCAACGCAGCATCAGTAACGGTAATCATATCTTGAGCATCCTTCATACCCTGACTACCTGTGACCGCATTGGCGTTACCACTGTTAATCACCAATGAATTGATCTCTTCTCCCTTTTTCTCTTTGACGATCTTCGACGATACCTGAACAGGTGCAGCCTTAAATTTATTCGTCGTGAACACTGCTGAAGCTACCGCTGATTTTCCGTGTGTGTTATTCAAAATTGCCAAATCCAACGATTTACCGTCCTTTTTAACACCACAATGGATTCCTCCTACTTCGAATCCTTTTGGATATACTCCACCTTTTGGAACAAACCTAGAAGCCTTATCCGACAAAAACCGAATAGATTGTTTTCCTATACCGTATAGCTGCATTTTCAGTTTCTTATGGAAGTCTACTACGTGTTTTTCACTATGACTAATTCCTTATCTTTACTTCGGTCAATCAAGCTGCAAGTTACTCATAAATATCTCGAGTCGTGTGTGTGCAAACATTTGATTTTTTTTTCACTTCGGTAACCATAGGCTATTAGAGATTTATATATAAAATATCTTAGACCAGAGGGAAGGAAAATAAAGACGTTTAAGATGAGTAAGACTTCTAATTGTGCTATGTTCAAGAACTTGCCATCTTCAAGAATATTGAAACAAATCACTAGGTTAAATAACATTGCTGGTACTCCAGAAACCGCATTCAGATTCAATCCAAAGTACACCAAACTTGAATTATTTTTAATAAAGCAGAACGTTTCAGGATCTGCTATTGGGTTGAAAAAGTTCTGGAGAAATCACTTACCAACATTAAAATTTCACAACGAAGACGTCAATTTTATTCTTACTAGGATCAACACTGAGACAAAAGAAGATATTTCTAAGTGCCCATCCAAGATAGTTGTATACGACAATGCCAATAACAAATACGAAATAGATTGTGCTGATAGACAAGTGAGTGACATTCTTGCAGAAGTTGTTAAGGTGACCGAAGCATCCCCAGTTCCAGAGAAGGAAATCCCAGTTATCGCTACTCCACAACAAGATAACTTCATTTAAATGATTCAACGAGATCGCATGTATATATTCTGTTTTTGAGAGTTAAAATTTCATTAGTTGTGTATTTATTAATAAAGTAATTAATACCTATGTATATAAATGAGTCTATCATTGAGGTCAAAGAAGGTTATGCATTATGACTGTAGAAATTTTAATAATTCTTCTTTTCCTTTCAATTCCACGAGTCTCTTGATATCTAGTAAGTCGGATATCTCTTCATCGTTAAGCTTCGTTGGTGTTTCGTTATTCTTTGAGAACTGGTCGGATTCTAGAGCGGCTGCGACTAGATCACTAAACTTCGATCCTGGTTTCTTATGGTCTTTTTCCGATTTTATCAGGATTAAGCTGTCAACTGTATCCCTTTCCTCTTGGTTGGATCCTTCTAATCTACCTCTTGTCTCATAATCATCAATAGTCTCAAGTATGGTTCTCTTATCTGTCGAGACTTTCTTGGTCTCTAGGACATTAGTCTCATTATTTTTTGACGCTTTAGAGACAAAATCAAGCAATATCAGCTTTTCTGGAACCCTGTAAATAAATGCACGAGCTTCGCTTCCATCGTCATCCGCACTAGTCATAGTCATTATTCTATTTAATCGTTTTGAAGCCCTAGCTGTGCTTCCTAGTGGTGTTGAATAATTTTGAAAAAATTCAGGGATTTTGAAATTTGGATGTATGTCATCGCTATTATTGGTGTTACTATTAACTTCCTTTGGTTCATCCTTTTCCATTTCAGTGATGTATGATCTGGAAAAATCCTCTGTCTCGTATTGTATGTATTCATGTAACGGGACACTTTTGTCAATATCTTCTTTCAAAAATTGTTGATCATTGTGCTTAATAATAATATTATTCATCGAAGCAATTTTCAAAAAGTGACTATGCAATGATATATCAAGCACTGACATATCTTTGAATTTTCTTCTACTAAAGAGTCCTTCAGGCAATAATTCTTCGAAGTGATTTGGACATCTCCATCTACTACCCAAAGTCTTAGGGATACACAATGGGTCTTCGAGACAATCTATATGCCAAACTAATGGACAATAATCGCAATGGGTTAGCGTTTTTCCTTTCAACCCTGATAATCCACATTTGTGACATAAATATGGATTTCCATTTTTATCGTACAAACCATCAACATCAAGATCATTATTCTTATTGAACCCGATAATTTGATATTCGTTCATCTTAGTATAAGATATTTCTGGCTTAAATGTTGAATCCTGATAAACCCCATTTTCTCCTGTAGTTACGCCGATAAACGAACTATCTCGTATTTTCTTAGGCAATTGAAATTCTTTTGGATTTCTACCTTCCAGTTGATTTAGCAACTGACCGAATATTCCCATATGATTATATGTCTTCTTGGATCCTGGGTCTTGCTTTAGGACACATTCTTGACAATGCCAATTATCTTCGGGGCATTCTTCAAGTGGAGGATTACAGCATGTAAAATGAAATGACTTTGGACAAGTTTCACAACAAATAAATACCCCTGGTCCACCACAAGTTGTACAGAAATCATCATTATTTTTGGTGGGATCATCGTTTGAGTATGTATTGACACCACTATCTGTGACTGAAGAAGGGGCAAGATTAGTACTTGCCGTCTTTTTGGGGGAAATGACTTTGATCCTTTTCGATGACCTCAATGACAGAGGCTCTTCATTCTTAGCCTTTGCTTGCTTTGGTGTTCTTGCTAAATTTTTAGTAGCATCTGCCTTTGGTCTACCCCTTTTCTTACTTGGTCTTCCTCGTTTTGGTGGCGGCCTTATATCACTCTCTTTGGCTATTTCTTCGGATTTGTTTGTTTGGAGGCTTGCTTTGTAATCCAGTTCAATAGACTCATTATCATTTTCTGTTTCGTTTGCTTGTACTGGTGCCGAAGATTCTCTTGAAACACCACTACTACTATTATTATTAGTGCCGTTCACTCTATTAGATTTCCTTGATAAGCCCCTAGTTGACCATAACGATTCTTTTTTTATCTTAGCATTAGGAAACGACTCTAACGGTAATCCAGTATACGCTGGATGTGGTTCTGCCAATTTCGGTTCTATGAAAACTTTTTCTCCTCCTCTCTGTACTATGCCATGAGGTCCACTATCGGATGGTTCTTCGGTTCCCTTAGCCTCAACAATCACAGGACTACTCTCTAGCATCATTGAATTCTTCGACCCATTATTACTTCTCACCCCTAATCTTGGTGATTTTCGTTTTATCTTGGATTTTGGCTTGGAACTAGAATCATTGTTCTCAACGACTGTGCTAGATTCATTGTCTCCAGACGATGAAACCAGATTGAATCCTTCCCCTGATTCCAAAAAATTGTTTATTTGAGTGGTTGAATCTGTAGTCTCTGGTCCTAAGTCTGGTATTTGGATATTGTTCATTACTGGCATTTCATTTTTAGATAGATCTTCATTGGTGGAACTCATATTATTTAATTTCGATAATTGTTCAGACGACGATGATGCCGACGACCCTTCGAAGAACAGGTCTATAGGTAGCTGAGACATCTAATCAAGCAACCGTACTAAATTAATTTCCAAATAGCTAAAAGAATAGTTAATATTGCATGTTGAAGTCAGATTGTTGAACGCGCTCCAATACATTTTCAAGATTATTTCCTCACGTTATACTAACTAAATCATTATAAAATTTACCTATATATACTAGATGTTAGGCCTAATACGATACATAACTCAGCTACTGACATTCTAGCTTTCTAGTCTCATTGAAGTTTGATGTGGAAATTTCATTGAACACTTATGCGGATGGGGCACCCTCAGCAGCAGTCTTCTTACTCTTCTTCTTTTTTGCGGCAGCCTTCAAAGGTTGGGAAATTAAAGATGTAATTTCTTCATCCTTAATTTCCTTTTCAGTTTTGTATAATTCAGGGTCAAAAGATGGCGATGTGAACTTAACTATACCATTCTTAGTAATAGCAAAAGTAGTGAAATATTGAGCAACATATTCACCTTCCTTTTCTGTCATGATATCGTAGGATAACATAACTTGATGGTTCACACATTCAATCAATCCCATTCTTGCCTTTCTGATATCTTCTAAGTTTTTGATGTTGTAAGGGAAAGGACCCGAAGACTTTTCTTTGAATTCACCCAATACTTGGTGAGAAGACTTCATTTTTAAGGCGTAAGAGCTACCAGTCAACTTGAATAACGAAGTCTTGTAGTCCGATTTCTTAACCTTCCCGTCTGGAGATGTGGACACTAAGATATCCAAACCATAAACTTCATTTTCTTCAAACTTGAAGGTATCCATTTGATTCTTGTTTTCCTTGGTTGGATTAAGAATGATCTCTTTAGGTCCATATAAGACGTTTCTTTCCTGATTGTGGGTCAACATACTTTCAACAGCAACACAATCGTACGATTTGGTAACCTTATCCACAATGTTGGTAACGTCCCAATTTCTGTTCTTTGGTTGGAAAGTTCTAATTGCTGCTTCGGATGCTTTCCATGCAGCGTGCAACAAGTCAGCCTTGACACCGGTGACTGGTTGATCCTTGCTTTCGCCAACAACCATGGTTTCGGCAACAATTGATGGAAATCCGTCAATTTGGATCCCTAACATGATATTGACGACATCACCATTGGCTAAAGTCAAATTGGCCTCATCATCTTCGCTCAGTGGGGCAAAATGTGCTGGAATGTGGTTTGGGTTGATACATGTTGGAAATGCGATCCCTTTAGCAATCTTCGACGTTTTCTTGGAATTGTAAATCTTGGATAACTCTTCGGTCATCAATTCATCACCCTTGTTACAGAGATCAAAAATTTTGCTTCCATCTTTAACCAATGCTCTAACTTGAGCTATAACTCTGTTGGAGATTTCTCCGGCGGTCTTATACTTAGACACAACGTCTGAGTTTGCGACAGTATAATCAGGTGTTGTAGCTATTTAGAAATGTTAATAACTGTCTCGCCATATTCATAGGGTCTAATTGACCTATTATACATACAAGTAGTAGACATATTTGATCTTTCGATATAAAGAATCAATGATTCAAGGAATGGGCCTTAGTCTCGATGAAAATTTCATCACTAACATACTTCCTGTATATACAATATTGTTTAACTTCTCAAGTCTAGAAGAAATGGACCTTTTATGATGAAAACTACTTATTTCTAGTGTATCAAAGGAACAACAAGCACTTGCTATAGCTATCTAGATTAAAGGTACTTCACACGCGTCAATCAAGACAGAATTTTTTTAACATTTACTGTTATTTCCGTTTAATGCAGAGTGCACAATTGCATTAACGACGTAAATACCTTGTTGATCAATAAAATATGTCAAGTGATAAGGATAAACGATCATCCAAGCTATTTGGGTCCCGAATTTCGTCCATCTTTAATGTACAGCCAGGACATAATGTTAAACATGGGAATCTTGATAATAATGGAAGTTCTACACTGAGACATGCGCAAACAAAGCCGTTGTCACATCCACCTTTGCACAATAATTCCGGTAGGTCAACGCTAGACCCCCATAGGCTGGCGCCATCAGTACATGTTCCACCGCAAAGCCATGCCCCGGTGAATTTGGCGCCCATTAAGAGTCCACCAAGACGGAAACCTCCACCACCTATGGCGGAAGAATTCGACCGTGGACCAGACAGAAATTTCGCCGTAGAGCCGCCAGTCAATAAGATATCGGCAAATAGGTATGGAGAAGAGGTCAAGGAGGATTTGAATAATATTATAGGTACTTTGGAAAAAGAAATTGGCAGTATGCTAGTAAATAATGAGCCAATGACACAAATGGATCCAAATGATCATATACATAATGCTGACGACCAAGCATCGATAACACCGGGCCTAAATGTTTCAAACGCATTAGAAGTATCCAGATCTAATCAATCTGGGCCATCTTATTATTCAGATTCACATTCTTATAATGATTCCCATAAATCATCATCTATATCAAGATCCAATCAATCTGGGCCCTCGTATTTTTCAGACACTCGTTCTTATAATGAGTCCCAGAAATCATCATCTATATCATGCAATACAGATACGCAAGAACAATCATTGGATGAAGCAAGTGCTACCCCAAGCGATACGCCGGAATACAATCATGAGCATGAAGGCGGGCAAGTCCCGTATCCTATAGATTCATTGCCGGAGAGCCCCACGCTTGAAAGCAGTGTGGTGGGCTTAGACTTGGCCCTGGTTCCAGGCTACCATCATAATATTCCAAACGACTCAAAAACATCCATCAATTCGTCTATATACTCACAAGGTGAAGCAGAGCCCTATGCACAGCTGAAGAGTATTGAAACATTTGGATCAAGTCACAGCATACCTTCACAAAGAAAAAATGAATATCAAGCAGCAGCATCGCTGAGCAATACAGTGACTTCTATTTCCTCAACGAGAACTCCTCAAAATAGCTCGTTTATTAGAACTATGCAACCAAATCGTAATCCTCTGAACCCGGTACCATTAGAGTCAGGTACGTACGATCCAAATTCAAGATCAAAGCCTCCAGCAAAATCAAATATATCTCATCATAGAAAGTCTAGTTCGGTAAGTTCTATTTGGAGTGCCAATTCCTACAGAAGTGTTAATATGTCAAAGCTCAAAAAATCATTAGATTTAAAGCCAGGTGAAGGTGAGAGGTCAAACTATGTTGTGTCTATTCGTAGGAGTGCTGGTACGGCGTATAATGATTCTCCTCCAGGTAAATGGAAATTGCCTATAGGCATTTTACCTGTCGACAATAGAATTGGATATGCTGCAAATGGCCGCTATTTGAGACTCGCTGGAGGAGTTCAAGGTAGAAACAAAAAGACTAGTGGGGTCGAATTAAAGCATGGACATTTGCAACCTAGATTGTTAGCTGCTGAAGTTGATGATGGCGATGAGAGCCCTGTTGGCTTACAATCATTAGGCAGGTCGGGTACTGACCTGACCATTGGTACAAACAAATCGTCTGTTGGCGCGGTTAAGTCTTCAGATTCAAGTGTTAATGTCACACCCAGTGGTTCACTATTAAGGAAGAGCTCGTATGGAAAAGCTATCGATGACTTGCAGAGTATTAATACAGGTGGTGACTCCTCGTCTACATTACCCAGCTCAAAAAGAGCCGAATCCGTCTCTTCTACATCCTCACCTGGATCTTCATCTTCTAATAGTCTTACCGATTTCAATATTGGGATCGGTGGTTACTATCAACATCCAGGCTACTTACATAATGATGATGAAGAAACATCTACTGAATTTGAGACTGATTTTATGGGCGATGGAGGAAACAGAAATAATGATTATAATGACTATGATACCAAGCCCAGATTAGTACTTGCTAACCCTGATAACTCTGATAGCGATTAAATAGAACCTATCTACTGTATAATATAGAGTATTTATATGCCGGTCGTGCGATTGTTCAAATATTTGATCTACCAAAAATTCAACACGTCGTAGTAACACTGCTTAGCACAACTTGAATTCAAAGCATCGATCCTTTTTGGTTATTCATAGTATTTATTGCATTTAATAGCTGTATATTAGTAAGTGTTGATTAATTGAAAGCAATAGTGTGAAGATCGAATTAAATTTGTCACATTTCGGAAAGTAGTCGTGACACCCTGTCGAATCGATCAACATAAAATATTTTGATTAATAGTTACTAACAAGAGTTGAAATAGAATTGAAATGGCTGACATAGGATATACTTTGATCTATGAGCCTAATACGGCTGCTAAAACATCCGTTAATGAGTTCAAAACGTTATTGGAAAAAAGCAAAGATGATGTTAAGATCAACACAATGAAACGTATTTTAATCACCATGCTCAATGGAGATCCGTTGCAAGACTTATTGATGCATATCATTAGGTTTGTAATGCCTTCCAAAAACAAGGAATTGAAAAAGTTATTATACTTTTATTGGGAAGTGTGTCCAAAGTTGGATGATCATGGAAAGATGAGACAAGAAATGATTCTTGTCTGTAACTCCATTCAACGTGATTTACAACATCCAAATGAATTCATCAGAGGTAATACTTTAAGATTTTTATGCAAATTAAAGGAGGCTGATTTGTTGGAAACTTTAGTGCCCAACGTCCGTCAATGTCTTGAACACCGTCATGCGTACGTGAGAAAAAACGCTGTCTTTGCCCTTTATTCAATTCATAAAGTTTCAGACCATTTAGCTCCCGATGCAGATGAATTAATTTACAGATTTTTGTATGAAGAATCTGATGCTGTTTGTAAAAGAAATGCATTCGTTTGTTTAGGTGATCTCAATAGAGAAGCAGCTTTACAATACATTCAAGATAATGTTTCAATTATTGAAACGTTAGATCCATTGTTACAATTGGCATTTATTGAATTTATTAGAAAGGACTCAATTCAGAATCCTTCATTAAAACTGCAATATGCACAATTAGTAACTGAAGTAATTGAAAGTACTTCGTCTAATGTCGTTACTTACGAAGCTGCTACAACTTTAACCGTATTATCATCCAGTTCACAATTAATTTACTTAGCTGGTAGCAAGTTCATTGAATTGGCAACTAAAGAGGCTGACAATAATGTTAAAATTATTACCTTAGAGAGAATCAAAGAACTCCATAAGCTTCATCCTAGTGTCTTACAAGATTTGTCGTTAGAGATTTTACGTGTATTATCATCTCAAGATTTAGATGTTCGTAAAAAAGCTATTGATGTTACATTACAATTTATCACTAGTAGAAACGTCGAAGAAGTTGTCAAATTATTGAAGAAAGAATTACAAAGAACCTCTTCCTCCAATGAAGATAAGAATTCAGAATATAGACAATTATTAATTAATGCTATTCACCAATTGGCTATCAGATTCGTTGAAGTTGCAGCAAATGTGATTGACTTGTTATTAGAATCCATGAGTGATTTGAGTACAGCTGCAGCATATGAGGTCATAACTTTCATTAAAGAGGTTGTCGAAAAGTTCCCAGATTTAAGACAATCTATATTAAGTAGATTAATTGAGGCCTTACCATCTGTTAAAAGTGGTAAAGTATTCCGCGGCTCGTTATGGATCATTGGTGAATACTGTATGGAAGATAAATTAGTCCAAGAAGCTTGGAGATATATCAGATCTAGCATTGGTGAAGTTCCAATATTAGCTAGTGAAAAGAAATCATTAGAAGGTAATGAGAATAATGAAGAAGATGAATCAAATGGGTCTGTTCAAAAGCCTAAGAAAAGACCGGTTGTTTTACCTGATGGTACATACGCTACAGAAAACGCGTTGACCACAGAAATGAAATCCTCAACTGATGAGGAAAGACCACCTATTCGTAAACTCATTTTAGAGGGTGATTTCTACTTGGGTTCCGTTTTAGCCTCTACCTTAGTTAAATTGGTATTAAGGTTACAGCGTAATGCTACTCAAGAAAAATACTTAAATGCATTAAAAGCAGAAGCTATCTTGATCATGGTGTCGATTTTGAGAGTTGGTGAATCATCTTATGTTGCTAAGAAAATTGATGAAGATTCTGCTGACAGAATTTTCTCATGTGTAAAATACTTGACTGATGAAGAAGATAGCCAATTAATACAAGGTAGTTTCTTAGATGATACTAAGGATGCATTCAAATCTCAAATAGAAACTGCTGAGCTTGAGAAGGCTGAAGCTGAAGCCAAGGATTTCCATGCAAATGCTGAACAAGTTGACGATTCTATTGTTTTCAGACAATTTGATAAAAATAATACAACGCGTAATTCTAACTTGGATGATCTTTCTTTAGCTGCTGGTAGTGATTTAAAGAAAGAAGATTTATCCTCCAGATTAAACAAGATCTTACAGTTAACAGGTTTTTCGGACCCTATATATGCAGAGGCCTTTGTTAAAGTTCATCAATATGATGTTGTCTTGGATGTTTTATTGGTAAATCAAACGACAAATACTTTACGTAATTTATCCGTTGAGTTTGCTACTTTAGGTGATTTGAAAGTTGTTGATAAGCCTGCAACTGCTAATATTGGTCCACATGGATTCCACAAAATCCAAACAACTATTAAAGTTACTTCAGCAGATACAGGTGTTATTTTTGGTAACATAGTATATGATGGTCAACACTCAGATGATTCAACTATAGTCATTTTGAATGATGTTCATGTTGATATTATGGATTACATTAAGCCTGCAACATGCACTGAAAGTACATTCCGTAAGATGTGGAATGAATTTGAATGGGAAAACAAGATTACTATCAAAGCACAAATGGATTCGTTAAAGGATTACTTGGAAGAAATGATGAAGGGTACAAATATGAACTGTTTAACTCCGGGTGCTATTATTGGCGAAGAATGTCAATTTTTGTCAGCCAATTTATATTCTCGTTCATCATTCGGCGAAGATGCATTAGCTAACTTATGTATTGAAAAACAAAGTGATGGGCCAATCATCGGTCATGTTAGAATTAGATCTAAGGGTCAAGGTTTAGCATTATCATTAGGTGATAGAGTGGCTTCTATATCTCGTAAAGCCCAAAAGGCTAACATTGCTCGTGTTTGAGTGAGCTTCTTAATTCTGACTATATATTTTTATATTGTTTTATTGTTTCATAGTTTTTAATAAAAAAAGGCTAAAGTATGAGTTCGTGTATTATTTATATAATTATTCTTTTTCTACCTCTGAGGTAGGTTTAAGAAACGATTTCGAATAGATATATTCTAGCGCCTTATTTACATGTTCATCTAATACTCCTCTGTTGATATCTTGCACTTGAAACAAGCCAGCATTATCAAATACGCTAACGGCTCTCAACTGATTAATTTTAGAATCGTCATTGTAATCAAATCTCGTCTGAGCTGAAGAAAATGATGCATCTATAGTTAGCATAAGAAAATTAAACAAGGAATTGAAATCACCTTTCAATCGTACCGATATCAAACGTGGGTTGTTATTGTAGTTAAAAAGACTCGATATGTCGAATTCTCTCAATCCACAATTATCAGCCACTTTATTTATTTCCAAGTACAGTTTCTCATCATTGTATGACCCTTGGAGAAGAACGTTTATTTTATAATTTGGAGACTTTAATGTGTATGATTCACTTGGAATCAAATTATTCAATCTTGCATTCAACACGAACGCAACGTATACTGCAGCTCTCGATATTGAGATAATATCCCCATATACGAAAAGAATTCTATCTATCACCCCCTCTACCAGCTTCGATAATGCTATACCACTTATTCCAAAGTTTTCTTTCAAATATTGACTTATTTCGTCTTCTCTAAATTCAAAATATTCTGCTTCTGAGGTGCATAGTAAGAATTTTATATTCAATTGTTTCTGTTTTTCACTAACTGTGACTTTCACACCCATCCTCTTCAAGTTATTCACCACCTTACTGTCATCAGGTACGTTATCTTGTCCATTGGTTCTACTTGTGGAATAGTTCTTTGGTTTGGGGTCATCTAGCGCTAGTAACCCTTCGTTTGAATATGATGTAATCGAAGGAGAAAAATTTCGTCTTCTCTTTCTGAAAGATGATGCCTTATATGGCTGTCTAGTATCTGTAGGTGCCATTAGCTTGATACTGTCTGGCTTAAATTAGTTATACAACTAGTGTAGATATAGATAGGCTGGTCGTTCAATAACCAGGGTTATTCATTTTGGATTTTGTGTAATTTCCTTTTACTATGGCATCGCTTGATGAAATTTTTTTATACTGAAAAGTCAAGTAGCATTGGGTGAAGAAATTATTATACAAGTAATAAACAAATAGGAAAAGATGGCTAAGAAGGAAAAGGTTTCTAAATCAGAAGACGCTGAAGATAACTACGAAAAGAGAATGTCGGCAGTTTTGCCATTCGCTAAACCATTGGCATCAAAGAAATTAAATAAGAAAGTCTTGAAGACCGTTAAGAAGGCATCTAAAGCCAAGCATGTCAAGAGAGGTGTCAAGGAAGTTGTTAAAGCATTGAGAAAGGGAGAAAAGGGATTGGTTGTCATTGCTGGTGATATTTCACCACCAGACGTCATCTCGCACATTCCAGTATTGTGTGAAGATACTTCAGTCCCATTTGTTTTCATTCCATCCAAAGAAGATTTAGGATCAGCAGGTGCCACCAAGAGACCAACATCTTGTGTTATGGTTGTTCCAGGTGGAGGAAAATCCAGCAAAAATGCTAGCAAGACTGATGAATATAGAGAAGGATTTGACGAAGTTGTTAAGGAAATTTCAACCTTAGAATAAGCATTTTATTTCATGAAATTAAGAGCTGTGGATCTATAACTAGATGAAGCACCCAATCCTTGATGTAAACTAGATCAAGCAAGAAAAAATCATAATCAGTGTCAAAGCTAACTGATAAATTCCTGTAAATTTATTAAATTAGAAAAATGCCCATTAGCATGGGCCATCCAATATCTTTCCTTCTTTCTCCCTTTTTATATCATTAATTATTTTTGTTAATCTGGCATGTCTGTATGTACATTTTTATATTGCGTAATAAATTTAAAAGATACTTCATTAGTAGGTGGGAATCGTGAAATAGCCCGACTCATTACTCGCAATTACAACTTGGATCAAGTGACTATTCAAACATCATAGCACCCTAATGCAATTAGCTACATGAATCCAAAAGGCTCCAATATGTAGCTAAGGCGTATCTAAGGCCTATTAACAAGAAAAAATATGTCAAGTGCCTCAAAAATAGGTGCTCAAATCATTTCTTTTGCAGCGGTATACTATCAGAATCAATATACATCCAATTGTATCAAGAGTTGAGCTCTAAACTCCAAACTAAAGATTATTTATTTCTACTCCCATCGCAGTCACTCCAATCAACAGTTAAACGCTCAGGTGTAATACTAAATCATGATACTGGGTGCGAAAGTTGCGAAATTGCGACCACGAAACATGTAGCATGGCAAATGTACTATCGCAAGTAAGATCAACAAAGATCTTGCAGAAGTGAATATCATCATGTACTTCGTGGGTGTGAACAATCCAAATGCATTTGCGATGTTTTTACGTCGTGGTATTCTAGCCCGCAGAAACTCCACATACACGTTTTTCCAACATTTAGCCTACCGTTCCTCTCCACACCAAAACTCTACAAGTCCACACTCTAATTCCGCTTTTACCATACTACAAATCTGCCTGGCGAATAAAATAGCATTGCAAATTTACTTTTTCTATATATCTATTCTCAGTTGGCCCCAATATCAGCCATAACCTACCCCATTTAGTGCTATTTCACCCTTACGAACCTTACGAACCTTACGAATCTTACGAATCTTACCGGTCTTGGGTAGCAACTTCCGACACTATGCATTACATTTTGTCCCACTCTATCGGATCGCATCGAACTCTCTATTTTGCGCCTCAGCACCTCTAATCTGGCCCCCGAAGCAATGGCTGGCTGGTGAATCCAACAGCCTTGATATCATGATGCCCGCTTTCCCCTGGACCATGGAAATATCCACAAGGACACTCGTCCTCCCGGGTATCCATTCCACTCCCATCTCCGAGCCCCGAAATCTCGCGCAAATCCTTCGCATCGTTACTCATCGAAGGTGTAACGAGCCCACTATTCCTGTTGATAACCGTCCCGTTCTCTAGCACTCTACCTGACTCTTGGAACCCTTCATTCTTCTTCATACTCAAAAGCATTTTATCTATATTTTCCTTACTTTCTATCCTTCTTTTCTTGATCTCAATCGTACTACGACTTTCTTTTAAATAATGAACTGCCATGTGGTTTTTTTATATATACAACTTCCTTTTTTTATATTATAATAATATTCTATATGCCCAATTTTTCCTCCGTGTTGGTTATTTAAGCCGTTCACCGCTTTTACGAGGGGATGGAGCCTTATTTCAACAATGCACAGACCATTTTTTGCAGGCCCTTGTGTCTGATTTTTTTTCTTTTTTCTGATCACAGAGCTGAGGATTATGTCACGTGACTCTGGGGCCTTGGTGGCTGGAGCTTTGCGATTTTATCATGATCTATACGACTAGGGCGGTTAAAGATAGCGGCATCTGATAGTTAATCTTGGGAACAAAAAGGTATATCAGTGATCAATATGGGTATAAAAAAGATGTTTAAGAAGAAGGAACCCACCGAGGGGGAAATTCGAGACGAATTAGCGCATATTGGGGTGACTACCAAGTCCCAGAACAAAACCAGAGACGAGAAGTTTGGGGCGTTCAGAAATTATGCTCAGGAGAGACAAAATGCTAAACCAGGGTTTCAGCCGGTAAACCCGTATGCTAATGTGAATAATGGTAACGGTAATAGCAACCCGTATGCACAACAAGGGGGTGGTGGTGGAGCTGACGGGGGGGCAGCGGATGGTAATAATAGTTCGCCATATGACACGCAGACCAATCCTTATGGAAGCAGAAGCGAAAGGGCGAGTAATCCATATGGAAATGGGGGAGTGAGTTCAGGTGCGAGAGGTGAGAGGGCTGGGGGCCGGAATGGGCAATCGAATCCATATGGAGGGGCGTCGGCATCGCGAGCAGGTGGGTCGAAGCCAAATCCATATGGAGCGGTACAGAATGAAGACACCGAGTCCATAAATACGGCGGTGACGGGTTATGCGGATCCGTACAGCAATGAGACGGCTCGTGCATCGAGACAGAGCACCAGAAGACCACGGGCGTACGACGAAGAGTCGTTGGATTTGAATGCAATTCCTTCAAACCAGGTGTACACATCTACCAAGCCAATAAGGAGGACGCAAATGGGTGATGATGAGACGTTAGACCTTAATGAGTTACCCGAAGAAGACGACTTGAATGTTGATGTGGATGATTTGCCAGAACAGGAACAGGTGAACTCAGAGGATGAAGAAGTTGAAGCCATCAAGCAGGATATCAGATTCGTCAAACAGGAATCGGTCGGTTCCACCAGAAATACGTTGAGAATGGCACAAGAAGCTGATGCATCGGCTACCAACACCCTCGGGATGTTGGGGTCACAATCGGAAAGATTGTATAACGCGGAACTGAATTTGCTATTGGCAGATACTCAGAGTAAAATTGCCGATCAGAAGGTTAAAGACTTGAAGAGATACAACAGGTCGATTTTTGTGCCTGCGTACGGTAATCCATTTAATAAAAAGTCGAGGTTGCGTCAACAGGAAATGCAAATAAAAGCAGAGAAGGCACAAGAAAAATACCTCAGAGACACCAACCGTAAAGAAATGTATGCGAGTGAACAGAGAATCAAGCAGGGTATCAATCAAAACGCCACCAATTCCGACATTCATCAAAAATATAGAAACGAGAGAGATTTGGAAGCCGCCAAAAGATATCAATTCGAAAATGATAGTGAGGACGACGAGATGGAAAAGGAATTGGCCAGCAACTTGGACCAAATTGGATTGTACTCCAAGAAGTTGCAAAGTTCGGCCTTAACTATGGGTAAAGAAGTTGATAGTCAAAACCAGAGATTAGGAAAGATTGAGGAAGATGCCGATAGATTAGATATTAATGTGCATATGAATAGTGCCAGGTTGAACAATATTCGATAATCTTATAAACTTTATTATATTACTAGTATTTTATAGTCTAATTACATACAAATAACATTATATAGTGAACTATTTTAGTTTGACTCCTCAATATTAAATTATTATTTTGAATGCTATAATTCGTTTAGTTAGCATATATCTGTTCATAGATTTGATTTAAATTCACCTTCTACTATTGTTAAAATAACATGACCACCAGAGTTGAATGATTCAACCAGTGGATCGAGATTTTGCAGTAATTTCTTATTCTTATTAGTAAAAGTCTTAGTCATATTTTCATAGCTCCCTGACTAATCTATAAACTTTCAACCGGCATTAAGATCCCTTAAGGGCGGCGAAACCGGCTCCATTTGTATATTGGTTGTTCATTGATGTCATGTTTCATAGTATCGTTATGTTTCTTGGTTACGGTCGTGTATTGTTCATAAGGATCACTGTAAGGGATCTAAATATCTTGATGTTTGATTCACTTCAGATAGATAAACAGTACTCACCCAATTGATGTATATGCAAGATGAACGTTCATCCAAATCAGCATCATAATATTCAAATAAAAGAAAGCTTTCTTGTTGGAAGAAGTTTGCTTAATTTTACGTCGATTTTCGTATCATTAGGTGTCTTCTTGTTTGGTTTTGAACAAGGATTGATGTCTTCGTTATTGACTAACAAATACTTCAAGAACTATTACAAAAACCCAAGTCCAGCAGCTGTTGGTACGATGATTGCCATCCTTGAGATTGGTGCTTTATTTTCCTCTTTTGTTGCGGGTAAAGTTGGCGATCACATCGGAAGAAGACGTACTATACGCTGTGGTTCTTTTATCTTCGTAGTGGGGGGGTTGATTCAAACCTTTTCGGTCAATATTATAAACTTAGGGGTAGGGAGATTGATAAGTGGTGTAGCAATTGGGTTTTTGACTACTATTATTCCGTGTTATCAATCCGAGATCAGTCCACCTGATGATAGAGGATTTTATGCGTGCTTAGAATTTACAGGTAACATTATTGGTTACTCTACGAGTATTTGGGTGGATTATGGCTTTTCGTTTATAGAGAACGATTATTCATGGAGAACTCCATTAGCCATTCAATGTATCATGGGCGCCCTTTTGTTTTTAGGCTCGTTCATTATCGTAGAAACTCCAAGATGGCTCTTAGATCATAATCACGATATCGAAGGAATGATTGTGATTTCTGATTTGTATGGTGATGGTGATGTGGAAGACGAATTATCTAAAACTGAATATAGAAATATTAAGGAAAACATTCTCATTGCAAGAGTGGAAGGAGGGGAACGTTCGTACCGTTATATGTTAACGAAGTATAAGAAGCGTCTTTCTGTTGCATGCTTTTCGCAGATGTTTGCACAATTAAATGGTATTAATATGATTTCCTATTATGCGCCTATGATTTTTGAGCTGGCTGGATGGGTTGGTAGACAAGCCATTTTAATGACTGGTATTAACTCCATAGTGTACGTTTTAAGTACAATCCCACCATGGTATTTGGTTGATGGTTGGGGCAGAAAGCCATTATTAATGTCTGGTGCTATAGTAATGGGTATACCATTATTGGTAATTTCGTATTCGTTATTCCTTGATAACATTTACACTCCAAACATAGTGGTTGTGTCTGTGATTATATTTAATGCTGCATTTGGTGCAAGTTGGGGACCAATACCATGGATGATGAATGAGGTTTTACCCAATAGTGTTAGATCTAAAGGTGCAGCCATGTCCACTGCCACAAATTGGTTATTCAACTTTATCGTAGGAGAAATGACCCCAATTTTATTGGACACTATTAAGTGGAGAACCTATTTGATATCTGCCTTCTCGTGTGGATTATCATTTTTATGTGTTCACTTCTTATTTCCGGAAACAAAAGGGTTGACCTTAGAAGACATGGGTTCTGTATTTGATGACAACTCGTCTATTTTCTCGTTCCATTCAGGCGCATCCAGTGGAAATAATGCATCTGCTACTTCCATTAATAACTACGGGGCTGCAGATAGTGGTATCGAAGTCCGCAGAACTAGTATCTCTGTGGAAACCCCAAATCATGCAAACATAGTTAACGAAGCATTCCGCCAATCCCCAGCTTCAATTGCTCGTAATCCAAAGACCAAGCCAGAATTGGATGGCCTCATTACTGGTAATCCACCACCTGTACCATCAGACCTCCAGGCCTTAGACTCTAATGTTCCCCCACAGGAAATCGAACCTCCTTCCTTCGATGTCATTTTCAAGTATAAAGTACGCCAATTAGAGACACCAAACATATTCCAAAAGGCCTTCCGTGCAATTTCAGGCAAAAATTCGTTCAAACCACCACCTATCGACGAAGAACGTACTTTGCTCTCGAATAACTGAATCTTACTACACTACAAATTCAATTCTTCCCGTCAAATACATAGATTTATATATCAGTTACGTATTTTTCTTTATAAATTCTACACAATTGTACTTTTTGACTGCGTATGATCTCTTACTTTTGTAGGTTTAATCTCGTCTATTTTATGTTTCTCCTTTTCATGTATTGTATATATTTGTCACCTGGTAACAATAAAGGAACAAAGGACAGTCGCACAATAGTCTAAATAGTTACATCTGTTAAATGTATACAAACATGTTTGCTTAGAGATTGCTTTGCGACTTAAGTACAGTCTTGCAGCCCCAATATACAATCCTATTGTTTCATATTACTCTAGGCGATTTTGATGTCGATGCTTTGACGCGCTTATAACATACACCACCCAAACAGAATAACACATTAACTACGGAACGAATTAAATATAAGCGTAACTAAGAAGTTTCCGTATACATTGTTATGTAATTTCGTGTAGCAAAGTTTCATAGATTCTCAAACTCTTTGAGGAGTTTAATACCATAATTTACTCTATAACGGTTTGTTTATGCAAAACAATCAGAATATCTTTTGGTTACGTCATTGATTGTACCCCTTGCATTGTTTTCATGTTTTTATTTGAATTTTAAAACCGTACCTGATTTGTGTCAGCCGAAGATGTCATTATGATATAAATAAAGTATAAATCTACTATTTTTTATGTAAGGAGACTGATGGAAGTCTAGTCTTATTAAATAGTGAACCTTAGAATTCAATCGTTAATATATACAATATGGCTAATACAGAATTGCTTTTAGACACATCTGCTACAACTTCATTTACGGACCAAATGAGTTCTGCTACTGGGTTAGATAACTTGCAGTTAGTCACCTCATTATCCATGAGTAAAGGTCAGCATCAGGATGCTGCTGAGATAAGTAATAGTGCCAACGACGATATTTTGGTTGCTTCATCGTCAGCTGCAGATGCTACAGGTTCATTCAAAGCTAGTTCTGCACTTCGCACTTTAACGCTACAGAGCAGTGCCTCGGGTAGCTCCAGTGGTTCTGGTGAACTGTCATCCTTGGCCGCAAATACCGGTCTGATGACATCTGCTAACATGGGTGAAGGCAACAAGTCAAACATGAAGATGAAATGGGCGTATTCATCATTTGTTGTAGCATCTTTTATCCTCGGTTGTATATAAGCCCACTCACATCTTGTACTATACCTATTTTTTTGGCATGGTTTGCTGCTGATATTATGAAGGAATGATTAGCATGTTATGTTCTCGTGCTAAGACGACCGTTATTTGTTTTATACCCAAAATGGAAAGCATTTATTTCTACTTATTTAATTAAATACATGATTTTAATGATACAACTAATTTTACTAATAGTCTATTTCGTTGTAAGAATTTCTCCAATGCTTGAAGAATGATTTGAAAATATTAACTCCAAGACCAACCTCTTTGAACCCACACATAGCTCGTATACTGTGCATGGATAGCTGTGGTAAGCCCACATCAATGACTCTTGCACCCGTGTCGCATGCTAACGCGGGACCTATAGTACTACCCGATCTGCCATCGTTTCGAATATGGAATGTCTGTAACTGCTGGTTTTCTTTACGTGCAACATCCCCCAATAAAGCTAGACCAATTGTGTCCGTCATGACATGTCCATTCGGGTCGATTTTGATTGTGAGTCCTTTGTTTGGAACAGGAAAATGATCCTTCAAATATGCCTGTTTAAAATTCGGGTTCAATGCATGTGTTACATCTGCTGAAAGTATGACTGAATTTGCAAATACTAAATTAGCATCAGATGACTTCTTACCTCTAATAGATATAACCCTATCCAAAACAGCGTTTAGAAATTTACCTTTTGCTCCCGTTCTAGTTCCCGAACCAATTTCTTCGTTATCAACTAATAAAACTGCATTAAAACCATCATATTCTTTAAAGTTTTCATTGAAAGTTTTACCAAATTCAATCAAACTATAGATAGCAGAAAATGAGCATAATCTATCGTCAATCCTGGGAGCAAATATAAATTCCCTAGAAAGGCCACCCCTGGTGGCATTTTGAACATCAAATAACTCTAATTCAAGCTCAACTATTTGGTCTAGTGGCGTTTCCGATATCTTAGATATATACCGCAATAATTCCAAAGGATGCTTTTCATATAATGGGCTTGCTTTCTCGGTCTCACTGGGTTCTTCCTTATTCTCTCCAAAACCAACTATAGGCACCATTTGTGTTTCTTGGTTATATTTTTTGTCCGCAACTTCCCCGAAATGTTCAGCTAATTTGGGGATTTTTGCAATTGGATGGGGAGACGATTTAACCAACTTTCTTGTGATAGTACCATCTGCCTTTCTCACAAGTATCGTGCCCCCGATTCCGAAATCCCTATCTAAGCATAAATCAGTCAAAGTCGAGCTATAGCCAGCTACCCCGAGCATATTGTATCCATTTATACGCTTGTGCTTGGAAATAGGCTTGAGCTTAATTGATAGCGAGTCAACGTGAGACCCAATAACCCCAATTCCCCTCGTTGCATCCCATTCACCACCTATAACAAATCCAACAATACTCAAGTTCGATCTCACGGTATAAAAGAGCCCGCCTTCATTGACCTGTTTCGATATCTCGTCTCCTATTGGCGTATCCTCGGCAATGTATCTAAACCCATGTTCCTCCAAGATTGTCCTGAAATAGTCAATTACATGGAATGTGGTAGGATTATTATCTGTAAATTCCAAATATTTATCTGCATACTTCTCGAAGAACTCTGCTGATTCATCTAGTTGGTAATTCGATTCTTTTGTATTATCCCCTAGCCCGTTCTGGAGCTGGCTTATCTGGCTTGTATCACCTAGTTGTTCTGTTTCTATGTATTCAAATTCATCATCTGTGGTCAATTCATCATCCGTCGAGCATAGCTGATCTTTATTCATCATTTTATGTACTTCTTTTCACTTATCGTTGTAGTTCTTTCTACATCTACACCCCTATGTGGTCTACGATAAGGAAGTACTTATAGTACTATCACGTGTAGTACAATAAAACATTTTTGGTTCATGGACGCGTATAACCATCCACTTATATGAAAAATATATAACTATACTAGAGTCAATTCAACCATAATGATTAGGTCTTCTACTATTACGGTACATTGGCATGATGAGAATCAGCCAGTCTATTCTGTGGATTTTCAACCGAATTATGAGGGTATAAAAAGATCATCTCGGTTAGTTACTGGTGGTGGGGATAATAATGTCAGAATATGGAAATTGGTCTATAATAGCGAAACAGGGGATAATACAGTAGAATATTTGACAACATTGAGAAAACATACTCAGGCGGTGAATGTTGTAAGGTTCGACCCAAGGGGAGAGATACTAGCTACGGCAGGAGACGATGGAACATTGATACTATGGACATTGTCAGATCATATAGTTAAGGAGTTTGGAGCTGAGGAGGATGACGACGTGCAAGAATCTTGGGTTGTTAAACATATATATAGGTCTTCTACATCAGAGATATACGACTTATCGTGGTCTCCTGATTCAAGGTTCATTGCGACTGGATCAATGGATAACATAACTAGAATCTATAACGTTTCAACAGGACAGCAAGTTGGACAGCTAGCAGAGCATAACCATTACGTGCAAGGTGTTGCATGGGACCCACGAAATGAATTTTTGGCTACACAATCGGCTGACAGGTCGGTGCATATATATTCGTTGAAAAAGAATGAAGAGAAGAATGACATTCAACTAGTGCCCACCACGTATTTCAAGATTACAAAGGCAGAATTGCCAAGCACCAAACTTTCCATATATGATGATGTGCAGAAAAAGTCTATAACGGAAATTGACAATATTGATGAGCTTGATAATGAGCCAAAAGAAAGTAAAACCGCGACACCTATGAGTCCACCTTCGATCCATAGTGTCCAAAACGTCAAATCTCCTGCAAAACAAGTCAAGAAAACATTATCCACCGATACGCTACCAGCAGTGAGACCGATATCGACTAACCCGAAGTCATCATTATCAATAGGAATGAGGAATACCTTATTATATCATTCGGAAACATTACAATCTTTTTTCAGACGATTAACATTTTCTCCAGATGGAAGTTTACTCTTGACACCTCTGGGTGTATTTAAGACAGAATCGAGTTCTAAGTCACCAAATAAAACAGAAAGCAGCGATGACATAACTAACACAGTGTATGTTTATATTAGGTCAGGATTAAATAAATCCCCTGTCTGTCACATACCGGGCTTAAAGAAGCCAGCAATTGCGATTTCCTTTTCACCAATTATATATAAGGTAAACGAAAAGACTGAAAAGGAACCAGTTTTCAAGTTACCTTACAAGATGATCTTTGCAGTAGCGACGCAAGATTCGGTAATAATATATGATACTGTGAAGCTTAAGCCATTAGGTTTCGTATCAAATTTACACTATTCAACAATTACAGACTTATGTTGGAACAAAGATGGGCAAAGCATTGTTGTTGGTTCTGCTGATGGATTTTGTTCGAATATAGCATTTGACAATGGAAGTTTTGGGGAAGTGCATGCTAATTCAAGTGATAATTGCAAGTTTTGGGAATCAAATTTAAACTCAAACATTGATGGAAATGCTATTGGTGAACAGAAGGAAACGGAAATGGTGATTAATGAAGAGAAACCAAAGGAGAAAGATTCCAATGATAGGAAGACCATAATAAATATGCTAAAAGAAAATGAAGTCAAGTCGCAAAAGTCAACTCAGGACAATGAATCAAAGACTGCTAACCAACAGTTCTCGATAGATCAATTTAGAGCGAAACCAATAGAGAAGCAAGACTCGGAACAATTAAAGAAGAAAAGGAAAATAGTCCCTACATTAATAACTAAATAGAACTATTTACCAATATATACATCATAACGCAACTTCATTTTGTAATTGAGAGGCCAATCTTTTTCTGGCTTGTAAAATCATTTCTTCTCTCTTTCTGTTCAATAATGATGTTCTCTCCTCTTTACTAGAACCCCATTTATTGTCATCGATGTTTTCTATTTCTTCACCTTCGTCGTCTCTAATTTTTGATTTCAAGCCATACTTGTCAATCAAATTTTCAGGCTCTTTTTTCGTTACTTGTGAATGTTCACTTATATCTGGCTGTAAATTCAGAGTAGAGGCAGATTCTCCTGGTGGGAATGGTAAACTGCCAGTTTCCATATACCTTTCCATAGTTAACTCGACCGAACCTGATCTTTCTAAGTCCATTCTAATTTGGCCTCTTGTTAATTGAGGAGCTATAGTTTGAACCACCTCAATCATATCATCAGAAACATCCCTTCTTGATCTTCTGTTAGTATTATTGGTAGAGTTGGAACTATTAGTAGATCTATTAGAATTATTAGCCGAATTATTTGCAAGAGCCTCGTTTAATTCATTAGGTAACTGAGGTGGGATTGGAGCAATTAACCATCTCAAAAAGATAAATGCAATACCTAGCACAGCAATAAATACAATAGTTGAATTATCCATTTTGCTTTAATAGAGGATAGAGGATCAACATAGAGTCTTGAACGCCGCTGTTCGTCTAATCTACTACAGTAAGACATATGTTACACAAAACAAAATTATCATTTACCACGTAGATAATGTAGAAAGATTAATGAATATATTCGACTATAATTTGATACTAATGGGAGCATAATGGAAGACATGATTCTCTAAAAACTTGGCCTAGTCCATTTAGAAGAATTTCTTAAAAGCAGCTTTTTTCGATTGTGTTGATTACTCAAATACAACAAATACAGATCTGACAAACTAAAGCTTGACTTATAAGCATTTATCTGGATCCTTCAAATCCCTTAAGATATCTCCTGACCCAGAATTCAACTTGTAGAATGAATGGTAATGAAGACGTAATGGCTACTTCTTGTTTATTTGAAAGATAGCTTAAAGTCCTTGTCCTCATTCCTCACGGTATATATGAAATTAGCAATGATCTCGTTTTCACGGCATGGTAAGGCCAAAAAGTGCTTTTTCAAGTTGTTCGAGAGTTCCGGCTTGCTTATTTTGTTCTTATTGTTTTTAGCTGTAAAAGTTTTCTTGCCTATCTCTGAACTTAATATGTGCCCGTTAATTGATAATGGTGGGGGAAAATTCAATCCATACTTTCTGTTATATTTCTCAAGAGTTTCTTCGCTAAACGAGTTGAAGTCTAACGGATGGGGTTTAGGTTTATCGTGCGGTCCATTTGAGTTTATATGCTTTAATAAGAATTCTTGTTGAGCAGCTTGAGCTGCAGCATTTCTGGCCTTATTTGAAGCTCTAGAATTACTGGGTTGTCTTGACTCGGATTCGGATGCTGATTCTTTATGACTTCTAAGTGCCATGGTTTGTTATCTCAATTTATAACACTAATGTGCTCCCAATAAACATATATAGAGATCAAGCATGGGTACTTCTCAATTCAAATGTCGCGTAAAATCCCGATTTCAGAAATGTCGTGCCCAAAAGGTGTTGCAGCCATTTATCTATAGTAAGACTAGGACAATACCTTTAACTACAAAATTACTTATGAAATACAAGGTACATTTAATCGGCATATGATTCATTTGATGTGAATATATTGCTATTAAAGAAGAAAGAAAACTCTCTGCTCTTGTTAAAGAACAAACATGCTGCTATGAGAATATTTAGCGTTTATACGCCAGTTTCAATGTCTTAGAAGTGAAAAAGGGCAATAATACAATGGAAGAGGAATATGCGGTTCATGCAATAAAATAGATCTAGCGGTATCTAACCATGACGATACTTTGTACGCTTTTCCCATGCATAGTTAATTGACTTGATAATTCCTGCACTAAATATGCCTTTAATTGTTTGTATGAAAGCCGGAAGTGCTACTGTGAATTTGATGCTGTTCACGAGATTTTTCCTCAAAAGGGGATCCATGGCAATGGCTCTTGTAAATGGACCGATTTCAGTGTTTATGCTTATATTCTGTCCATTGATGACGGATTCAGCCTTCAGATCTTGCGATAATTCTTTGGCAAATGTTGATTCATAATGCTTATATAACTTACGCCTGAATTGCAACGGCAAGCTTCCGATTATTCTGGCCGCTTTATCGGTATCTAGATTCTTTCTAAAATTTCTTTTCGAACTGTTGGGCTCGAGTTCAATAATAATATTATTTTCAATAAAGAAGTTTAATAATGGGTTGTAAAGCTTTTGGAAATTCTCAAATTGCTTTCCAACAATGTTTCTGGCCTTATTTGGGTTTTCACCACCTATTAACATCCGCGGATCTCCCATGTACGATATTTTTGCTATGGTTTCATATAATTCTATTTCGCTAAACTCTGTCGATTTAATCAAAAATAAACCTAACGAAACAGCGTTTTTTAAATTGTACTGATTAATGAATTTTATTGCTGGGTCGGCATCCTTCAAGTATTTCACTGGCTTCTGTAGTCTCCCTGCTATGTACAACGAAGACCATTCGCTTAAATCAATCAAACTCTTCTCAACCGATATTATCCCATATTTGATTATGTTATTCTTTTTGCTTTCTGTATTCATCAATATATACGGATTAAAGTAAACACCTGCGCCATATTCCTGGATTTTCAGTATAATCGCCGGCCCAAACATCCGTATGCCTGAATAGTGTCCCGCATACTGCTTCAAGTTCTGTTCGTGAAACTCAGCCGGACTATCCACCATATGGATCATATCAATTTGCGGTTTCTTTGACTTCTTATACCCCGATTGTTCAAACACCCCTGATCCATAGCCAATCGAGAACTTTATTGGACTTTTAAAATTACGTATTAATTGACTCAATTGTTCGTCATTGTTACTGCTAATGACTTGATTCGAACCATAATTCTCAGGAATAATGTGCCTCGCAAGACCTTTGTAGCCTTGATCAATTACCTCCTCATAAATTTTATCCGAGTATACGTTAGTGGAAGAAGTAGAGTATCTTGGTCTACCATTAATATATAAGTATCTTATTAATCGAATCTCATTCCGTATCATTTCTTGACACTTATCTGTTCGTTTACAATGTAATGCTTTTCAGGTGAAAAATTATTGGAAGCGTAATTTCTCATGTTAGGCCAGGGCTCCGGAACCGGGCGAGTTGAACAAAATTTATGGATGAATCATACTGATAAAGAAGACAATTAGCAAAAAGTTTGTTAGAAAACAGGTCAAAATTAACCAAAATGTCACAGTCACAATCTTATAGATCTACTCGTTCGTCAGGTACTCAATCTCTTTCTTTTGAAGATGTTGTTATGACTGGTTTAGCCAAGGATGGGGGATTATTCATTCCATCGGTTATTCCAAAATTACCATCAAACTTTGTCGACGAGTGGAAAGACTTGAGCTTCCAAGAGTTAGCTTTCAATATCATGAGATTATATGTTGCTGAAGCAGAAATTCCAAATGAAGATTTGAAAAGCTTAATTCACGCTTCGTATTCCACGTTCAGATCGGATGATGTTACTCCAATTAAGCCTATTGATGAGAAGAACGGTTTGTACTTGTTGGAATTGTTTCACGGGCCAACGTATGCTTTTAAAGATGTTGCCTTACAATTTGTGGGTAACTTATTCGAATACTTCTTGAAGAGACGTAATGCGAATGCTAAGAGCGTAGAAGATAGAGAAACTATTACTGTTGTGGGAGCAACTTCTGGTGATACTGGTTCGGCTGCAATCTACGGTTTAAGGGGTAAAAAAGATGTTTCTGTTTTCATCTTATATCCAACCGGTCGTATTTCTCCAATTCAAGAAGAACAAATGACCACAGTGGAAGATGCTAACGTACACACGTTATCAGTTAAGGGAACATTCGATGACTGTCAAGATATTGTGAAGCAAATTTTCGGAGACAAGGAATTCAACGACAAGTACCATGTTGGTGCTGTGAATTCGATTAACTGGGCTCGTATTTTGGCTCAAATGACTTACTATTTCTATTCATACTTTCAGTTAGTCAAACACTTAGGTGATGACTCTTCCAAGATAAGATTCGTCGTTCCATCCGGTAACTTTGGTGATATTTTGGCTGGTTACTACGCAAAGGAAATGGGCTTGCCTGCTGACAAATTAATCATTGCTACTAATGAAAATGATATCTTGGACAGATTCATGAAGTCTGGTCGTTATGAGAAATCTGGAGATCAATCCAAGCCAGCTGAAGTTAAGGCTACTTACTCTCCAGCTATGGATATTTTAATCTCTTCAAATTTTGAAAGATTGTTATGGTATTTGATTAGAGATAATTTGACCAGCAATGATGACAATAAAGCAGGTGAAATATTAAATGACTGGATGCAACAATTGAAGTCAACTGGTTCTGTCGTCGCCCCTGAATCTGTTGTTAAAGCTGCTAGAGTTAATTTCAGTTCAGAAAGAGTTAATGATGAAGAGACTGCGTCTACTATCAAGCAAATTTATCATAGCCATCCTGAAAAGTATGTCTTGGACCCACATACATCTGTTGGTGTCACTACTTCCTATAGATTTATCGAAAGGGATTCTGCTGATGGTGCATCCAACATAAAGTATATTTCGTTATCCACTGCTCACCCAGCAAAATTTGCTGAAGTCGTCAACGCATCTTTAACAGGTGTAGATGGCTATTCGTTCGAAAAGGACGTTTTGCCTGATGAATTGAAAGCTTTGTCCTCTAAGGAAAAGAGATTGAAATTAATTGATGAAGCCTCATTAGAAAAAATTAAAGCTACAATCATCGAGGAATTAGCTAAGGAACCAAAATAAGAATTATAATTTTGTCTTAAACAAACGTATTTCTATAAAATAATCTAATTTACATATAATTTAAAGCTTCCTTTTATATCTATTGTAGCTTTTGATCCTGGGTTTGTCGCAACTTGACATTTCCATCCTCAATTTGAACTTCATATCCCACTTGTCTTAACGCGTCATCGTCAATGGTTTGTTTCGCCTCTAAATCTGCTACAAATTGTTGGTTCTTCTCGTTATTCGCTAATAAGAACTTCACGCATACAATTGCTCTTTCTTTAATAAAAGGATCATTATCATCAATCATGCAATTCGATAAGACCAATTCCAATCCATGTAGTTCCCTCATTTTTTCTTGTATTTCGAATGAATCATGAACTAAAAATGCAATTACTTCAATGATTAAAGATTTAACTTGCGGAAACTCCTTTTTTCCTTCAAGATTCTCTATTTTCCCTTTATTCTTTAATGTCTTTCTCTCAACATTTTCATGTACTACCCTCAATAAGGATATTAATTCTTCAATAGCATTATAATGTTCTAAAAACTGCTTCGTGGCTTTAAATTTTCCTAGATCAGATAAGCAATCCAATAAAATGATTAGATTTAGATGAATGCTCTTTAATTCAATCGGATCATAAATCTGAGCTAACAAAACACTTTTAGATAATTCAGAAAATACCAAAAAGTTATCAAATATCCAAGCTAACATCGCTGTTAATTGATAGTTATCCCAATCTTCTTTTGATGTGACAATAATTTGGTTGATTTTCATTACTTTCAAAAACTCTTTACTCTTGCAATCTATTCCCTTCAACCATTTGCTATAAGTTTCATGTGCTATTATTTTTTGGAAAACTAATACCAATAAGGAAGAATATGGATCTAATTCTTCATTATGAATGTCCGCCTTATCCAATTCATTAATAATATATGTTAAAAGAGTATCATTATGTGTCAATACTTCGTATATATTATCTGAATTCTGCATGGTATTTTTAAGAAATGCTGCAAAAGGTATCTTCATTTGGTCATTATTTGCTATCCATTCCATTAGATTTTCATTCTTAAAGAATGTTTCAATGGTTTCCGCAACAATATCATCGTCTTGTGTGATACCCAGATTTGCAAGGCATTGAATATATACCACAAGTGTTTTCAGATAGAATTCATCATCATGCGGAACTCTAGAATCAAAACTCCTAAGATTAGAAAGAATCGTCTTGAACCCAATAAATTGCTTAGTGATAACCAAGTTTCTAGTTAAAAGTAACACCCCCCTCATAAGCCTAACATACAACGTGAATTTCAATTCCTCGTTTGGTACATTATCTTCAAAAGACTTATTCAAGATTTCTATCAATATATCTGGCAAATTATCATTGGAAAGAATCTTTGATCTATATTCTTGAGATTGGCTCGATAATGATACAATTTTTCCCAAAGCATCTAAACTTATTTGAAAATCTTCTATGTTCAGAGTTTCTTGTAACAAAACATTACGAATCCTACTGATAATATCTATAGAATTATTACAAAGGTCCGCTTCCATCTTCATAATGTACATATGTCCTACGATGACTATTTTTCAAAATCTAAAAATGATATGGTATATGTCACGTGATTGCAGTTTTTCACAGCCAAAGGCTTTCACCTTTCAGTAACACCTAGTTAGTTTAAAGATCACAGGCATGAGGATTCTTGATACAATATTTGGGGACTAAAGGACTTACATTATATCCCAAAGCTACCAAATATTCTCTGAAGTTAAAAAGGCGCTGCGTCAATGAATTTGTTCTTAATTTTTCTGTCCCTACAACTTTATTCCCACTCCACGTAAGCTCTGCAAGAGCAGCCGTCCTTGGCCATATTTTTTGGCTTAGGACTGTGCTATCAACCTGTTCAGACCATAGCGCTACTTCAACTCCTAAAATGTGATCTTTTTGTGCTTGACTCAAATTAGCAGCAAAATCATAGGAATAAATTCTCTGCCAGGTTTTGTAAGGATTACACCAAGAGCCACCATTTCCTCGATTAAATTCTTTATTTTTCTCTGAATCAATATACCTCAGATCATTGGTCACAAATCCCCCATATCCACAATCTAAGTACAAATGAGATGCAGTCGATATAATAATGTCATATCCAAGATCAGTCAACTCTTTGATACTACTTTCCCCAAACCTCCAACATTGCAATATCACATCCTTAGGTATTCTGATTGCACTGCTGGTACTTGTGACAATGTCTTCCCACATTGTTAAACGTCTTCCCTTGCGATTTCTAAAGATCGGTAAACTCTTGTCTAGCCAGTGCTGCATTAAATCCTTAACGGTCAACGAAGAATTTCTTTTGTACCAATCTTGAACATAATTCGAATAATCATAACAGACTTTGTTAACTTCATCAGCTCCAATATGAAAGACATGATCATTAAACAAAGAGCTTATTTCATCATAAACCTTTTTGACAACGGTGTACGTATGGTCATTCGCAATGTCTAGTTGTCCTGCTGGTGGCTCTACAGCAATGTTATGTGTCCATGGTATAGCTCCACAGGAAATGATCTCACTATCAATCTGTCTCCATCCAGCTCTCGCATGGCCCGGCATGTCTATTTCTGGTATGATTCTGACACCCCGTTCAGATGCGTACTGTACTATGTGTCTTATTTCCTCGGGGGTGTATATTTCCTCTTTCGAATATGCATCCACTGTCATTTCTGGATAGCTGGAAATATACAAGGGCCATGATTGGGAATCTTCTAGATGCCAATGCAAAGAATTCATTTTACTTAAAGACATTATGTCAATTTGTGCTAAAATAGACTCCACAGTTAAAAAGTTTCTCCCAGTATCAATCATCAACCCTCTATGCTGATATATTGGAGCATCCCATATCTCAAGTGATCCTTCTATGTAAAAAATTTCCTCATCATCGTCAAATACAACCAATTGTTGCAATGTGCTAAATGCGTGCAACGCTCCCCATACTGTCTCTGATACTATTCTTATTGCTTGCAGTTGACGATCTATTCTCAACTCATAAGTTTCATTTGTACCTAATTGTAGTGGTGAATTATAATCATTAATTATCACGTTTAGTTGATTTACCGTAGATACGTTTGCTTTATCCATGACGGTCTGAACTGTTTGCTTATACCTAGAATATTCTACTTCAGTTGCTGCTGGGGTCCACTTCAAATCCTTTATAGTGTTGAGCGTCCTATGAAATGCTCCCTTGATAATGGCACTTTCTCCGTTAATATTCAATTGCATATTTTCATCGAATTTTATGGTTAAATCATCTTTCCATAAAATATTTCTAGGTGCCGGTAAGGGATTAACCTTCATACCCAAAACAACATATGTTGAGATGAGAATTATAATCATTAATGTTGTCATCATGTTTAATATATTGGTGTATTTTGACTTTATATATCCTAAATTTATTAATCAATAGCACTAAATGGATTATGAACCTACGATAAAGACTGAAATGTATCTAAGTTTTTCGCAATTGGTGTGCAACAAAAATCTATAGAACACACTACAGAGAAAAGAAGATGCAAAAAAAAGCTTAACTAGACTAAATATATATTCTCTTTGTTTCTTAAATCAGAACGTTTTTGCGACAAGTGTTTTGATGATGAAGAAATAATAAGTAGGATTTTTAAATTTTAACTATTTTCCTAAAAATTCAGTAATTAGCACAATTTTTGAAAAAATCAAGAACCTTTTATTTTTAACTATAAAACGATAACATATAAGGAAGTGAATTTGGCGACAATTTTATAGCCTCTTTGGTAATAATAGCCATTCACTGTTAATTATATATTTATCTTCAAATATTTTGACAGTTGCGAGCATTTTGCGATAAACAAATTCTGTTGATATCAGATTCAATTGCAACACTATTCGATATTTCAGTAATCTGCAAAACACTACAACAACATAGAACCTAAGTTCTAGTATTGGCCTGCAAATAATGTTCATATTTTGATATAAACATGACATCAATAAGTGATTTGCCGAACGATATTCTAAGCGATATAGCATCACATCTCCATCAATTTGATTTAATTAATTTGGGTCAGACATGTGAAGCACTAAATTTCGTATGTCGCCAGCAGCTCTACACAAATATATACATTACAGAAAAGGATTTTCCAGTTATAGAATGCATTAGCGAAGAACCAGACGTATCAAATTCATTTCATAATTGGTCCGTTCTAAACTACACTAATCAATCAGTGCCACGGTTAAAGCTATTTGAAAGGTCTATGAAGGACAATCCAAAGTTAACTCTTCTATTAAAGAGAATAATCACAGATAGCCTAAAATTTGCATTATTCAAGTTAAAGTTTTGGAGTAAAAATTTCTTACAAGGGAGTAATCTAAGTGAAATATACATCGGAAACATACCCTTGGTTCATTTCCAACTTTTTTTTGATGATCTATTCGCTGTTTATCTGTCGCAGGATATTATATCGAACCTCACAATCTTACAACTACGCCATTTGCAAGATTTGAATGATATAATAAAATGTATTGATATCGAAACAACTCATGTCACGGCTATATCGTTTATTTTAGCGGAAATCAAAAGTCTTGATTTGGCTGTAGATGATAAGGAAAAAGTATTGAGGTTGTTCCAGAGACTAAGTAAGTTGCATATTTCTTCAGTGCATAACTTAGGGATGAATTTTTTACAACGGATTAAAGCGGATCTTGGTGATGATATATTCCAGGTTAACGAACTCCTAATTAGCCATCTACATGGTCAACTGAGCAGTAGAAGCCGGTTTGATTTCAGTCGTGAGTACGATCCTACGAGAGAGAGAAAATTAGACTTTGGTCTCATTAGAGGTCTATTCAAATTAGAATACTTGCAAAACTTTGAACTAAAAATTGGGTGCAATCATATATCGTGTCCTATCCCGAGGCAGAATATATCTTTCGACGAGTCCACCAACACCGGGTGTGATTGTCTCGTGAGTTTTTTCGGTGTATTTCATAACTCTTTAAGGGTCATGACACGATTGTCTAGATTGTCCATCTCCAAAATCGGACAATCGATAGTGATCAATCCATGCAGCTACTATATTTTTAAACTCCAACTCGTGCGTCTATTTCTGACACCCTTGAATACCCTCAGGACGTTGGTGCTAGATACGGATGCAGAATTGCATCCGTATCTGGATTTTAACTATATCGAAGGCCCCATATTTAATAATATGGTATCAACGTTCATAAACCAAAATGACATCCTAGCAAACTTGATCCGCGGTATTCAGAATATATCCCTACCCGACTATTTCCTGTCAGTTCACATATGGGACAGGGCCCAAAAAGACAATGCTTCTTGTAGATGCACTGACTGTACCACGGCTGAGGCCTCCATGAACAACTTCATAACCACCAACAAGAAAATTCACTCATACGTCGATCCGACTTCCATCAAGTCATCGGAGGAGTTCTACTTCGATTTGGTGTACACAGTCCTATCCCAATCTACCCACCACCCCCATCTTGACTCAATTCCGCGCTACTTAGTCATGTCGCATATTACTCGTCCGCCTATGCGCCTACATGACTACTTCAAGCACAACTTGAGACCGCCCACCGTACCTCCCTGTACCTGTACGGGCCAGGAATACCTCCTTTACAAATCCTACTTGGTCCATCAGCTACAAGCGAGCCTATCATGTAGATTCCCCGGCTCAACCCTAACGCTAAATGGCTTGAGTATAGTTGCTCTTGCACCAAAGGTAACTTGAATCATCTTTGTTTTGTGGCTCGAGCAACTACTTTCTACAATAATAGCATCTGTATCTTAAAGTGACCTGTATTGTCCCGTTCTATTTTATTGTTCGAGGCATATCATCGAATTACAACGGCAGGGCTCGATACAATAGAAATCGATTCCATTTTAGGGGTATCCATCTTTGCGGTTCCATATTACCGGAATTTTTGTTTAGCCGCAATTTTAAAAACGCTCTGACGACTGATCTTCTTATCTACCGAGTTGTTTAAAGTTACTTCTATATATGCTTTATTCCTTAGAATATAGGCATTTTATTTGTTAATACTCTATATTAAAGCTATTATAAGTTGTTGTTGATTTTTGTATTTAACCGATTTTTGGAAAGAAAATAGGAGGTATTCTATTTAAAGGAATAGGAATTACGGAAAATAGAATTAATGGTCTAAAGTATGCTTAGAAGAATCCCTAGCAATACAAGTTTACAGATGCACTCGGAGGTCAGGTACCACAAGGAGCTAATGATATCAAATGAAGATTCACACGAATCAAACTACACATATATGGAATCGGATATTAGAAGGTCGAGTGATTCCGGGTTTGACGACGAAGTGTCTAGTGTGTCGTTGAGCGACTTATCATTAGAAGAGAACCGTCGAGGAAGAAGACAAGAGTCGTCGACACCACCTACACCCAGTTGTATTGCATATTCAAGTCTCAACTCGGTATGCAACACTGCTCCTATTGAGTATTCTCCTATAAGCCACGACGAGATCATGGCAACTCCACCAGCACCATTTGTTGAATCCCGTCAAGACGAGTATTTACAGTTCATAGAACCTTCGCCTGTTCTCCCACCAAATTACAACCTTTTACCGCCAGGGGGATGTCCCAAGTTCCCCATCTTATCACCGATAGACGCAGTGGAAGATGATATTTTACCACCTTATACTCCCAGTGTATACAAAATAGGAGTGGTATGTCGAAAGGTAGAGTGGTTGTCACCATATGAACCAAGTCCTGTAAGATCGTGGAAACATGTTATCATAGAATTAAACTCAACACAACTAAATTTTTATGCAATCCCGGGTCCTATGGAAAATCATGTATTATCTTTCAGACCTTCAGAAACACCAAGAGAAAGAATATTCAATGACACCGAAGAAGAGGAAATAAAGTGTGTTAACTCAAGTTTAACATCGAGTGCAGATTTACAATTTTTCAAATATACCCAGAGGTTAGGTTTGATAAGTTCACAAGATGACGAATCTTCAAATAATAGCAGTTCGGCTGGTTTTTCTAATTTTTCTGGTAAATATAAATCAAAGAACAAGAGATTACTCAGATCTTATTCTTTACAACATGCGAGATTTGGATTGGCAACTGACTACAAGAAGAAACCTAATGTGTTAAGGGTTAGGATCGAAAGTGAACAGATTTTGCTTAACTTTTCGACGACACAAGATCTCATTGATTGGCATGCAGCATTTTGCAGCGGTAGAGATGTTTCTATAGATATTCTGCAAAGAGAATTACCAAGGGAGAGGACGCTTCCTAGAAGAAGAAGAGGAAGAAATAGGAGCAGAAGAAACTCTCAAAATAATTCGCTTGCATCAAGAAATGAATCGTTTATGAATCAAGTTAGTGGTTCTAATAGCGAATCAAGTAAATTGAAGGATAGGGTTTTAAAACTCAAATCTAAATTTCTGTCACGTACAAAGAGTGTTGATTTATCAAAAGATAAAAATTCACTTGCGTCAATATCCAGTGCCAGTTTGCAAAGGACAAGGTCACCTTCGCTTCCAACATTTAATATTTCAAATTTCGCTGCTGATGAAGATGATTGTGACGATGACGATAGTGAGAACCTTTATAGGCTAAATGAGTACCGTGGAGAACAAAATAACAGGGACCGTGTTACTACAATAAGAGATGATGATTATGAAGATGATATACAGAACTTGAGCGATCTACATGCATCTGATGACGAAGACGATGAAGAGTTTGATTGCAATATAGAAGACTTCAATGATAATAATGATAATAATGATAATAATGAGAATAATAATGATGATGGCAATGAAGACAATGAAGATATACAGGGTAGCAGAATACGTCTGCCTTCAATGGCAAGACGTTTTACATTGCCAAGTTCTGTCTCATCATCAAGTAATAACTACAAATGGTACCCAACATCGGATAGGCCCCAAAGTCAAAGGAAATATTATCGAAACTGCCTCAGGTGTATTAAGCCATTAACCGCAGAGGATACTTGGGTAAATAGATCTGTGGTCAAACCTACTACATTATCTCCAATCAGTTTTTCGTACTTACGGAATATGAAATATGCAAATTCTAGCTCAAGTAGTTCCTCGAGTCTTGCTAGTTTGGGATCTCAAGTCTTATCATCATCATACACCAATACTCAAAGTCACAGGAAAAGAAGTCTTTCTTTCAAAGACAGTACTTTCACATTACCTGATATTGCATTGACAAGACTACCAAGTCACTTCCTTAAAGAATATTTGGTTGGCTCACATGGATTAATTCCAAAGGAAGTTTAGTAGGTCAGGCGATTTCAGTTATTTCTTTCAATTATTTATTACACTTTTGCAAAAGTTTATTTTCGATTTTTCTCATATTTAGCTATTTTTACATTATTAAAGAAGGTAGGTTTACAATTGGGTTAATTATTTCGTTTGCATTATATGAAAATGTACTATTAGGAATGTACAATAACAAGATTTCGTAATGTATATGTAATATTAAGAGGCGTAAAAGTAAATATTCGATGCAAGGTATTCTATAATTATGAATCATTAATTTTTATTAAAATTGACATCTCTAGTTTTGAATTTATCCTTCAATTTTGATTCTATAGCTCTCTGCTCAAATGCCTTAATCATTATTTTAGTTACTTGATCTGAAAACATTGAACTAACTGCATTATATAAGGGATTTTTAAAACTGTACTTCAAGTTCAATTCCACTTCACAGCTGGGCTCTCTTATATGAGAACTTTTAATTTCTTTGAAACTCCATTCAGTGTTTAGACTATTAAACAACAGTATGGTCAATGACTTGACTGTTACTTTCTCATTAAGCACACAGTTTATTTTACTAGTAAACTCTTCATCAAACTGTTGCCAGCCAACCCTTAAAACCCCCTCGAGTGGTAAATCTGATTTATCTTTCTTGGTAATTAGAGACTTTTCAACAAATGGAACGAATTCATGATATTTAGAAACATCTGAAACCACATTAAACATTTGTTCTGGAGTTACATTAACCCTCTTGCTCACTTTATAAGTTTGTAAGCTAGATTCTGAAGAAAAAGATGGTAAAGTGAAGAATGTTCGATTCAGGAAAGACAAGCATGGGGCCTGTAGTCTACTGCTAACTCTCCCAAATCTTATAAGTCTCGTATATGATGGTAGTATCATACTGGACTAATGCTTAGCCATGTGAAGGTTTAACCGTTAATATTTGATTTGATCAGATATTGCGCATGCTGAAGTAGAAGAGGCCTATCACAGGCGTACGAAATCTGCCTTGACAAACCGACGTGTGTAACTTTCACTTATAATACGCTACGAGATGACCACTAGTCTTAATTCGATGTCATATGGTTACTACAAGTATTTACGACGTAATAGAATATACATTTGAATAATTCATTAACTAGACCTAATGTGAAAAAGGGAAACCATTAAAATAAAACTTTGTAACCAAGAAATATGTAATCTTTTAGCATTTATGGCAAATGAATTTATTCAGCACGAGTGTAGATAGCTTGTTTAGAGTGTTTGACGACTGGAGTGATGATACCATCTCTTTCTAATTGTCTTAAAGCAACTCTAGCAACAGAACCACCAATCTTTAATCTATCAACTAAAACAGAGACAGAAACGTATTTGTAAGTTGGAACATCCTTAATAATTCTGTCGTATTTGTCTTGGTCTAAGATAACGACGTGTTGAGCCTTATCCTTAACCTTACCCTTATTCCACTTCTTTTTACCTTTCTTACCACCAGCTAAAGCGGCAGCAGCTTTAGCAGCTTTAGTTTGTTGAATCTTTGGAGCCATTCTAGATATATTGTTAGTATGCTTGTCTTTATTCCCACCGGTATCTGTCTACTACTAGTAATCCCAACTTCATATCCACCATCTTGAGCTAATGTTCCATTCCCATCCTTCTCTTCACCGCCACTCTTCTCCTTCTTGTATTTCCACTCTCTGTTCCACTTCCATTCCTAAAAAATCAATCTATAATTTTTTAGGTCCTGCTCAATCAAATTTTTCACTTAATTAGTACCCACTTTTTCGTCCCCTCTACTTGCTTCTGTGCATCTGTTGTTCCGATTGGTATTCTAGTAGTATTCCCGACACTTTTATGCTTTCTAGTCGTGATCTATAACTTACTTGATTGACGATTCTTACTATACTAAAAACGTATAAAAAATCCCTAAGTAAATTTTTTTCATCTAGTTATTTAGTGGAATGGTATTCTGGCAATTGGGAGAAAAAATGCGTCATGTGACATTCGATTTTTCGACGATTTTGTGTAATATCATTTTTACTTTGATTCTAGTCAGGTGATATTTGTGACTGTTATTTGAAATATCACGTGTAATATCGTGGTCTAGGCCTTTTGCCCTCGTGATGGATGGAAATTGATTTTCACACGCCTGGGTGTAGATATGGTAATTGTACCTATAGTCTCATAGCAGAGTAGCGAAGGATAGGTATCCAGGTATTCAAGTATACAAGCTCTAGATGTCGAAGAGAGGAGCAAGTGAACAGATTACTAGAGAGAATCATTTAGACCATGAGTCAGATGATGAACAGAAGTCAGTGAAGCTGGCATCTGCTAGTGTGTTGGCGAAGAGAAAAATTCTTAAACCCAGAGGAAGAACGCCAGGGTCGTCGGTAGGGAGCTCTGCATCGCCGGCACCGTCTTTTGGGTCGAGCACGGTGGGAAGCGGTGGGTTGTTTGGAAGCGTGAAGGCGCAGGATGGATTGAAGAGCACCGAGCCAGTGAAGCCATTCACTTTTGCCAGTGGTAATGCATCGGAGAAATCAGACGACAAGAACGAGAAAATCAAGGCGTTGAACACGCAGTTTGTCGAGACGTTGAATAAGAGCCATAAGGAGGGACGTGTGGCGAACTTCACGGAGGCTGCGAAGAAATACATTGAGTACTACAGCAAAATAGAACGCGGAGATATCAAAATACCAGACAGCGAATCAAGTAAACCAGCATTTGAAGCAAAGACGTCCGTGCCATTGTTTGGAAATATCACCAAGGCAGGAGATCAATCTGCCTCTTCTGTAAAACCAAAGCCAGCGGTTGAGACGAAACCAGATTCTGATTCGAGCTCTGACTCCGAGGAAGAAATCAAAGTAGAGGGTCCAAAATTCACTCTAAGCGCAAAGCCTACAGCTAAGAATTCACCATTTAGCTTTGGTCCCAAACCTGCAAAAAGGGTTGATTCTGATTCTGATTCTGATTCTGAAATTGAAATCAAGGGACCTACATTCAACTTTAACAAACCTATAAAAGACAATGTATTCAAATTAGATGGTGCCAAATCTGCATCAACCAATGAGTCTAATAACAACGCATCTTCTCAGAAGAACGACTCTAAACCAGCATTTTCCTTTGGTTCTTCTACTGCTGGAAAGAACGACGAACC